ATTGTCAACCAGTTGGTCCAAACCAGTTTGCCTGCATTCGGAACACCAATCGATCAGATATCACAAGACAGGATTCGTCTGCTATTTCTTCAGCTTATTCGCGCTGCTGTTGGTAGTGACATTGTCGCGTACAGCCCGGACTTGATAGTAACGACATACACAATTCTGACTGGCGACAACTCTTTCCGCAGATGGGAGAACGGCGACATATCTCGCCATGCTGACCCGATTGTTGCGTATTTCCTGGAAGACGAATATGTCCTTCGACCACTGCTGCTCAATGAAGCTCGGCTACGCTACCCCTACGAGATGACACCTTTCCTGAAGTTCTGTAGCGCATTGACCCGTGGCGACAAGACGATGCAGAACGGCTTGCCTACATTCATCGAAAAGCTTGGAAACCACAATCGACTTATGCAACAACTTCCAGATGGGTTTAGGGACTATGCGTTGACGCGCGAGGAGGAGAACGCCAACTGGGTCGAACTCACGGGCAACCTTCCACTTTTCTCGTCTGGAGTATCTTCGAGCTTCCGTGGACAACGTCGATTGCTGACCTCTGGCACTTCGACACAGTCTGATGGACTATCTGGAATACCTGCCGGGACAGAAGGAATCATCGTTGATGACAATGCTTCCCCATACGTGGCGGTTTGGCATCATCAGCACTCTACGTTGTCATACTTAGTCGAACTTCTCTCCACATACCCTGTAGGGAGCATCAAGGTTGAGACTGCCACGCAACAGCCTGCCTCTCGCGAAAGTGTCATCGAGATCATCGGACTCTTCGCTGATTTGATGCATTCTTCTCTACATGCTTCTGAGGGCGTTTGTTCGACTGAGCTCCTGGAGGCGATTGGCATCGGTGCTGAGGGCAGCCAGGATACCGTCAATCTCGTGCTCGCCATCTTCGAGGAGGAGCTCCTGCACCTCTGCCAGGAGCCAAGTAACGAGGCGTGTTTAGAGCTGTTGGTCAACTGCACTCACTTCTTAGAGGCTTTGATTATTGTTTCTCCACACAGAGTATGGCCCTGGCTCGCCAGGAGTAGATTGCTCGAAGGCGACGGAAATGGCAGCTTAGCGACTATCCTCATTGGTACTGAAATGGTTCTAGGACGATATGACTTCCTTATTGGCTGTATCCGACTCTACAAGGGTCTCGTTAAAGATGCAGTCGAGCGATCAGTCTCGCGTAAAGTCCCGACGAGAGCACTCAGCCGCTTCAATGCTGCTGCTCCTTCAGAAAGCGGAACCTCGGATAAGATCATGAGCACAATACTCTTTACATTCGGTCGAACCCTTGCTAGCATATACGAGAACTCGTTGAACTGGAAATATTCTCATCCCAACCATCGGCCCGAGATCAACATCGCCATCTGCGAAGTTTTCACGACGATATTGAAACTCGCGTACAGTGTAGACGACGAACCGAAACTATCCGCTAAGCTCGCCAAATCCATCGCGCCTATCGCCGAGTACATCACGCAGCTATACCTCACACAGGCTGGTGCAGATCTTCCGACAAACCCGCTGATGACCTCCCTGATCACTGGGGTCAGTCCCAGCGACACCACGTTGCTCACGACTTCGAGTGCATTGTGGATGCTACAGACGCAGACTACTCTGGCTTTCGCTGACATCCTTGTCCGGGTTGCCGTACTCTTGAACAAACCCTGGACACACTTGGAGCAACAACTCTTTAAAGCTACGCCATTACTGGCACGACTGTACGCAACCAGTGACAAATGGAAGTCGCAGGTCGTGCTGTTGTTGGAAGCTCTTGTTCGTGGTGCCGTCCGTGTCGCCGGACAAGATGACTCAACGATGACAGACGGAGACCTTAAGCAGTCTGTACGGAAACAGATTGAGCAGCAAGAACCGCCCTCACTACTCGGTCATCTCGGACCACGGACTGCGAAGAACTTCTTGAGCGTACTCTCGCAGCTCGATGAGCCTTTACAAATAGTGGATATTCAGACCAATGTCTGGAACTTGCTTTCAGCCGTAGTAACATGCAAACAGCAGTGGTTCTCCTTATATCTGCTTACTGGTAGCACGCCTCGCGAGTCCATTCGTTCCAAGAAAGACGCGACTCACGATTCAAGGAACAAAGCCCTACTTACGCGAGCGCTCGACGCACTCTCAAGCATGGCTCTACCAGACCAAGAAGCGGGTGGCCTTTCATGGCCTTTATACACCGCTATGCTCGAGTTTGTCTCGTCAGCGCAAAACAATTGGTCATGGGCAATGGGTGACCTCCGACAACGCAAAGATCTGATCCAGAAACTGCTCGCCTTCATGAAGTGGATGGCAAAGCAGCCCAAGCAACCGAAGATGAGCAACAGCAACGAGACCCTCGAACGCTCATTCCAAAACAGGTTCGCATCGTTAGCCTGCGAAGTCATCGCCATGTACCTGCACCACTCACGGCAAGTGGGCGATATCACCGTGCTCAAAGATGTTGTGCCAAGCCTGACGTACTTGGAAGACACTGCTTTGGACCTACCGTCCTACAGTACTTCCCTGCATGGTTATCTTAAGCAAAACCTGGAGAAACAATACCCTGGTGTCACGCTAGGCAACATCAAGCGAACCACACTGTACTCAGAGACCTTCGGGCGGGCATTCTTCTACGACATCGACCTTGCCCAGCGGCTTTTGGGCTTCAACAGCAAGTGGACAGGCCCCAGAGAAGGCACTGGTTTTGCAGCTGAAGTTGAGAAAGCTAATTACAACCTCGGCCTGGTTGAATCTCAGGTTCTACTACTTCAAGGCTGGAAACTGCTGGCTCTGGAGTTGAGCCAAGTCGTAGCCAAGGACGAGCGTATAGTCAAGGTACTCGTTGGCGTCATCCATAAGTGCATGGTCGCCAACGAACAATCGAATCTCCCGGAAGCATTGTTTGGCCAGCTCATGGTTCTGCGAGCAGATCTGGCCTTTGCACTGTTGAAGAAGCTGGTTGAGGCAAAGGTACGAACGAACGAGGCACGTCAATTACTTGCTCCAGTGTGGAACGCGATTCGTACCTCCACGCCTGACTTCGAGAACGCATTCTCGACCGACGCGGTGCACTACTACCGATCCTTGCTACGAATCCTCTACCTTGCCCTTCACTTCCATCTTATCGAAGATACAGATACTTCCGATGACGCATCCTTCCGCTCTTCCTTCCGTGGCACTATGCCTACAAGCCACAACAAATACGCCGAGCCCATCTCAACCCAGCTCCTTGAGATTCTTTCCGACACGGTTGCAAAGGGCTTCCGCAGCCTTGCCAACCAACTTCACGCTGAACCTACATCCGTCTTGCCATCGGACTTTGCCCTTCTCACTGCACTCCTCCAACGCATTATTGCGATACCAGAGATGTCAAAGTGGCAACAACAGGCAGCTCTCCTCTTCGCCAACAGCAACACTGTGCGCTACGCCACTAGCCTCTTCTCATGGGCTGACCGTCTAACGATATCCCACAATGGCATCGACGACCCCATTTACGGTGAACTCAGCGTACTGTTTCTGCTCTCCCTATCAAGCATCCAGGCTTTGGCAGAAACCATGGCCGTAGAAGGCGTACTCAGTCAACTCAACACCGCAAACATCATGAACTACTACCGTCGTGTCAACGGCATGGGTCCTTTCGACAATCCATCACGCATGTACAGTATCTGGACAAAAGGCATCCTACCGCTCTGCCTCAACCTTTTGCTTTCAGTCGGCCCGCCCATTGCTGCGGAAATCTCATCTTTCTTGAACCAGTTCCCAGAACAACTCGCCCGCTCGGCTCTAAGCATAAATTCAAATCCCTCGTCCCGCACCTGGGCTACCCAAAAGATTACGCTTGCTGTCGCTTCGGAAGTGCACTCTTTGTCGCTCATATCCAGTATTCTGGAAAACGTCCGCAAGCAAGGCCCCAAACTGGGTATTCAGGCAAACGACGTCGCACTCCTAGACTGGGATAAGGAAAACATCAAGGAAGATGTCGAGAGCTGGTTGAACCGTAAGAGCGCGCTGCGTGAACGCATCGTAGCGATCGATGAGCGGGAGTTGGAGATGCTGAGCAGCAGGAAGGGCCAGGGTGAGGATGCGTTAAGTGAGCTTGAGAAGAGAGTGTTTGGCGAACTGGAAGACGCAGGAAAATGCTTGGGTGTGGGTAACGGAAATGGAAATGGGAATGGGAAGAAATAGAGATGATGTGGTGGAACTGCTAGGATGACATTTGAAAAGCGCTGGAGTTTAGGAGCGTTTTTGGATTAGTTGCGAGGTGCTATGTGCTTGGACGATAGATCTTGTGGGTGGTAGTGTATTTCTAATGTAACTCTTTCGACTTATGTTTGCTTGGTGGTATAGTTCATATTGTGCGGCTCCCCAGGTTCGTCAGACTAGCGTATTAGCAAAGTCCTGTTTCCGCCTTCCTTTCATGTCGTCTCACATCAAGAAACTTCCCAAACAGGTAACTGAAGAAAGACCATAGATTGCAGCAACTTTCGACATCCCACATGCTACCCCTCTGCCCCGTGAGCATACCAATATAGTCCCAATTAGGCAAATTCCCCTCAAAGGTGTAGATCACAGCAACTCTTATAAGATACCTACTAGCTACGCTGTAGTCTGAACTTGTTATGAAGTTTGTAGGCTATTTACCATGTTCTCCCGAATGCGCAGGTTTGAAATTCTGCATGGGTGTGGATTGTAGTAACTTTCACGATCGCCCAGCCCCTTGTAAAGCAAAGAGCGATCTCTTCAAGCAATGCATTCACAGACGGAGATGGGAGAGCATACGGTCAATTGTACATATTGATCTGAAAATTACTAGCAGACAACGAACGTGGTACACAAGCCATACTGCTGGCACGCAGGTGATAGTGTGCCCTTGTACATACACCATACAGACACCGAGTATGTTTCCTGCTAATGTGCCTAATCGCGCCCGGATGTGGTTTAAATTGTATGCGATGATAGAATGTTCGTATGACATTCCAAACCACATGGCAGTAGTATTCCTACGCATCCACCACAGACCAGCCAGATTCTGCGTCCGTAAGTTGGGGGGTAACGCCACCAGCCAGGTCGACGAAACCGCTGTCTTCAGTACCAGGCTCGGAGTCAGACTCAGTATCGATGTCAGTACCATAGTCAGACTCCACGTCACATTTCATGACTTGCAGCCTCATCGTCTCCTTTAGCTCTTCTTGGAGCATCTTTTCGTGAGTCTTGAAATCCTCCGTAAGTGATGTGATGGGACATACTGGACGACAGTGCGATTTGGGTGATTGATTGCTTCGATGGTGGTTAGATGTATCAGACTCCATTTCTGTCTCTTTAGGTCGACATTCAGTGATTGTTGTCCCGGGAGCCTCAATATACATGACAGCCGCGGAAGAAAGTTCTGGACGATGGTCCTCTCCATCAGGCAGTTCGCAGCCTCGCGTGATCAGATAGAGCTCCTCGACCAGTCCAAGGAATTGGGAGATGTCCGGATGCCATGAGCTGGGTGTGATGAAAAACTGCAGAAGCATACTGAAGCCTAAAATTAAAGAGAAGAGACCAAAAACAAGCACTGATACTTTGCCTCCGAGATGCTCCGAGTACTTGACGTATAGGCGGTCTACCAACCTCAGAGCAAGACAGAAGCCCATGATCTTGAACGTGTACTTGTCTCTTGCATTCGTGAAGCCCCGGAATTGAGTGAGCTCAGTTGCGACTTTTTTCCTAGCAAGTTTCTTGGTAGCGGCCGTGTACGAAACTACGCCGACCGAGACCGCAGTTTGGATCCCCAAGAGAGCCGAGGTCACGAAGTTCAGAACTTTCGCCAGGTACCATGTAACTGATAGACAGTTTTGAAGATTGGCCTTGGAGGCTGCCAGTTCCCCAAGCCGGCGTTCAAGTTTCGCAATGGCTTTTGCGCGACCCGACAAAGTGAGCATTTCGCCCGAGGATACGGGCAGGTCAACAAGGCGACATGGCTGGGAGGACTCGCAGCGCAGGGCGAAACCAAATGGCATTTTGGAAAGGGACCAGGTTGACGAGGGCGTATTGCCAGTATCCGTGCCATTAGAAATGTGTACAGCGATGGTGGAGGTGGAAGCGTTTATGACGTAGATGCCGCCGAAGAAGCGATTCCAGATTGAACGGGTCTTTAGTCTCACGGCCTCTAGTGCTTCCCCGAGTATACGACGGGAGCGGTATCGCACATTCGCCCAGGACCTGAGTACAGCTTGTTGTCGGGTCGCATCATGTATCACCACCTGTGGCGTGTATTGAAGTCTACCACAATTATCCATTGTCCAGTACATGATCCGCGCACGCATATGAGGGTCCTGGAAGCCAAGCCCGAAGGTTTCATCATTAGCTTTCTTCAGACCGCGAATGAGGCAGTCTTCGTGAGTCTCCATGAAGCCACGGCTCAGCTGGCTAGAGAGAAGTCTATCCAAGTGACCGTACAATATTTGCTCTTTGTGAATGGTGGCTGACTGCACATGGTATTCGTCTACCGCTCGGTCAAATCGAGGTGTTATGAAGTTATCGATGCTGAAGAATCCGGTGCCGATGGAAATTATCGCGGAGCTGAGGTACACGAAGAACACTCCCAGCACTAGCATGCGTGAGGTGGCGCGCAGGAGCCTGATTTTGTATGGAATCTTTGCCTTGGTTGGTTCCGATGTAGCGCGTTGACCGTCTTGTGAAAACTGGCTTTCAGCAGGCGTAATGCTCAGCTCTGCTTGAGGTGTCATGTCAATGGTGATCATCGTGGTGGAAGGCACCCTAGCGTTTGCTGAGCCTTGAGCTTCGTCGCGGGCGACTTCCATGTTGCAGGTGCTGCGATGTTGTGTTTATGTATTGGTAAGTGCCGAACTCTTGGGGTTCTATTTGAGGAGCCTGTGATTAGGGGCCTGGTTAGGCCATTCATGGATCCAAATAAGCGTGTGTGGAGAAGGTACCGCTGATGAGGCCGCAAGGCAACAGACACTGCACGTGCTGGATCAGGCAGCACTTGAGTGAAACACAGTCAACCGGACGTCGATCGTAACGCGAAAGTAGTACAGTGAGTAGTGATTTCAGGTCAGTCTTGATGAGTACATACAGGAGATGGCGATGGAAGCTCGGTGATATTCTGTTGTCTGGTGAAGACTGGAAGGCGCGATGCGGTCTGCATGACGGCAGGGTCCGCCTTCCGCTGTCGGAATACCAAGTTGACGCGATAAAACATGAGACTGTGTTCGAATATGCCTAGTCATGTTTCTGATTTAACATGTTAGAGGTTACGGATCCAAGATTCAACGATGGTATATACAGTATTATGACTACTTACTACTTCTTCCTCTGTACTCTTTTGCGTGGCGCTTGCCCAATATCCTCTATGTCTATCGCACCTTCCACATCTTCAGCTTTGATCTCACCAACATCAGCAACCACCGTCTCTTCCTTCACTGCTGCCTCTTCGTCGCCATTGGGTGCCTCAACTTTCACAACGGCTTCTTCCTTCTTCACTTTCGTCTTCTTAGCTACCACTGCTGAGGGACATAGGCCTCTATCTGCCAACTTGCAGTCGCCACACTTTCTGCCCACAGGTAAGCATATAGTTTGTCCAAAGCCCACAAGCAGATTGTTTATATCATGCCATTTGTCTTTTGGCAGCCATGACTCCAAAGCGGCACGTGTTTGTTCTGGATTCTGAGTCTTATGCCAACCCCATAAGTTGGTAATGCGGTGGACGTGGACATCGACTCCAATACCTTCATGCCGGCCCCAAGCTGCACTCAAAGTGAGGTATCCCATCTTAGGCCCGACGCCAGGTAGTGACACAAGTCCCTCGATTGTGTCTGGAATATCGCTATTCCACTTGTCCCGTAGAATCTCCGCAGTTTGCTTGATGTACTTGGTCTTGAGGTTGTGGAAACCCACTTTGTTGATGAAAGCGTTGAGCGCAGGCGGCTCTAGCGCGAGGACAGATTCAAGATTGAACCCCTGGTTATGTTAGCCGTGCAAAGCAGTCGCCTTTGGAATTAACCTACGCCAGGCATTTTCTCCTGCATGCCTCGCATGACGGGCGCTGTGACGGTGTCTTTCGTCTGACTACTCAACATCAAGGCTATAAGTGTCTGAAACCGTCGATCTCGAGGAGACCTGTTCTTCTCCGCCAGGCTCTCGCACCCCATAGTGTCTACCGGCGCGACATTCTCATTCCGCATTTCTCTCGTCAGGGTGTATATCTCCTCCCAATTGGGTGGCGGCTCCATCTTCACAGACCCATCGTTGCCCTTAATCTTCTTCGCAGGCGCGCGTCGGGCTTTTTTGACCTTTTCGCTTTTCTTCGGCGATGCGATTCCAGCGATCGTTGTTTCCTCTACCTCCTGCTTCACGACGATAGGAGTATCTTGACCCCTTTTCCTCTTCATAGGCACTCGTCGCGCCTCTCCATCGGAGGCTGAGTCTGCTGGTACCGAGTTCAGCTCTGAACTTGCCCTAGCATTCTCGTCGCTACCTGTCTCTCGTTTGATAGGGGTCTGCGCATTGGTCGCGCTTCGGGTCTGGCGTAGCGCTCGTTGGGTACGGCTTGCGGCGACGATACGGGACGTGTCGCGAGACACTCGTGAAGTCCGCATTGGAAAGTCGATTTAACGATAGAAAACTGTGTGAATGGCGAGAGGTCCTTATGATAGACTCTGATACGGAGCTCCGCGAGCTGATGCGCGGCGCATAGTAATGACGATGATGAAGACGCGACTCAGCAAATAGCCAATGAGCGCCTATCGATTTCATGGGTCTAACGCGACTGCACGTGAAGCGTCACGCATTGATGACGTCAGCGAGGACTCGATCAGAATTTCGATTGGAAATACACTTGCTGCAATCAACACCATTAGAATTTACCTATTTCGGAAGAACGTCATCTGAATACACGTCAGACAGCTGGTGGAAATGTCAACTCCACTTTCTCTGAGTCTTACACTACTTGATAAGTGGTGACCGTTTCTTCTATCATGCTAGAACAGATGTATTACTCGCTTCGATGGACACTATGGGGCTCTTGCAGCCTCAGAACGTTTTATCATCAAGCTTCTATCCAGTGAGAATCCCGTTTGCTTATTAGCTAAGATACACACGCGAAGGTTTACGCTGAACGGATGGCTCGTGCTGAATGCAAGCTAATTTGGTACGTGCGGAGACGTCACGACTTCATAGAGCTATACCAGCCGCGGCTCACACCCTCTGTCACCCATGGATTGATCTTTCACCCAATATAAGATTACACACAACAGGCTCTCTGAGTACGGCGCAAGGTCTGTGCTACCAATCACCCACACTGCACAGCTGAAAATGCTACGCGAGCAAATGAGAGAGGTGGACCTTCTGATTCTGGGCGCTGGATGGACGTCCAACTTTTTGATACCTGAATTAGAGGACACCGACATAAGCTATGCCGCAACCACGACTACTGGAAGAGATAACACGATACCATTCAAGTTCGACCCCAGTTCCGGCGATGCGGAACCATATAAACGCCTTCCCGCGGCGCAAACCGTGATCATCACGTTCCCGCTTGTGGGACATACGCAGTCGAAGACCATCGTCGGCCTTTACCGCTCCGTTCACGGCGCAAAAAACAATTGGGTGCAGCTAGGCTCTACAGGCATCTTCAATAAGTTACCCGATGACTGGAGCGATGATAATGCGCCGTATGACAAAGAAGACAAGCGAGCGATCGCGGAAGACGAATTACTCTCGCTTCACGGTTGTGTGCTAAACCTATGTGGCCTATACGGAGGCGAACGCGTGCCCTTCAGGTGGCTCCCTCGCATAGTTCAGTCGAAAGACGATGTGCGGAAGCGAGGAGCCGTGCATTTCATCCACGGCGAGGATGTTGCGCGCGCCATTATTGCAACCCATCGGAGGTTTACCCCGGGGAAGCGATGGATTGTTGCTGACCTGCGCGTCTACGACTGGTACGATCTCATCATGAGCTTCAGCGCTATGGTCGAATCGTCCATGAGTAAAGAGGAGGCGGAGACACGTCAGGAATATGGCAAATGGGTGGGAGAACTCATGGAGGAAGAGGGAATTCGTGCTCTGCCACGTGATATGCATACCTTGGGCAGGAAGTTGGACTCTAGGGGCTTCTGGCATCACCATGGGCTCTGGCCTCGTCACAAGCGGCTGGCATAGTGGATCCGTTACTCGAGCAATCCAATGGAGTCACATTTCTGCGATGCTGACTAGGACAAGACTTTTCGATTCGATTGGTCTGACATCGCAGTCACGTTTTCTGGACAGCCATAAATCTGGTATAAGCGAAGAGTACCATAGTTCAATGGATAGTCACCATGGTCTGCGCTGACCTCAACACGATTGTATGGCTGATATCTAGTTTTGATTACCCATCCATAACATTTTTCATGAGACCGATTTACTCAGATGAACCAGAGTCACAGTGTTCCACGGTCCCAATCTTCTCGTCGCTATGTATAAAGTTTCTGCTCAATCTGTGTCTTTCTTCTTTGCTTTCCAGTTCAGATTACATTCTAGCCATCGACATAAGTTTTGGAAGTATTTTTGACTACCCATTTCTTATCCTAGATACTCTATTCCAACATCGTTCACCCACATAACGACAAACCCCCTTCACTTTAACCAAGATGTCAACCAACACTTTCGCAACACAGAGCGACATGGTACAACGAATCAACATCGGCGGCCTAAGGTTACCTACCGACCAGGAACGAGCAAGAATATCTCAGCTTTCTGCTCGTCCGCAGCTCATAAGTATACCGCAGTTACCCATCCAAACCAGCTTCGGATCTTACGGTAGTTACCCTTCTCCGGCTACGTTTCAACAACAGCCTTTCTTTCCTTCTCCCGGCGTCGCTGCTACTAATTGCTTTCCTCCTGGTGCCTTCCCCCACCAGCAACAACTTTACAACCTGGGTAGGTCACAGCCCACATTCTCTCCTGGCGTCGCTGCTTTGAGTGGCTTCCCTGCTGGTGTATTCGCCAACCAGCAGCCGCAATATCACACTCCGGGTAGGCCACAACCCGTGTATGCTCCTGGCGTCGCTGCTACTAGCTGCTTTCCTACTGGTGCCTCCCCCCACCAGCTACAATATTTTCCCCAGGCTCAGATCTATGGAGGTCAGTATAGCCAGTATGCCTTCGCGGCACCAGTGCAGGGTCCTTGGGCGGCTCAGAATGTTGCGAGTACCGCCGCGCCGCCTGCTCAGCAGGAAGAACAGTATTTCGATCTCACCAGAGATGACGAAGAAGAGGTGCGAGCACCCACACTAGCACCAGCATGCCCTATTGTTCCCGTCTCGGCCGCCCAAGGCACAGGTCTCCTCACCCCTGCGGATACACCCTCCTCACTAGAGGCCCCCTCCGTCCCCGAGGCACCCTGCCACCTCGGCGAACGAGTCAAACACCTCCAGTTGACCATCAGAGAAAGCTATGAGCCATGCGGCTTCCGCCTTTTCCGCAGCTTCATGTTCATGAACATAAAACAGCAGCGTGAGTACTGCAGCTTGTTTTGGCCCTCGAACGAAGATGCTTATAAAGATATCCTTCGAGCCTCCAAACTCTCTCTGGATTTCTCGACCATATACTACTTGCGCCTTTCGTTAACATCGAAGCTGAAAGAGGCCAAGAGCGAAGAAGAGCGCGAGAAGTTGGAAGAAGAAAATAAGGTCATTTGCGCTAAGATGGAGAGAACTTGCAAAGCCAAATTGCAAGATAGGAGGGATGAAGAGAATTTGAGTAATCTCCACCAGGCTGTTACCACTACCAAGGGTAAGAAGAGCAAGGCCTCGAGGGCAGCACAACTAGAGGTGTGGAATGAGGAGAATGTAAGAGTACAGGAAGCAAAGCAGGAGAGGTGGGCGAAGCTGGATGGCCAGCAAACCTCAACTTCGCTTGCTGGCAAAAAGAGGAAGCAAAGGGTTCAAGAGGAGTCTAACCCTGCTCCGAAGAAGAGGGGGAGACCTCCAAAGGTCAGGGCTGCAGAGGACGTGGCTGTCATGAAGGAGAAGAAGAAACGTGGGAGGCCTCGGAAGAGCCCTGTGGTTCAGAAACCGACCCCTGAGCACGTCATTGATGAAGCGGAGGATGATGCGGCGTTGGAAGCAGCACTGTATGCTGGCTTGTGTGAGGATGTCGTTGGAGAGGAGGAGGATGGGTCGTTTGGAGCAGCTCCGCAAACATGGCTCGCCGCTGATGACAGTGACGTTGTCAATGAGAGTGCTGAGGTGGAGCCTTCTGGACGAGTACAAATGCACGATGAAGATGATCGGGTTGCCGGAGCCGTCGCCGAGGATCGGCCGGAGGAGGTTCGTGTGGATGAGAGTGCTGCTGTAATCGTCAGCTCGTCTCAAGAGCATCGACAAGAGGAGGAGGGCTGTGACGAAGACTCTCTCTTCGGAGACTCTCCTTTCGAAGACTTTGAGCTTGGAAACCTCCTCGATATGGGGGCTGCGAATGATATTGGGGCTAAGCTAGACGGCATGTTCTCCTAGTCATGCATATGGTATGGGTAGTTCTAAATATAATGCTACCAAGGGCCCCTAACTCTTAAACTCCACGCTATGCGAACGTACTTGAAAATGCCATAAAGGCGAATACAAAAGGTAATAAGAGAAAACAGACCAACTGGCCTCCTGTTGCATCCAGTCGATGGCATCACGGGTGCTGGCCCTTTACGTGAGCCAGAGCGGGCAATGAAATAACCTACTTAAACCTCAATGTTCTCGAAGGGATCCCGGTCTGGCGGCAGTCCCCTGTAAATGACGCTGCCGCCTGCGTCTAGCCTTGCATTCACACTAGTGATCCATACCCGCTTCGTGAATGCACTAGTCCTCTGAATCTCGTCCTTAGCGACACCCAGGTCATCATGCGGGATCCAGACGGCAGGCTGGATAGCGCGTGTCGCCGGATGCTGGAAGGAGCGTTTGATAAGCTTTTGGCGAGCCTCAGGTTCGATGTCAGCGAGCTCGTCGTCTACTTCATCGAAAAGATTGCCAGCGGGCAGGACCTGTGCTTCAACATCGCGGATGGGTTTTGCAACATCGTCGAGACCTTTCTTGAGTGTACTGGTAATCATATCTAGAGGATCCTTGCGCTTGTGGTGCTGCTTGTGATGGGATTGTGAGCGCGAGTTGGAGCTGCGGCGGGAGCGGTCTGCCCAACTGGTGTTGCGACCACGGTTGCCGGGTCGAGGTGATTGCCCATGGCCAGTAGATTGCATGTTACCGTCCAAGTTGCTCAGCTCATAAGATCCTGGACCATAGGATGATTCGCGTTGTTTCCTTTCCTCAATGCGGGTTTGCTCGTCCAGGTGTGCTTGCTCGCGCGCTTCGGCCGTCTGCGCTGCATCTTGTTGAGCAGTGAGAGATTGATGCTCGTCATCGCGTTCCCATTTGCTAGCCTGTGCTCGCTGCCACTCCTCGTCTCGAAGGACCGCTTCATCTTCGAATGTGATTGGCAGGTATGTGAAAAGAGGCCCGAACGCCCTGTTCAGTACTACTTGGAAGAGGACAGTAAAGACGCCCATAACGATCATGATGATACCCTGAGGGAAACAAGACTGGTTTCCTTTGTTGTCCTCTTGTAAGAAGAACAAGCCAACCATACAGAGCTCGAGGAAATACAACCCGGTGAACAGCTGGTTGACAGCTTTCGGGAAGATAAGACCGTTGGTTTCGGCCTTAGCGTAACTAACGTAGATCATTTGGTAGCGGTATGTGAACCAGAAGAGGCAGAAAGTGATCAACATCATGATCAGAATCAAGGGAGCGACGACGGAGTAGATGAGACCTATGTATTGTTAGCTTTTCTATGCACCATAACGTGACCTTAGCGTGCATTATCTCAAGGAACTTTTACTTACCAATGGCAGCAAAATTGGTGTAAACAGGGATCATAGTTCCCCAATTGATACCAGGTCTTTGCAACACCCTTGAAACCTTCTCTCGAGGCGTTGTGTCAAGAAAGCGGAGGAATATAATGACAACGACAGCACCGATCTGTAGCAAAGTACCAGAACTGATACTTAGAGCTTGCAGAATCATGTAAGAAAAGAAGTAGTTAGCAGCCTTGGGAAGGTTCTGCGCTAGTGTCTGCGGGACACTAAGTGGGTCGTTGATCAGTTTGTCAATCGTCGAGGTGATACCTGTCGAGATCGATACTACCAGAAACAACTGAACAAAGACGAAGGCGAAATAGAAGTTTTGGACGAGCAATTCGCGTTCGCCTGATGTCGTCGTACCAGTAAGACCAGCTAGGAAGCGCAGGACCAGAGGCAGCACAGCAAAGAGAATGGCCAAGAAAGCTGGTGGCAACACACCCTGTATCAAACTCACTACCCAGTCGGGAAGCTTGTTGATGAAGCCTAACCATGGCAAAGTCTCGGTCAGACTGTCAATCTGGGACAAAGCTCCTGTAAAACTGACGGGGATACCCCAGAAGATGATAAGTCCTACAATGAGCAGAATAATTCCGAACATGCGCAAGTAACGCTCCCACCACTTCATAGTCAAGTTGTCCCAGAGCACGTAATTGGGGTTGACCTCGACGGTTCTCGGGTTCATCTGCCTTGGGATGTGATGGCTCAATGACTGACAGGCCATGTGTGCCGCAACCTGATGGTTGAATTGGATAAAGGCAGAATTCATCAGCGGGAAGCGTTCTGGGTGAGCCTGGTCGTCCGCGATCTCAGCGTTGAGCCGAGCGAGCTCTTTCCGGCAATGATAGATGGTGTCAACCTTCTTGCCAACTAAAGGCAAAGCCGGCCACCAAGACCAACTGAAGATCGGTAGTCGCATCGTTTCTCTGTCCTTTGGCCTAAGGTACTTTCTCCAGAGAGCATCCTCGCCATCCTCTTCCATGGACTCGTCGTACAGTCCTGTGAGATCATACTTGATTTTACTAGGGTCCTTGAGCTCTAGTGGCAGCTCTTCTCCTGGGTTCTCGAATGGCTTGGGGCTTATAAAATCACCTTGACCAACGTAGACGGCCTTTAACTTGTTGAAAGGGTGCTTCCATCCAGGCGTGACAGGTTTCTTCTCGGGCTCGGCTGTAGCTGCAGGCGCTTTCAGGTCTGTCTGGGGAGAGTTCGGCTCGGTGATAGTGCCATCAGAGGCATAAGTTTCCTTGCTGGCCAAAGGCGTATGGGTGTCAGTACTAGCCCCCCTCTGGTGAAAGTCGGCAGAGGTTGGCGATGATCCTGGGACCTCGTCGGCACCATCGAGGCTCGCCTGTGCCTGCTCTTGTGTCTGTGCCTGGCCAGCCTGGCGGGGTTTTCCGCCAAACACACCGCGCATTCCACCGTAGACCTTTTTGTTGAAACGATCGACACCATGGCCGACATCACGGAAACCTTCACCGACAGCATGCATACCTTCTCCCAAAAATTGCATTGGCACTATGCCACGCTTCCGATCGGGTGAGGTTGACCGTGAGGAAGAGGAAGACGACGAGGGCGACTCCTCGAGGACCTTTTGGAGTTGTTGCTCGATCTCGTGGGGGTTACCAGCATCTACACCGTGATCGTGAGTCTCCTGGTTGATCGCGTGGTTCTCCATAGCTACGTCGTGCTTCTTCTCTTTTCTGGACTTTTTCTTTCCAGCCTCCTTGGCTGCCTTTTCCTCCATCTTCCTGTGCTTCTTGGTGCACGCTATTATAAGGTTTGTTTCGGCAGATTCGAGGGTCCTTGCAATCTTGGTTCGATCGTTGACTTTATCCATTAGGTCGTCATAGTTGCGGTTTATCCAGATATCCTTGATACCACCGGGAAAGACGTCGTAGAGGGCATCGAGAGCTGGGGCGGTAAGCCATTTCTGAGGGATGCTTTGCACCAAGATAGTGGTGGCAGATGCTCGAATACGATGTTCTGGTCTGGTAAGGACAGTCTGCCTGAGGCGTACAAACTGCCTGAGCGCCAAGTAGAAATTGAAACACGCCCAGCATATGACGCCTACAGCGATGATACAGTGTGCCCATAAGCGATGCCTCTTGTTTGGAAAGGCTACATTGGGCCAAGCGAACGAGTCTAAACCAGAGACCCCGGGCTCGTCGCCCTTGCGATTTATCGGTAGGAGAATAGGTAGGATGACGATAGCCATAGGGATGAATATGCGTAGCAGGAGCTGCAGGTATTGGAGGAAAAGGTAGCCGTCGACGCCGGCGATACGGATGAGTTCTTTGTCGCTAATCGTAAAGACATTTCGAAAGGACTCGATAGCGGTCGTGGGGGCTGCGATACGCTTTGCGACGGGTACGAAGGCGGTCTTGTAATAGTAGATTTTGTGGAACAGACTCTGGCGCGCGGCCGCTTTGTCTTGCTGGTCGCCATCGGCAGGCTTTTTCTTGCCCGTTCCCTTGTGAAACTTCCAATTGCCACTGAGGACCAAGAAGAAACCAATCTGAATGCCGAAAATGATGGCTGCAGTTGACAGCGACGCGGCAAAATTCTCGATGCTCTGGTTTTCCCTTTGCTGGGCGGTGTTCGTCGACGTTGCGGTCGTCGAGGACGTCGAGGACGTCGAGGTTTCGGACATGGCTCAGAGCGGTCGCGGTTGTGGTGGTGGTGGAGGAGGGTCGCGTATGTGGTAAAGCTGCGAATCGGAACCCCTGTCTTAACCTCTCGTTGCCATGGAAGAAGAGTAGCTAGGAGGCGCTACCGTTTGCGGTTGTAATAGAAAGGAAACAATATTAGTAGGGTAGTAGAAAGCAAAGAGGCAGTGAATTAACACAACGAAGAGAAGGCGCGAAGTGCTATCATTATTGATTCACAGGTGACTAGGGTGTCAACGTGTTTCAAGCCTTGCATTCCCTGATGCGCGGTCGGTCGGGGGCTTGGCAGCGTCACTGGCGTCGACTGGTGCACTATCCTACGAGCTAGCCGCCCGCCGTTTGAACCAAACAACCGCTGGCTTTGTGGTCAATCTGAAACTGCGGGTAGACGTTGTGTGAGTGGCCGCTTCCGTCTTCAGAGCTGGTACACGTTGCGCTTAGCTGCTCAATACATCTTTCAACACGAGCTTTATTACTGAGATCCATCTGGGTGGGTAAAGGGACAAGGAGCAATAAGATTGTGGCACCATGGCACCGACGTGGATCCGATCTGAGCATCAACCCCGTACTATGACGTTGGAAATGCCAGGAAACCGCTCCGTATTACCGTATCAGTTGCCCGCACGTGCCCTCCGGCTCCCACCTGCCAGGAAGAGCCACGCCACAGCCAAGCCTCACCATGTCGAGTCAATTGGCCTGGCCCATCCTTCTGAACCTAGACCCTCATCCTTCATGTCTCTCTGCAGCCCTTTGCCGCTTCTTCTTCAACACCACGACAAGCGTCAAACAGGCCACAGCGCCATCAATCTCGGTACCGTCTACCACCACCGTCCCACCGGTTACAAAACTACCCCACCACTTCTGCGCGTACTTGGCTACTTCCGTCTTGATCTGCTGCTTACTGTTCCCCGTGATCCGATACAGCGTCATGTTCGTCGAGTGCCACAAGCTGTCCATTTGCCAGACGTACGGCTGTGAGTTGTAAACAAACGATTCAGTGCGCAGTCCCCAGCGCTTGTTACTCAAGGTGATAGCATGGGATGAATGAGCTGAGTCGTCTGGAAATGTGAGGACTGCTTCGCCGACCGATGACCAGGCATGCGACCAATGTGCAACATGTGCGCTCTGGTCGTCGGTGATTTCGTACTTGAGACCTAGCCAGGTACGGCGGTGGCAGGTAAGTACCGGCGCGAAGGAATGATCCTTCATGGTCCTTTTGATCTCGGCTTTGTATTCGGCTGTCATGCCTGTATATGGCACTTTCATGTCTTTCGTCAAGTCAAGGATTGTGATTTTTTTGCTGAGCAAACCATGAGGAGAGATCCAGTACACTGCTGTGGGTCTGAGGGAATGAGGGTCAAGTGGTCGACTTGAGAATTCTGTATCGTGAGGCGTGTCCAGCCACGGGTTGTCATCCTCAGAAGACCTAGACTTCACGTGTGTTCGGGAAGATTTTCGGTGACGCACGGTGTTATTGTCTGCATCTGAAATGCTCAGATTCTGCAAAGCAATAGAGGTGGACATGTTCTTGGGTGATAGTAAAAGATCTATACTTGAGGGTCGTACAACGAGTTTTGTTTTAGAACCTGGGATGTGCTGCGAATGACGAGACATGTGGAAAGAGACAGCCTTTTTTATACGTTCACTACAAGCACCGTACTCTACGCTCGCTTTACCATTCGCATCATGCTTGGTTTCCTTCTTGCCCATAAGGCAGACCTCAAAATCTGAGGCCCGAAGGTCCGGTCAAATGGTTGCTCGTTGGACAGAGGTCTGTGGAAGTTTCAAGATTCAGCCTAGCTGAATGGTTTCTCGCATTCTCGCATTGGGATTTCTACGCCGAGCCGCACAGCCACAACAAACCACCCTGGGTAGTATGGCCAAGATTGCTGATTTGACGACGAGTTGTGTACCTTCGGCATGTGCAGTTAGCTCCACTTCCCAGAAGCCGAAAACAGTAGGTTTTCTCTGGAAGTCGGTCGATTGCTGGTGGAAGCACGGTAGCACCATCGCGCCATCTCAATTAGGCAAAGCGTGATCTCAACACGTCGCGCTAGTCCCCGCGGTTCAGTGCTCTTGTGCGCAACACTCGTCGCCAAACGCACTCAACAGCCTCAACAATGGATCAACACGTGCCATCCGCAAGGTCGAAACAAGGTACCGTCGTGGAGCAAAAGCAGCGGTTTCTACAAACGAGGAAACATATTCTATCGCGTGGAATACCGCCGTCGGAACGTCTACGCACACTTGCGCAAGATGGTGGGATCGAGCTCAGTGTCATGAAGGGAGTGTTGGATAAAGGTATGGATCTACTGCACTCATGATGACCTCCGAATCGTTCTAATCATGTGGCTTAGTCAACCGCAACCTTAAACAACACTCCCGAAAAGTGTACAGCCGCCAAATGATTGAGCATGTTGTTGAGCAAATAGACATACTTTACTGGGAATCTGGCGCGCATCACGCCGACGACGAAGAAGTAAATCCTCCGTCCGATGCCCACGAAGACGACACGCACGCACTATATCAGAACGATGACCTAACACTCGACGAAAACATTGCGAAACTACCCACAACATGGCCCGACCGTGACGCCGAGATCACACAAGACCAATATCTCTCCTCCGTCTCGCGCCTTCAAGAACTTTCCGCACGCCGGCAGACGCTTCAGAACCGGCTCGACACATACCGTACCTTGCTTTCGCTACTAGAACCTTATCGAAATCCCAAGGAGAACATACAGCCAAATTTGGTGTGGAAGGATGCGCCGCTCGCGCCTGAGCTGACAAAGACACGGACGTTGGCGATACGCGTTGCTGCACGTGTGGAAGAGAAGTTTGGCAACGTTCAAGTACCTTCCACGGCCGAAGACGACGAGAATGTCGATATGGAAGGATTAGAGAGTGAAGGGAGGCGGAGGGTCGATAAGGTGCTGGAGAGCTGGTATTATTGAATACGGCGGCTTGATCCCTCTTCTCGATTTTGCTTTGGCGTTTGGATATGATACCCCACGTTTTTGACATTGCACAGTAGGATTTATAACATGTACAACAAGTACGGCTTCATCTAGCATATGTATTGCAGCGCCATTTCCACGAAAAAGACAACTCCATCCTCTCCTAACTATCTCCAACACTACTAGGATTGCGGGCTGCCCATCCTCCCTACCGCGCTTTCAACCTCCCTCTCGAACTTCTTTCCTCCGACCTCAACTCCAAGCTTAACTCTGACTTTGTATGCCCTTGTGATGGCAAAACTACGGAAACTTGGTACTGTCACACCTGGGATCCTCGCCGCGAACCACTGCTCGCAAGTACTCTTCACTTTTTCCTCCATTGCCCCATTTTGCTTTTCTCCTGATGAGCTAGCGATAACGGAGTACTCTGGTAATCCAGCAACAAGTTCCAATGTGGCTGACTCAGGCAAAGCGTTAAGAGACGTCTTTCTCTCCGTGAAGTCCTCGTGTTCATTCTTGGCCATGACATATAGCTGGTCTGGCGGCGGCCAGCTTTCGTACCTATTACTCCTGTGCAAGCCGGATCTGCCACTACCTGCGTCTCTGTCGCGAGGTGCACGGAAGAAGGTAAAATCTAGCAAGTCCAATTTGAGGATGTTGAATGTGACGGACGGAGGAATGTGCAGTGCGTTCGGGCTTCGCGATAGCGTTGTGAAGGATGCACGAAAGTGGAATTCGGACCCGCTGGTAAAGTGCTCCGGAAGCTCTACAGCGATTTCGAAGTCGAGTGTAGGGGTCGAAGAGGAAAGACGGTCGCGGATGCTTTGTCGGATACCAGTTTGCGTGTTGCCGGCTAGCGAAGAAGATCGCAGTGTAAGGGTCTTTGGGTAGCGGTTCAGCGTGGTGTATGTTCCGGGTAGTGGTATCGGGCTTGTGGGTTGGAAGAGGATGATCGATGTAGTTGTCAGGTCTATGAGAGACTTGCCTTGGACAACACCAATGCCAGGACATATCAGTGTGGCCCGTACGCCATATTCAATTTTGGCAAAGTCTGCATCTGTGCCGTCGTCGGTTGGCCTGTTGAATCTGGTAAATAGAAAGCTGGGAGGTAATTCATGAGGTCCGATAACGTATTTCTGGTCTGAATCATTTTCGTATTGGCCATAGCGCGTGGTACCAGTCCCAGCAGGAAACGTAAATTGAAAGGGAAATGTGTAGACTTGGCCTGCTTCGAACTTCGACATCGCTTGTGGTTCCTTCTTCTTATCCTCGTCGGTCTTCGTTGTTGCTGCGTGTAAAATGTCCTGAGCTACCTCAAATAGTGGTGCGTTGTCCCTCCAATGATGGTAATCAGTGGTATTGCCGGAGCCTACATCCCGACGATACCAGATGAGCGATTGCCCAAAGAGTGAGACTTTAAGTGCCTCGGGCTCGATAGATGCGACGGGCGTCAGTACGACATGGCCTCTGACAATATCGTCTGGCCTATAAACTCTATCGGCCGTGTCATCGAGTTGTATCGCTAAGTCAGGGAGTGGCGGTTGACGAAGCTTGTTGGAGCTAAAGAGGCCCATCTTGACGCCAGACCACTCAAACTGTCTCAGGCTGAGGGCTATGGAGTATTTTAGATGGACTTATTGGGAAGGTAGAAGGATGTGGATGCCTCCAGTTAATATTCTAGGTGTATACTCTTCGTGTTGCGTCGTTTTTTCAAAAAGGCGATCGTTACTGATTGTAGTATTGTTGGAAGTATTGACTTCGATTTGCAATGTACTTTCTCGAAAAGTCGAGCAAAGTGCTTGTGCCATGGAATGGACGATGGCCATTTTTGGTCGCTCCCTGATATTAGGGCCACCTACACAGCCACGTCTGACTTTCAGGCAGACCAACCTCGTGGCACAGGGATCAACATGTTTGCAGTCACGGCCCACGATTGCCTTCGGTGAGACACGCGCCCATTTAGTTGCAGGTGAAGGTGCAACGCGTCATTGGGTCGTCGCAGTCGGGATGGCTCCGTGGTGGCGGCCACTTGGGTGGGTGAGGGAAAGGGGACTTCGGAGTTTTCGGCAGGGCTCCACTCTGGTAGCTCATCAACTGGCAAGCCAGTCAAACCACTCCTATATAGGTGATGAGGCTACGAACATTGCCTAAGTACAAGTACAAGAACACGAAGTGCAGCAGTATACGCTCTTATTCTGGGTACTCTCAAAGCTCTCCTCATAGATTGTAGCTAAGAACTTCCGAGTTTTCCTCTTTGCTCTACAGTCTTTGCTATCTCAGCTCCAACATCCGACCCCAGTGCTTTAAAACCATCTATGACACCCTGCTGATCACCTGCACCCATCTCTTGACTCATCTTGTACTTGCCACCAATATCCGTTATTTCGATCTGGACGCCGATAATCGCTTTCTTCAGTATGTCGATGTATGAAGTAGGCGCATCTTCCACCTGCCATGGCTTCTCGTAGCCCATAATGTCTCGTTCTGACTGGCGGGACAGGTCCCTAATCTGTTTGTCGAGGAATTGACCCGTAGAGGCGGCTTTGGTGTCGTAAAACACGGAAGCACGACCATAAACCTGTACCGCTGAGTAATTCCATGTAGGAACCACTTTCCCACTTGCTGGCTTTGTCTCTTTGTAAAATTTGGGTGTGACATAGTGGTGTGCAGGACCGTTAAAGAGGATCATAACATCGCGTGATACAGTCTGCACTGTATCGATCTTCCCTTCCTCATTTTGAGATTGGATGTGTTCGATTATAGTTTTAGCTTGCGGATTCGCTCGCGCGATATGCCCACGAAGAACGCCGAGATGGACCTGGTCTGCTGTGTTTTCGACATCCAAAACGAAGGGAATGTGACTCGATTGAAGAAAAGGAAACGACTTGGAATCAATGGCTGTGGTGAAGATGCCCAGCGGGTTGGCGCGTATGAATTGCTGTAGTCTAGCAATGTCTTTCTCTGCATGAACGGCACGAAGATACATGGTGGATTGGCGAGTGGTTGCTGGATATAAGGCAGATATTGTCTACTGAACATTCAAGGCCGACATACGAGCATCAATATATGAAGCGCTCCACATGTTGTTTTGATTGTCATGCTGTAGGGCGCAACATGTCGGTGATGGCGTCTACAGCGTATAATTGAAGTACCCAATCAGATATTACGCAATAATAAGGAGCATGAATACAGGAAGAGGTCGATGACTCGAGCGTGACTATCCGCTATGGGCCGATTGTGCTCCACACCTTTTGCTTAAGATCATTGGTTGATTTGCTAGCGGAAAGCGATGTTGTACGAAGTACGTTTGGAAGGAAGGGTCCAGCTCGACGAATTCGAATTTGGAAGTGCGGCTCGCTCTGCGTCTAGTGCCTGGAACTTTCGCATGACAAATCGCACAGCCAGGCCGGCGCAACCAGTGAGGTTGTACTACAGCGAGCATGTGTGGATCGGAATTACTTCCTATGTTGAGGAGCAGGGACGACAGTAAATTACTGCGTATTCCTCACCTTTGAGTTCCTGTGGCGTGGTGCATACTCCGTTCGATATGAGCTAAAATCGTAGACAAGGTACGTTCTCTAGGTAAGATATTACGGGTACCTATGTTGCCTACTTTTGCAGTATTCGTATCATTCTTGAGAGGTGAGTATGAATAAGAGCTGGTGGTTAGAGGTCAAAGGCGATAACGGCTGCGTGAGAAGCGTGGAAACGAGCGTTGGGAATTCTGGAATGACGCAATGCATGGCTGGCTCCCTCAGATCCTAGGACCTTTGACCCCGAACAGAACATGTGTGAATTTTGAGACCGGCAGCTTCTACACTCTGTTTACATGACGAAGTCTAATGTCATGTTGTACCGCCTCGATGAGCGATTTGCACGAACCTCAGTGGTACAGATGTGTTCGAAAAGAGGGGTTCGCGCATCTCCGTGGGGGTGGGTTCCGTTGCAGAAGGTACAAGCGATCAACCCCACATGAGGTAGACCATCGTCACCATCCTTTGGTCCGACGTCACCACCACGACCACGTCCCTGCACTTCAATCTGCGTCCATAGATTGAATCGAACACATTTGAGACTAAACTTTAGTTGTTGGTTGCTCAACTAGCTCAGACAAAAGCAAAAATGACTTCTAGTTGGGAAGAGCTTGCTGCAGACAAACGAACTCGTATCGCCAGCACCATACCTTCGGAATGGTTGATTCGAGACCTTCCAAGCGATGACAATGTCTTCGCGTTTCCGAAAGCATCAGGGCTTCTTTCTGCACGAGAAATCGAGCTGACCGAGTCTTCGGCCACTGATCTCGTTGCACAAATGGCTGAAGGGAAGCTCAAGTCCGTGGATGTCACACTTGCCTTCTGTAAAAGAGCTGCCCTAGCACAGCAGCTAGTAGGACCACCTATACCACTGTGGCAGATCCAGTGACTAACAAGTTGCTGCAGACGAATTGTGTACACGAGTTCTTCCCCGAGGAGGCTCTCGCACAGGCTCGAGATCTAGACAAGTATTACGCCGAGCACAACACGACTGTTGGACCTTTACATGGTCTCCCGATCTCTTTGAAAGACCAACTGCGAGTGAAGGTACGATATCTTTCTCCTACGTTCGATGTACTCAACTCTCGAGCGAACTGCGAACGACAAGCCTGACATGGTTGCATTAGGGAAAAGAAACATCCATGGGCTACGTTTCCTGGCTGGGAAAGTATGATGAAAAAGACTCCGTTCTTACAGAACTTCTTCGTAAGGCAGGTGCTGTCTTTTATGTCAAAACAAGTGTCCCTCAAACCTTGATGGTCTGTGAGACTGTCAACAACATCATTGGAAGGACCACAAATCCGCGCAACAAGAACTGGTCGTGCGGAGGAAGCTCGGGAGGAGAAGGAGCTATGATCGGCCTCCGTGGAGGAATCATCGGTGTTGGAACTGATATTGGCGGCTCTATTAGAATCCCATCCGCCTTCAACTTTCTATACGGCATCCGTCCTAGTCATGGTCGAATGCCATACGCAAACATGGCGAACAGCATGGAAGGTCAAGAGACCATCCACAGTGTCGTCGGACCTATTGCTCACTCTGCGTCTGGTAAGTGAACAAGACGCACGTCCCTGCTGATCGAGAAGCTGACTGTCAAGACTTGAGATTATTCCTCACATCGGTGCTCCGCGAAGAGCCCTGGAATTACGACTCCAAAGTCATCCCATTGCCTTGGAGGTACAACCTAGAAGATGCTCTGAAGGCAAAACTCAATTCATCCGGCCTGACCATCGGTTACTACACATGCGACGGCAACGTGAGTCTCAGACCGAGATGCAATACAATTGCTTTCGCTAAAAGCACAGGTTCTGCCACATCCTCCTGTCCTACGTGGAATCGAACGCGTAATGGACGTCTTGGAAAGAAGTCAGCACAAGGTTCTACCCTGGACTCCATACAAACATGATTTTGCTGTCGATCTTGCTAACAAGATCTATGGAGCAGATGGCTCTACGGTAATAACTCCTCCCTTTAGCTCTTGCGCAGCTACGCTTAGGTGTTTTGCTGACAATCAGACAGGACGTAATGAAGGACATCAACGCTTCGGGAGAGCCAGGAATTCCAAACATCAAAGAACTCCTCAACCCAGATATGCGAAAGGCTGACTTGAACGATGTGTGGGATATCCATTTACAGAAGTGGAATTACCAGATGCAGTATCTGTCCAGATGGCGAGAGGTTGAGGCCGAGCATGGCTGCGAACTTGACTGCATCGTTGCTCCCATCAGTCCAACCGCTGCTATCCGACACAACCAGTTCAAGTACTATGGCTACGCGTCTGCCATCAACTTACTCGACTTTACGAGCGTCGTTGTCCCGGTCACTTTTGCAGATAGCAAAATCGATGCCAAGCGTGCAGACTATGAGCCTCTGAACGACATGGATGCAGCTGTCCAGGCAGAATACGACCCCGAAGCATACCACGGTGCTCCCGTTGCTATTCAAGTCATCGGAAAGAGGCTCAGCGAGGAGAAGACATTGGCGATTGCTGAGGAAATAGGAAGGTTACTCGGCAACTCGGTAACACCTTAAGCTGTAGCAGGATACAAGCTATCGTGAACATGTAAAACAATACAAAAAGAATTGTAACGATGTATTCTCCATGTTTGTTCAGGAAGATTGATTGCCGGTTGTATAGGTGGCGTGAAGCGGACCCGGAAATTCCGCCGCTAAGCATGCGCAGGGATCCACTCTGCCTAATTGGAGCTCGTCACAGCCTTGACCTGTCTCATCTCTTATCTCACCAGCAATGTTTCTCTTCTTAGCTGTCCTGCTGATCGTCACACCTGCATTAACTTACTATGTCTCCACAACATTGTTCTACCAAAATGCGAAACATACCGTATCGGGGAGCAGGCCACCAACAATCCCGTATCTGTTCCCAGGGGTTTTCCATGCTTTCAGTATAGCGTATGACGGACCGCAGAAGTACTTCGCGAGGTTACTGTACGATCATCCATGTATACATTACATCGTGAGTGCTAACATCTGTCAGCAAGGACTATGGCAGCTTCGCACCGTTTGCCGTCAAGGCGGGCTTGCAGCCCTTCATTGTTCTTCGAGATCCAGAGCAGATGAAGCAGGCTATCCAGGCGTATGAGAAGCGAAATCCAGTCATCACCGGGAAGAGTATGTACGAGATCATTCTGGGTTCTCCTCAAGCTGTAGCAAATCTATACACCAATGCGGCCGTCGATCAAGGAGCCATCGAGCGTGCGCGCATAGCATCAACGCAAAAGTACCTAGAAGGAGAGTCCTTGAGAACTTTGACCGACCTCTACGCTGCAACTCTTTCGCACAATCTGAATAACAAGATGTTTCAAGTCGGCAGCTGGACACAAATAGAAGACAGCTGGTCGTTTTTCCAGCAAGTCCTCACAAGGTGTTCTATGGAGATCCTCTTCGGTTCAGCAATCTTCAAACAATATTCTGGACTCATCAAGGACTACTGGAAATTTGAAGATGCCATTGAGGGCTTCGTGCCGGGGATGCCATGGTTCACAAATTCAACGGCATATAGGGAGCCACGTGATCGACTATACAAAGGCGTCGAGAAGTGGTTGAAAGCTAACCATAGCGGCACAGAATTTGCAAAGATCGGTAGTGACGACATGGATTGGGATGAACATAAGGGATCCAAATTCATTCAAGAACGCGATGACTTACTTGCGAAAGCCCCGTTACCTCTTGAAGCTAGGACAGCGGAGATGTTGGACATCATGCACTGGTAAGCATCATCTGGGGATACATTATCTACCAAGCATCAAGAAGTTCTGACATGCTCTACAGCTCGAATGTTGATCTGATTCCTTCAGCTGTGTGGTCAATAATAGAAGTTTTACGCAAACCGTATCTGGCGGAACGCATTATTACTATCGTCTCTGAGCGACAATCGTCGAAGGCGACCACATATGACGTCAATGGGGTTGCAGCCTTGCCCCTCGTTCAATCGTTACAGGCGGAAATAAGCCGCCTCCGTATCGCACAATACATGACATGTGCCAACGAGTTCGCCGAAGTTTCCATCGGTAGCCAATGGAAACTACCCAAGGCATGCAACACAATTTCCTTCTCGCATGATATCGCACTGGATACCAAGGCCTGGGCAAATGCACGGCCACGCACTGTTGAGAAACCGTTAGATGAGTTTTGGCCTGAACGCTTCTTGATCCCCGATGACAATGGACCCAAAGTGCGAGGCCAACGGAAGAGCGGAACCCGTGTCGAGAATGGAAGGTTCGATGCGCAGAACCTCGAGCTGCTGGCCCCTATCTTTTACGACCGACAAAGCTTTGGAATTGCTAGCGACTATAGCAGAGCCATACAAGCAGCCACCCTGGCTGTTGTCATGAGTGAATTCGAGGTACAGTTATGTGACCCAGAGGCGGCCGATGCTGCGATGCCTGTGCTGCGAGAGTCCGCTTTTGGGCAGCTCCGACCACAGGAACGAATAGCTGTGCGCATACGCAAACGCAAACTTGGGAAAGGACAATGAAGGTACCCCGCTTCTCAACAAGAGGTCGTGTGAGCTAGCCACCAAGACTATTCGTGTAGGCAATGCGAACAATCAAATAGGCCCGCTTTGTGTTCACCACCCCGTTTTTTCACAGCCTCTTCGAATCCCTCTAGCCATCTCTCAAAGCTCAAAAGTAACTGCAACAATGATTAGTATCACTCCCCAGAGCATGAAGGAGGTAGATAAGCTCACCGTAGTCGGGGGCTTCATTGTGCTCGTCATTACATACTGGCTTATCAAGACTATCTATAACCTCTTCTTCCACCCTTTGGCCAGCTTCCCTGGTTCACGCTGGGCAGCTGGATCATACATTCCTCAATTATACTACGACATCATACATGGTGGGCAGTATTACAAGAAGGTTATACAGATGCACGAGGAACATGGTGAGCATTTCCCAATACGTGCACTCCACTATAGAAGTATGTGTTCATAATAGGCAGGCGCACTTATACGAGTCAATCCTGATGAGCTCTCCCTCAACGACCCCTTCTTTTATGACAAGGTATATTCAGGTGGTGGACAGAAGCGCAACAAATGCCCTGATCTCACAACCATCGTACGCACATCGATGATCTCCACTAACGACCATGAACTACATCGGCAACGCCGCGGCTATATTGCCAATTTGTTTTCGAAGAGATCCATCTCAGACCTGGAATCAATCATTCAGTCTAAAGTTGATAAGTTGGTGACCCTTCTAAAGGAAGCCAACCATACTGAAGAAACCCTTATTGGGCCTCTCGTGTTTGGCAGTCTAGCCGTCGACGTTATCTCACACTATGCATATGGCGAGAGTTTTGGTAACCTCGACAAACCTGGATTCCCGTGCGAGCTCGAACGAGATGTTAAAGCCATATTGATGATTCAACACATGCGACGATTTCTTCCTGGCATTGACCGACTCATTACACATCTTCCGGCCTGGTTAGTTGCCCGCATCAGCCCTTCCATAGTTAGCTTTCTGGATTTTGAAACAAGAATCGCAGGATACTCAAAAGCGGCACTTAAGAAAAGCATGGAAGGAGAAGAACCAACCAAGCCCCGGACGGTGTTTGACGCACTAGTCAGCTCCAAGATACCCGCACAAGAGAGGACACTTCAACGACTGACAGATGAGAGCTCAACCATCCTGATTGCTGGGGTGGATACCACTGCCAGAACCTTGACAGCTACCATGTGCTACTTAATTCTGTATCCCGAGATCCTAGCCAAACTGCGTGCAGAGCTACAACTATATAAGAACGCGACCTGGACCCAGCTTGAATCTCTACCGTATCTGGCAAGTCATTTGCTACATTTTTCTATATGTGCCTCCTAATGCATACTAGACAGCGGTCATCAATGAGTCACTTCGATACGAATCTCCCTTCACAAGTCGCTTTCCACGCTTACTTGTCGAGCCGCTTACTTACAAGGGCATGCTCATACCTTCCGGCGTAAGTACAGTACAGAACCTGCTTGAGAGCTTGAGTGGCCTAAAATGATTCTAGACTACCATCGGTGCAATGCCATATTTACTCAATAGCCATCCCGACGTTTTCCCTGATCCCCATGTGTATAGACCTGAGCGATGGATTGAAGCAAAAGCCCGTGGAGAATATCTCGACAAGTATTTAGTCACCTTCACGAAGGGCAGTAGAGCCTGTCTTGGCATAAAGTAGGCCCTTTATGCTTCTTGTGCGATGCAAGAATGCTAACATGATCTAGTCTTGCATACGCCGAACTTTACCTTACCGTCGCAGCTATGGTCCAAAACTTTGACCTGGAGCTTGTGGACTCTTCCATCGAGAACATCACTCCATACCGAGACTTTGGTCTAGGTTTCGACAAGAAATATAACTACGGTGTCAACTTCAGAGTTACCAAGGTACTCCAAGAGTGAACGATGAGTTTTCTCGGTTCAAAGTGACTAGTACGCGTATCGTTCTGGAGCATGTATCTAATTTTGACACACGCAGGAGGTACTGGAATACTGTATCGTGTTAAAGCCAGATAGGCTCAAGGTACCTGATGACGACAGAGATGAACATGAACGAATTAGCTAGTGATTATTGTAGCTACTCAACAATTACGGAACGTAGTATATCATGCAGGCAGACATCTAAGCTCAGACCGAGTCCATTTCCTTGCTGTCAGCCAACCCTATCCCTGCCACAATCGAATCCACAACCATTTCCACACCGCGCATCCGGTTCAGTAACCTCGCAGTTTCATGCTCAAAGGCATCCAGTAACTGGGTCACGGCATTTCTGTACTTTTGTTAGCTTCTTCCAGGCTAGATACTACCAGACTCACTCTAGTATATTTGCACCGAACGCACTTGTTCGCCTCCATTCTCCGATTGTCGCGTTGGTCGTGCGTATCGCGTCTGATACCAGACAGCGTCGATGATTTGTGATAGGTAGGCGGGAATGATGGTGGGTTGGGGATGGGTTGGTCGAGGGGAGGTGTTGCTGCGAGGGTATCGGTGACAAGGAGCGTGAAGATGGCGAAAAGGAAAGTCGTTAAGGCCACACGTAGGGAGTAGTGAATCATGGTTGAGATGGAAATACGAAGCGGCTTAGGTCAAGAGTGAAGATAGAGGCAGGTAGGAGTTTTAGATAAGAACATGTACGAGACAAAATAAACGACACGTTGGCCTGTGTCAAGTATTCCTATCATCGCTATGACTGTACTACCTCTTCTCCAAGAGGTGTAGCGTCCTAAACTAACAAACTGTCTCATCCAAGCATCATAGGAACCGCGATTGCCAGAAACCTCGCTCATTCTGTTAGGAGTTGAACCGATGTACGTGTATCACCGCCTCGTACTACGACAAACCCAGAAACCAATCCATCACATTCTCCAACCACCACCTAGCTCACCCGTCCTACCAGCATGCAGCGTCGATACTCACTTGACCCCGGTGTTTCAATGACGTCTGTGATGTGGTAACCGCTCGTGGCCCATCACTTATGGCGAGTTTCAAGGGCAATTCAGCCCACAAGCCGACTTGCACAGGATGTTTTCCCTAACAGCCTTGCACATGCAATGGTTATAGCACATTGTCCCCGTACCGCCGTTGGGGCAGAGAATAATAAACAAAATTTGCTATGATTCAGATTAGTCACAGTATTGCGACAACGATTATCTGCCTTGGTTGTGCGCCTTTCCATTTGTCGTGGGAGAAGGAATCAGACCGAGGAAGGCTTCAACACCGAAAGGGGAAAAGGGGGAAGAGAGAAGGATTAAAGAAAGATAGACTTACCTTTGTGCAAGTAGATATCTTTGATTTACACTCATTACAGATTTTGGTGGGGTCGTCGGTGATGATGCCTTGTCTAGGCTCGAGAGAGTTGACGGGTGTGGCACTGGCAAGAGCTACCAGGGTTGTAACGAGGAGAACTGCAACCTTCATGGTGATGATGGCTTGGTTTCGTTAATAGAGTTCAAAGGTGAGAACGATTTCTTTAGGTTGATGGTCAGCTGCGAGGCACCGTAGAGATAGGAATGAGATTTCGAGTCTTTATCAACTTATAGAGAAGAGTGGAGTTGCGTTCTTGTTACCTAGATTGATTAGCAGCGACTTGTTTCATTTTCAATATGCGACCATGTGGTGTAGTTTTTCCTTTGTCGCTCCTTGCATGTTAGACGTACGGCGAAGACAGAGCCAACACGAGGTAAACCTTGCGCCCTGCGGTTAGCCAGTCCATCACACCAACAAGTGGCCATGGTAAGAAGGCCGGACTTGGCAATAGTTGCTTTGTATTGTGATATGGCCGACCGAATGGGCCCGTCGATACTGGTGGATGTAGTATGCCTGCCTCAATCCTCTGGCCCTTCAAAACTATTCCTTTGTATGCACCAGCATGCACCTAAGCACCACGTCCACCTCTCTCGTCCTGCATGCCAATAGCTGGGTCCGGCGCCTCAGGGAACTCCTTCTTCGCCTTGTCCTTTCCGCCAGCCGAGTCCTTTTCTTCAGTCGCATGGCCACCACTGCCCTCTTTTCGCGCGCTGCTGGATGGTATTAGCCGCACGTTATGATAATGCCACTCTCGTTCCCTTGCTCCTCTTGCACAATGCAGTATGCACACGGCTGGGGATGACTTACTCTAATCCGGCCTTTGCATTGCTCTCCTGGACGTTGTGTGTGTCTCCTTGCTTGACCTTCTCTTGTACCGCGTGAGGGCTGTCGCTGTCGTACTTGTCCGTCTTGGTCTTTGAGTTGGTGCTCGCGTTGTTCGGGTATTGCTCGACCCTTCTTGAGGCGGAGAGGGAGAAAGGACGCGCGGACGGGACGCTGAAGCGCAGGGTTCTTGTGGATCGGATCATGGTGTTGCGGAACATGGTCATTGAATTCGTAGCTTGTAGCTGTATATTACGTAGATGAGGGTATATCGAATATGTGTCGATTGGGTAGATTGAATGTTTGATGTCAAGGGGGATGGATGCAAGGAAGCAAAAGTTTGGCCGAGACCGAGGTACGCAAGAGCGAATGACGCATGACGCGTTTGTACATTTCAGCTAACAGATGCAAATGATGATGTATGACGCTCTCGACATGTACCTGGCATGGGCCGCAGGTCATAGCTCCACTCGTCGCGCTTTGCCGCATCGAGATGGCATCTACCCCTCCCCCACACTTTTGCCATTTGAGCCTCATCGCGAAGATCGGGCTACCTTCAGCACCAGACGATTTACCCAAGGATCCAACATGGCGGACCACAAAGACTGGAAACATGACGACTTTCCCTGCACCCTGTACAGACCCTCCCACACCGACTTGTTACCATACATACTAATGCACGCCCAGCACCCTCAACATACCTTTCCCCTCCGCGCACCTCGCCCAAACCGCCCAACGCGCCATCTCTGTTGATGCCGAACTCTCACCCCTCGTCCGCCGCGCCTTTTCCCTCAGCACATTGCCCGAATCCCCTCAACAAAGCGTCCTCAAGGTAGAATACGCAGCAACCACGAACCGCATGCTACGCGTCGCCGTCAATGGCTTCATCGAGAGCATAGGCGTCGTGATAGGCGTCATGAAGGAACTAGACACGGATATTGTGTATGAACCTACAAGGGAAGGACTGGAAGGTGTGCAGGGACTAGACGCGGCCAAAGTAGGATGAGGGGTACGAGGAGAGCAATTGCGTCAACCATCACATCTACACAAGACGAAGATATGCGCGCCGACGAAGCCTGCAGAGTAAGCCAAGCATACAAGAAGATAGTGGGAGGATAAAAGAGTCGAGCTCGTGGTGTGCGAGAGAGGAAGCGACCGGTATAACTCAGCGGTCAAGCCGTGAGGGGTGGACGAAAGTCAATCATCTACCAAGGAATTGCCCTTGTACCAGACAGGGCATGCTGATGGTATACACTTGGGACGTTCTGCAGTATCCACAACATGAAGAACAGCAAATAAGATTGGGGTGCGTGTCCAAGTTTTGTGCTTTCAATTCTCAGTGCTCTCCGTGCCATGCTACAAGCCAAATACGGTTATCCAAACGTCTGGATGCTATGCTATATGCCCTCAAGTGCCGATTCTATTGCTATTTCTTCGCCTACAACTCCTCGTCACCATCTTCCTCCACCTCATGGTCCTCAAATTTCCTCTTGGGCGCAGAACTTCCTTCTAGAACCGCCATCTTCGCCTCTGGAACCATGGACGGCGCAACCGGGGCATGCTCTGGCGGTTTCTCCGTCGGCATAGGCGGATACACACCATCGTCTCTGATCTGCCAGCCATCTATCTTCAAAAGCTTCCACCTCTCCTTGATCTTGCACCGAACCAGCTCGCCTGTAGTCCGCGCATCTTCGTAGCTGTCGTGGCCAGCGGCGCCTCCTTGCTGGATTTGCTCACCGAGGTAATCTGACGCTAGCTTGCGCAAGCCAAAACGGAAGGGTAGACCGCTGGGATTCGGGTAGAGAAGTACAGTGTCGATTATGGTCGGGTGGATGAGACGAATGGTGTTGAGGTCGTTTTCGAGAGCATGACCGAGAACTGGGGTGGTGGGAGAGACGTGTGAGAGAAACAGGTCTCGTGCGACCTGAGGTGAGTCGACGATGCGAAGGTCTTTGCGGACGGGCTTGGGATTTGCTGCATCGTACGGCTTCGCGTTCAGGAACTGGTCTGCGGTGATACCCGAGAACCGCGTATTGAAGTCTAATACATGTCCGAGGGGGCGCACCAGCACATCAACAAGAGGCTTGTGCTGCGGCCATGTTATGACGGTAAGACGAAGCATCTCGAGACCGTTGGTCGTGTAGCCCATTTCGCAATCGAAACACACGGCGGTATCCTTTGGAACTTTGTCGTTCTCTGGCGTTTCGATGAACGGCATGATGAGCGACAAACGATTTGGGTCTTTGACGTTGTACACATGTGTGCTGTGCGTGGTGCAGCCTTCTGATCCTACCTCTCCATTGCAGCAGCTGAACTTTGTAGGCTCTGGTGCAACGCCTCTTGATTTTCGAGGGAAGATCCGCCTGCCCCAGTGATGTTTGCACTGCCCTCCAGTAGTAAGTGCTCCGTCTTCCTCCCTTCGTTCTGCGAACACTTGGAAACGAGTGTTGCAGCGTTCGCATTGTTCCCAGCCACCCGCTGCTTCCAGCGCTAACTTTGTCTCAATGAGATCGGCGTCGGCAGGCAGCTTGGTCACATAGCCATGCTTATCCAATCCTTCCTGCGGGCAGATGAGCCTGGGGAGAAAAGTGACTTCTTCTTTTGGAGTAAGGCCTGTATCGACCTTCTTGGGAGGTGCCTTTTTTGGTGGTTCTCCGCTTTCCTTAGCTATAGCTTCGCGTCGTTCCTTGACCCATTCTTCCGCTGGCATGGTCTTCAGCTTGACCAATCGCTGTTTCAGTATGTTTTCATACACTGAGCCACTTGATGAAGCTATTCTTTCCTCTTCATCAACCGCCAGTTTATTAAGCTGATTTGTTGATAGGTGTAGTGCTTTGATTTCAGGTTTGACTGCTTTGAGAAGCTTGTCGTTCTGGGGCTTCATGTAGGTATGCAGCGCCTTGAGTAGAGTAATCCGCTTGGTGAAGGTTGCTGGTTCTTTGTTGAGTTTTCGCGGCATCAAGGCAACAGGAGCATCAGGTTTAGCAGCGATCTTGGGTGCTGCAGCAACCGGTGGTGGAGATACTGGTCGTGTAGCAGATGCCGGAAGAGGAGTGGGTGTCTTGGACGGTGCGGTGTTAGCAGCTTTGGGCGCATTGTTTGGTGTCGGTGCCTTGGTCTTGGGCGTGTCTGAGTTAACAGGAACGTTGAGCTTTGCCTGTATTGGTGCTGGAGCGGCCTGTAAGTTGGATGCCTTTGAACCGTCATCGAGTTTCAGCCTCTTCGCGATGGGCTCTGGATCATATTTTGCTGCGACGGGTGACGGAGACCGTCGCGCTGGAGGTGGCTCCGATGTCTCGTGACTGAAGATGCAATGAGGCAACTCGCATTTTGCACCAGAGGGACACGTTATGTTGGCAAAGCTCCTGTAAGCTGGTATCGAAGGCCACATGTTTGTTTTGATTACAGTGTATCCTTTCCTGTAAGTAGATACAATGCCAAGCTTAACGCGCTCGTAACCTACCAGGCTATAACAGCTGAGTAGCTATGCGCTGACAGTCGCAACTATATGGAGCCTGATCTTGTAATCGACGAGAGCTGCACGCTTGACTGCACGATATTGCACTGGATTGAGCGAGTGACGTCTGATGAATCAATATCGCAATGCGCAAGAGAAGATTGACGTGAATGCAAAGGCGGCTGATGAGAGACCGTCGCGTTGAGGTCCGTATTGATGCCTCATCAACTTCATCAAGTGCAGTATGACAACAATACGCTGCAACCAAGGTTGCCAGCAAGCTCCAGTATGAGCTTCAGCTATCCCAAAGGAGCTAGAGTGAGCCAGATGGTGAAGGTGAGTGATGAGGTGAGATGCGCGTCTCAGCCCTGTAGATTCTTTAGCGCTAAATAAAGGGTACCTGGTCCACGGTCCACGGTCCACGGACGCGGGCGAACGCGACGGCGGCGATCTAATCGTTAATTCCGTCATGACGCGGTGATGCAACTGCTGCGCATTCCGAAAACACCGACTTTAACCTGTTCAGCGCCCACAATTGATGTGCAACTGTCTTCTAACTACATTTGCACACCTATACGCCAATCCGAGACGGTCGTGCTACTTTGTCGTGACATTAGTGGTGTCCTGGCCGCAGGTGACTTGCTTTTGAGGCTGCGCGCGTCTCGGTCAGACTTGCGCCTCCCACGGACGACTTCTGGCCGCCGGGGCGACATACATACACTGCGCCTTCCACCCTAATTCCCAGGCCAGCAAACTTCACGTCTTTCGCCATGTCCACCTCTGCCGATACCAAGAAAGCCGACCACCTGTGTGTCCTCGTCCATGGGTACGTCTCTGTACGAGGCCTTATCGCCACCTATCATGTCAAGAAGAAGCACTTCCGCTGACCGCAACCAGTCTGTGGGGGAACCCTGAGCATCTGAAATACGTCAGTACCACACTGGGCGAGAGATTTCCACAAGACGAACTGCACATCCTCGTGGCCAAGCGCAACGCTGGCAGCTTCACCTACGATGGTGTCGATACTGGCGGCGAGCGTGTCGCAGAAGAGGTCGAGGGCAAGATAGAAGAACTAGCCAAAGCCGGACACGACATAACTAAGATCAGTGTCGCCGGCTACTCGCTAGGAGGCTTGATCGCACGCTATGCCATCGGTCTGCTCTATCACAGAGGCGTCTTCGACAAGATACAGCCAGTCGTACGTGCCTCTATCATCACCCCACCGCACGATATACTGACTCTCTAGAACTTCACGACCTTCGCGACACCACACCTCGGCGTGCGGACGCCCCTCAAAGGCTACCACAGCCACATATGGAACGTCTTGGGAGCACGAACGCTTTCTATGAGCGGCAGACAACTGTTTGGCGTCGACAAGTTTAGAGACACAGGCCGATCGCTCCTATCTGTACTCGCAGACCCCGAGAGCATCTTCATCCGAGGCCTTGCGCAGTTCAAGCACCGAAGTCTATACGCAAACGTCGTGAATGACCGAACAGTCACATACTATACCGCCGGCATCTCACAAACCGACCCCTTCGTCGACCCAGACGACATCAAGATAAACTACATCCCAGACTATGAGGAAGTCATCGTCGATGGCGATCACCCAGTCTCGCCAAAGGAGCCTGAAGAACCCCCAGCTTTCTCACAACGACTGGCGCAAGGCACAAGGACAATACTGGGACGGGCGACGATTGTCGCAGTTCTGACAGTCTTCATACCATTTGGTGTGTCGGCCTTCCTCATCAATTCGGCTGTTCAGACGATTCGCAGCGGTCAACGCATAAGACTACACGAAGAAGGCAGATCTGGCATCGACTACGCACGCTACCGCATACCCAACATGATCACCGCCATGCGACGAGAAGCCGAGGGCATGTATGAGAACGCGAACCATGCCCAGAGCCAAGATTATTTGAGCGAGGGCTTCGAACATGTGGCCTCTCCCACCCAGCCCATCTCACCGCGCTCGCGCAAGGATAAGCCCAAATCGGACGCCGATTCGATACAGGAGCAAAAGGATGCTGCGAAGGTCATTTTCCCGACATTGGCCCTTACCGATGACCAATTCAAGATGATCGAAGCGCTAGACAACGTGGGCTTCACAAAGCACCCAGTCTACATACATAACCACCGACACTCCCACGCGGCCATTATCGTGCGTATGAACAAGCCTTCCTTCAATGAGGGCAGGGTGGTCATCAAGCACTGGCTCGATAACTTCGAACTCTAAGTCACCATTTGACATCTTTTCTGTCTACATTTTCAGCGCGGCGCATGGCGTATTTCTGGGATAGCATGTCTCGGAATATAGAATCTGCTTTTCCATAGGGCGAGTTATACCTTTGTCATCTTATCTGTACAGATGTTCCTCATCTACAAATGCTCAATACATTACTACATTACAAGTGCTATTTCATTGTACAATGCATCTTTCTATCCTATTTTATTCTACCAAGGACTGGTCTCAATCCAGCTCACCCTTCTCTCCCACAAATCGAAATGTGCATCCTTTCACAAAGCGCCTTCCGCTCTGCCCATTAAGTTCAATCTCCACTCTCACTACTTCATACTTCGCTGTCTCATACATGCGTAGGGCATCTTCCTGTTCCTGCGAGACAACTTCATACGCCCATCCATAGACCCGCAATCCAGGATGGTCGTCGACCAGAGCATTGTACTTGCCGCCCCACGTCTGAAGCTTTCCTCCATGAATCAGGGCTGGAACCAGTATGTGCTCTTCCTCGGGTGGTGATTCGAACAGCTCGTTCAAAAACGAACTATGGCCCAGCGTGCCATAGAAGAAGTACCACACGGGAAATTGATTCTGTGTCGGGAGATACTCACACGCACTGCTGTCAGGACGGTGATGTGGTAATGTCATGTCGTAACCAAGAGTTGGGTACGCCGAGTCGGGAGACAAAGCCTTGCGCGCCTTACTAATAGGCGCAAAGGTTGGGGAAATGTCTGGGTATGCTTTGGCCAGCCAGCCCTTGATCTTTGGAATGTCGAGGTCGCTGACATGGCAGAATTGCGCGATGCCGTCTTCGCCTTCTCCCTGGATGATTCGGGGTTGGGAGGGAAGGATGGCGGCCAAGGCGAGGATTGTGGGAGTGACAGGGTCGCTGAGCTTGAAGAGGTAGTCCATATTGCTGCACTTGCGATCAGCTACTCCTTTAACTAGAGTCCTACGCTGCTTGTTGAACCGAAGCAAGTCCCTCAGTTCGGATGATAGTTTCGGTGCAGATGTACGATCGGGTAGTACGGTGTCCCCATTCAGTTCATCGAATGCGCTCATGGCGTGCTGGTCTAAATTGTCGAGATATTCCATGTTGCTGATGGTAGCTATCTACCTGCTGTAAATTGTGGTAGATCTACGTCGTAGTAGAGAGGAAGGGTGGGAAATAGAGAACAAAATAGAGCACACAGATTGTGCCAGTTGGACGACTATTGTGACTCAGTATTTAGCGTTGTTGCAGTAATGATGTATCGGTAGCGAGCCGTGGCTGATGGGCCTACCTTTTCACACTCTACATCAGGTCTGCAGCGTCGGATCCCCCTCCCACTATGGGAGCTGGGATGATATCAGTTTCGTGCTCACTTAATTCTCGTGCAGCGAACATCGAACATATGCGTGGTGGAATGCACAGAAAGATGCGATGGCCGTCTCAACACATCAAGAGACGATGGTGTTCTCGGCTGCCCATCTAACCAATGAAGCGTCTAGACATGAATTTTCAAAGCAAATACTTCGAGCTTGGCTATGCTCTTGTACCTATATGGGGTTAGTGGTTATGTTCACAGTCCCATGAAGATGTTGTCTTACCCCTTGAGTCATGGTTGAAAGCTGTCGCCAGGTCTTCCAACATGATAGTGGTATGCAAAGACCAGGTATGGTAACGCTGGTGATGGTGGAGTATGTTTTGCCTTGACATCGGTATGCTTGGGTGAGATGCATGTGTCGGGAGGAGAGTGCTGATCTCTGCCAATATCTTAGGTATCCGAACCAGTAACATTTGAGGAGAACGACACATACCATGGTTGTGTCGAGGTTGACGTCGTGTGTAGATTCTGTAAAGTAGCCATATCGTTGGCGGACATGTAATTAGGAGGGCGATGACAGCGATGACGCTTTGGGTGTCGAGAGCCATATCTCTGAGCTTGTTCTCTGGTCGGATATACGGAATGCTTGTACGGATGAAGGCAGAATGAGATTTGCACTTGGTAGACCGGTTGCTTTGCAGCGTCTGCGTGATCGCGAACATTGTCAATAGCAGTGAACAGCGATTATATAGCTGGAGCGTATGTCGAAGTCAAGTCGGACGCTCGGCGTTAACCTTGTGTCCTTAGGTACAAAAGCTCAGTAATGAAACTGTAATTATGAAATCCGCCGACCCTGGACAGCTAAGCACCCCTGTCTTCTTACACATCATCAATCGGCGCACGTACGTTGGATTACATTAGTCCATGGACAGGGGTGCATTACTTCTTGCAGAGAGTCAACCTTAAGAGGGCCGCGCTCGATTGGCCAGCGAAGCCGACCACTTCTCCAGGTTGGTTTGTTCAACTCGCTTGCCGGTCACAATGCTGGGTCATGATCTCGGTACGTCGAACGCATGCAGCCGCATACTTGTGCTTAGAGGCACAGAGGGAGACTTGTGGTGACCAGTCCTTGAGACTGGTCTACTATGTAAAGAACGACCAGCGGCCAAGTCTCTCAGTCGTGGAGAAGTCCTCGGGTGCGCCACGCACAGCCACAACCTTACAACAGACGTGAGCCAGCCAAAAGCTCTTTGCGTCCGCACGAGGTGTTAACGATCGCTATACGCCACCCCGCACTCCAAACGCACATCCGCGTATGCAAGTGCGCGGACCACAAGTGTGCGAGATTGGCAGCATGTCGCGCACAGAGTGGAGCGCAGGACCAAAGCCGTGTCGGCAAGCTGGACGACAGGCCGGACCACGGGAGCCAAATGTATTGCTACTGAGGTATAGTCATGCATGAGATGGCCTGGTAGGTACGCCAAAATCTTCGTTGTAATAATACCACTTCACTGGCGCAGCCCTCTTATGCGGCACGGCGGCATCGGTCTCATCGATGATTTTGGAAGCGACCAATTGCTGAATCGAAGACTTGGGAAGCGGCCAATGGCATGCCATACGCTTTCCCACTCTGACACACGCCCTTGTTTTCTTGCTGGCAACACCAGATCCCACGCAGCCTGGCTAGACGCTAGGTTCTCTCGAGAACACGACACTGTTGTCTTACGGGGCTCCCGGAAGTTCCGGTAGAGTTGCTAAAGTTCCGACTTTTTGTTGCCTTGCGGCGTCCGGCTCTGCTTACTGCCGAGAGGCAGTCTTATGATCCTATACTATACCATATAGCGGCGGTTGCACTTGGACCGATAGATTCAAACATGCCAAAGAGATCGGAAGAAGACGAGTCCGAATGAACGACACGGAAGAGTGACATCCTCGATCTATACGTAGAGCAGGATACGTCGCTGTCAGAAGTTATCCGTGTCATGGCCAATCAAGGCTTCACAAGAACGTAAGGGGAATGCGACGCTGGACTACATCATGTTAACCCGTACAAAGAAAATCACAATACGAACGATCCTTGAAGAGATGGCGTGTATCCAAGAATGTGCGCAAGGAGGAGTGGGACTTCATCCTCGGTCGCGTGAACCAACGCCAGCGCCCGACTACCGTGAAAGTCCGCGGTGTCACGATTTCGCAGTCGAGGCTAGAGCGTCAAAAGCTTCGTCATCGTGATAGTACTCCTGCTCTTTACGAACGAAGTAAGTAGAAAGCATCACGATATATGACGGCTCACTGAGAGGATGCCACAGAATTGAATCCTCTGCCCCATTGTCAGACACCACCGAACATTGAGATCTCCACGCCACCACCAAGCCTACCTGACGACGATTCGCAACTAGTCACATTGCCAGAGCATGAGTACGGTGGAGAGCCCGAAAGGTATGACCAAGAAACTTCTGTAGGCGAAGATACTCGAGACCAAAAAGTCATACTATCTGGAGAGGTTTCCATCTTGTCGTCAATCTACGACAACTCAAGCATAAACTTTTTACTCAAGATGCCTAAAGATGACACTGCGAATGGGACGCCGTCGTTATCTGGTCTGCACTCGATTGGTAGCCCCCCGATACTTTCAGGACCACTCTACGATTACATCTACAGATTGTTCTCCGGCGATTCTCGCCCTGTCCTCCAAGATGCTGTCAGGATGAGGAGTCAATATCAAGTCCACAATGGCCAGCGATCTGCTGAGGATACTATTTATCAATCTACTGACATCCTTGTCAAAGCTATCGTCCGATACAATGCTCCAAGCCGAGAGTTCCATCAAATCATGAGACGCACTCAAGATGGTTCTGATTTGGATCTTCTCCGACGAGTCCTGGTAGCTACTGGTTCGGACAGGGACTGGAAAACATTCGGCGGAACCCTTTTGTTCGATGCGGTGAAGGACGGAAACCTACTTCTATTGGACATACTCTTGAATGCAGGAGTAGACGAAATTGCTCCTGGCGAAGAAGAAGCCACTGAATATCCGTTCAATGCACTACAGATTGCAGTACAACACCGGCATGATGAAGTAATCAGGACTCTCACAAGGTAAGTTGCGGCTGCAGGAAATACATATGAGACACACACTGACTGCGTATCTTCATATCTACAGTCATGGCGCGATGATATTCACTGGCTGTCCATACACTGATTTCGAGTTCCTGTCTCAAGCAGTTACTGAAGATGCTATGCATCTTGTACGACCATTGCTTGCTGATTGTACAAGATCATTAGATCTCCAGATATTTCGAAAAGGAAGCGCAGCTCTTAGTCGGGCTGTGACTCTGTCCAATGACGAAGTAGTTGACGTTCTTCTTGAGGCTGGATTCAGTCCGTATGCTGAACGATACGATGGCCCTTTCTCAGATGATGTATGGCCGTTTGGAGGCCCTTTCGGGCTTGCTACGTCTTTTGAGGAGTTCAACTACTTTGAAAGGTTTTTGAAATCCCCATAGTAAGGTGTCAGTAAGAAGCGATGCCTCAAGCGACTTCGTCAGCTTACTGCTGCATTTGTCTTTGCTTTATCTTCCGGAGACTTCAAGCTCGAGGCTGCGATCCTAGAAGCATCAATGGGGCCGAATGAGATAAGAAAAATTCCATGAGATGATCATCTGCACCAGCGGCTCTACTTTGCTTTCACAGAAGAGCTAGAATATGGCGAGTGCAAGTTGACAAAGAAGTCCAACACAATACGCATGGCCGCGAACACTCCATAAAGAGGCTGGACGAGTCCAATATAACCAATACGCCTCTTCAATTGGCGGTAGTGAGAGACGAAGTGTCTACAGTACGCAGATTGAAAGCGGCCAGGACAAGTGTCGATTTCTATACGGAATTATGCGAACACTACATACTGTTGCAAGAAGCGATTTCTTATAGGCAATAGAGACATAGTTGTCCTTTAAATCGGAGCTGGTGTAGACGTCGACGCTCCTAGAGGTACATACGGCAAGGCCGCAATTGAGACAGCCGCCGAAGTAGGCATCCTTGAGATTGTCGCTTTCCTCCTCAAGGCAGGAGCAGATATGGGGGACAACAAGACAGGAATTACAGAAGGAATATACAGAGCACGAAGTAATGGACACATGAACTTGAAGATCTCCGGAGGCTGCAGAAATAAATGTGATATTCCAGGGACTAATGATTACACAGGATTCTCGTCTTTCACGCGCAGCCTCTGTCATCCGAACGCGTGCACCGCGTGAACACACCCTCCTCTCATTTCCCCTCTTTCCCCTCCCCCTTAACCCGCGAACGTGGCATCGGGCCGAAACCAAGCACCAAAAAGCTTGTTTCATGTGCTCGCCAGGTTCAGGGTTGCTTGTCAGAGGACAAAAATGAAAAGATCGTCATGGGAATCCTCGGTGCCGGGATTGTGCTTGCATTTGCGGGTTTTGAAACCGAAATGGACGGATCGCCAGGAACGCGAGAGTTTATGTAAGTTGTATGAATAAATGTTTTTCTTTTTCTCATTCCATCTGTAGATCTGGGGTACAGAGTTTTGAGAATGAGGTGAGTCTGCTGTAGCTGGTGCGTCATTGTTTTCGTAATGCATGTTTAGTGTTGATGGATACCGTTCGCCTTGAAGTTCGCTGTGACGTCGGTGATTGCGCGGTGTTGAGATACGGCCCCACCTGTTGTGTGGGATTGAAAGTGGAGAAGTATGGTATTACGATCGTTCAGTCATGTTGCCGTGTATCGAGGAGAGACCAAGACTTGTTGTCGCGTGCGAGCTCGAGCAATCAGTAGATGCATCACGTAAAAGATTCATCGGCTCAGAAACAAAGGATGTAGGATGGTAAAAAACAACGTAGATTGGTTTCATAGTATCGCTCGAAGTTATGCTGGTAATCGTGAGGGAAAGAAAAAGGGTGGTCTCAAACCATGCCGCTCGCGCACATACGCCATGATTGCTGAAATTCGCCGTTATGGTATAATGCCCCAAAAGTTGTCAAAGCTAAAACGCTGGAAAAAAAGTCCATATGCGCCCTTGATCGGACTATCATATGGCTAGTGAAATCCTGCTTCGTACTCCTACAAAACGCCCGTAAACCCAAGCCGGGTATTTCGCCCATAAGTTGCTCGTCGTGAAATCTAATATGTACATGGAAGGTGGTCATGTTGTGGTGGTGGTGCGTCGAGGTGGTCTCATATCGAATCTATTGCCGGGTATTTGCGCTCTTGTTTCTTGTCTTCTTTGAGACATATGCCTTGTCTGCCAACCTTTTCTTGGAGGTAGTGGAGTCGGTCGGTATCCTTTTCGTCGAATGCGAAGGCGCCGCTCCAGAATCCGCAGTCGATGTTTGTGGTCTCGTTTCGAAAGACGACCTGAGCTTGTGCCGCCAGGTCCACTGGGGGGATACCGTGTTCGGACTCGCCGGTTTTCTCGCCCACCAGGTCGATTTCACTGCGACCTGGCATGTGGTGGAATAGTTCAGAGTTGAGCGTCCAGCAGCGGAGTCCGGGGCTCGGGTACTTGCTTCGGGTCAGGGGATTCCTTGCATTCTGCCACTCTGGTGTGGGAGATGGCGTGTTCTCTCCCTTGTTACATGCGTGGAGAAGCGCAACATCGAATGCGCGAGGTCCAGTTTTCTTCAGCTTGGGTGGAGCGAGATCGTTGAGGAGGCGTTCGGCGGTGCGACGGGTGACGGCGTATCCAAAAGAGCAGAGCGGGAACTTGGAACGGTGGATGACGCGCGACCCTTCAGGCATGCCCAGTAGGCGGAACAAAGCCTGTGTGAAGGGATGTAGGTTGTACCATGCGGGGAGGGTAGGGTCCTGGTATAGGATGTGTGGCATAGCAGTCAGATTAAAGGATTGGCGGTCGGTCTTGGGTCCGTCCTCGGTGACGACGTCGAAGTAGTCACCGCAGTGGCCGAGGTAGAGTAGGTCCCAGGCATCTTGGTCGCCCCAGTACTGGGTATGGTTGCTAGCTGCGTTGGCGTAGGGGTGCTGGGAGCGCGGCGGGGGAAGGAGCTGGCGGGCAGCGCTTGCCGCGAGCGGAATCTGTTGGCTGCGCAGACGAATGTCCCAGTCGACGTCGTCTTCGAGAATGAGAGCCGTCTCGAGGTCAGAATCGAGAAACCTTAATAAGCGAATCAGCAGCAGCTCTACAGCGACAGATGCATGCCAAGACGGGTGCCGGGCAACGAGGGATGACTTACCACTTGAGGGCGTTGTGGTGCCCCAACCACGCTAGTATAGACCCCTTCTGGACCTTCTCTTGCCCGTTGATGAAGCGTTGGACGTCGCCCTCGGTCCACTCTGGCTGTGGCGGGATGGTGAGGTCGATGTCGGTGACATTGGCCGCCTGGATAAGCGGCTGGCGGCGCGAGGAGCCTTCCTTGGAGACGACGACGACGGCGCCGAAGCCTAATGTTCTGTTTGAGGGTATCTTTGCAGGCCGCGACTCAATCGAGGACATCCATTGTAGATATATGTGGTCAGTGTCTCTGCTGTGGTACCATATGCCAATGAGGACGAGGACGAAGAGCAGCAGCAGCGGCGTGGGCCGCTTCCTGGATGCAAGCATGCCGGGCTATATCGTGTTGCCAAAAGTTGTTGTTAGAAGAGTGTTGTTAGACATGTCCGCGAAGACTCGGGGTGGGGGGGACGCTATGGCAATAACAAAGTACGACGATGGCGCGCTCGGTAGGCGTTAAGTTGGTTAGAACAATGGCTGGCAGGACCGAAGCAGATCAGGCTGGGCGACAGCTATCTCTAAATGTCGCAGGTCGCGGCGGGAGCAATACGGGTGCCTACCGGGGTGTGGCACCGACATTGCGTTTTGTAACCACTGTATCAGGCTACCTAAGATTATCGCGCATGCAACCGGGATTGTCATCATCTTACCACTGGCCAAGTGGATAACGCTGCTCCAGCTGGCGCGGCGGTTGCAGGCTGATTGTGCGACTGGCCAGCTGAAACTGGCCAAAAGCGCCCCGAGAGGGACGTCTGACCTTGCTCGTCGCCATCAGCTTACCGTGTACATTGTTTTTGCGCCTTGTACTTGCACTTGCACCTAGCGTTGTTGTGTCTTGCATACGTATCCGAAATTATGGTTCCCCAACAACGGCCGCCGTCACGTGCACGGCGTGGTTGTCGAGGTCGACGGGTCGATCATAGGTAAGCCGCGCCACATGCATCTCAGGGACGCGCTACCCATGATGCGCCTCAATCGTCGCCATTCGACACGCTTACGACGACGACGACACCTCCGGACACGAATTCCGCATCTCCAACATCACGACGGCGGGTGGTAATTCTTGTGCGCCTTTGTTTCTGTAGCCTTGGCTTTCTTATTCTACCGTTTCCCGCTCTCTTACTTGCTAGTTTGTGACATGGTGTGCGCCGCTGCACCCTGAAACTAGTCGTGCACCGGCTTCTTGTCCTCCGCATCCTCCCCCTTCTCCAGCCCGCCCATCCTCGATCCGCGCCGTACACGGGGCTCGCAAGGCAGAAACATCCATTCCCTACTCGACCGCACCACATGCCCGGCCATTCGCTGCGCCCATAGTTATGGCCACGTTGGGCTCGCCCTCTCCCCCAATCTCACCTTCAAGAACCATGCGCCGTCGCGGCTGGGCCAGGAAGGTTGAGCGTTACTGCTGCACCGCCGTCACATACTTTCCGCTGGTCTTCGTCTACGGCCTGACGTCGTGGGCCGTATGGGTCCAGGCAGGCATCGGCTTTGTGCCCTCGAAGAATGTCTGGACGGGTGCGTCTCCTTTATATATATGTCACAATCCAAATTTATCCTACGTCCAATAAGACCACGTCACATGAAGATGGGGAACTCGATTACTAACACGCTGGACAGGAAAGTTCTCGTCTACGCTCGGCATCTTCCTCTATCTCATGCTCAACTGGAGCTACACCACCGCCGTATTCACCGACCCGGGATCGCCGCTCAATATCAAAAATGGCTACAGCCACCTGCCGTCGCAAGAAGGAGGAGAGATGCAGTACACGTCCTTCACCGTCAAGGCATCGACCGGTGAACTACGCTTCTGCAACAAGTGCCAGTCCAAGAAGCCCGACCGCTCTCACCACTGCTCCACATGCAAGCGCTGTGTCCTGAAGATGGACCATCATTGTCCATGGCTCGCGACTTGCGTCGGTCTTCGCAACTACAAGGCTTTTGTGCTCTTCCTACTATACCTCTCTTTCTTTTGCTGGGTCTGTTTTGCGACTTCTGCGACTTGGGTTTGGAGTGAAATACTCAGTGATGGACAATACACCGAGTCCTTCATGCCCGTAAACTATGTTTTACTTGCCGTACTATCTGGCATCATTGGCATAGTCATAACAGGCTTTACTGCATGGCATCTATGGCTTACAGTTAGGGGCCAGACTACGATAGAAAGTCTGGAGAAGACGCGCTACCTCTCACCACTCCGGAACACGATGAAGCATCAGCTCAACGACCGAAACTATATGGATGCGCAAGCGAACGGACGTTTGAGTGTTGGCGACCAGTTGCGCGAGATTCACGCGAACGCTCTTCCGGGGGTGACCAGACCCGAGGAGGGCGAGCCGCCCTCTCGCTCTACCTCGCGCTCTCCCGTACCAGGCCATGCGAACGGTTACTCGCACCCGCACTACCAGTCCTACGAGTATCGAGAACGCCAGCAGTATCAAGACCGCTACGATAGCTATCTTGACGAGCGCGACAACGAGATGCTGCCCAACGCCTTCGACCTGGGTTGGAAACGCAACATCGCACATGTTTTTGGCCCTTCGCCGCTGAAGTGGTTCATACCACTTGTAACCACAACAGGAGACGGGTGGTCATGGGAACCCAGTCCGAAGTGGCTGGCAGCACGGGAGCGGATAAAGCGGGAAAGGGAAAGAGAAGAACAGATACAGAAGCAGCGTGAGCGCGCTGCTGGTTGGGGTGTTGATACTCCTACTGAAGTAGAGTTTAGGGGTCCCACGCGCGCTCCGAACGGATGGATGCCTGGCCAGTATAGCCAGCCTCCCCCACGAGCCACCAGACGTCCAGAATGGCAAGCACCGCTTGGCCGCGGCGAGCAGACCCAATATCTCACCACTACCAACGGCATCGCGAAAGGCCCAATCGACGGACGAAGAAGTCCAAACAAAGCCGACCAAATTCTAGGGAGAGAACGCGGCATGTATGCTGATGGCGATGTTCAACTCCAGACGATCGACAGGAAAAAGTTTGACCAGTACAACTATATATCCGAAGACGAAGACGACGACTACGAAGTCTCGAGTGACGAGCAAGCGGTCGACCAGCGCAAAGCGCAAAAAGTACAGACCGTGACTGCGCCACCAAAAGGAACACAGAATTGGAATGACATACCAGACGGGTTTTTAGACCCGGCGCCAAAAGAGAGGAAGAAGAGTGCGAGTCGGGAACGATCACAACAACGGAAAAACGGGGAATGGGATGACTGGGGGACATGACACGTTGAGACGTAATGGATACGATGGCATGTTGGTATGTTGATATGTACATTCGGGTGTTGCATAGCATGGCGTTCCTTTTGTGGCGTTCTCTCGTGTTGCATAGGAATGGAGTTGTTTAGACGACTGTCATCTGACGAAAGCGAAAGAGATATTTTTACCTCATGGCTTCTCTCATCTCCACATCACACGATATCAATTTTGCAAAGCTGGTGGCGTTTAGTAGTAAATCATCGATTGACGAATCATCTTCTAGCCAAGCATCGACCCTGAGTTTGCGTACAAGCATAAATAGTAAGGGCCAACAACACTCATCTCCTGACATCGTTCCTGCACGCCGTGCCCCACTACATGCGCATGGTAAGGTCGATGAACAGCATCTTGGCGTTCTAGATTTCTGCATTCCAGACCCTGTAGACATTGGCAGCACCAACGCCGCGGCACCTGTATCCATCGTTGCGCTAATTTATTCCTTCATCTTCCCTTCCTCCCTAGCCAGGACCCAACCCGCCTATCACTTCTTCAACCTCACCGGCTGTTTGTACTCCTCATGGCCGTAATCTCTTTATTGCCTCTTTTCGGGTCCAATTAACCCGAGATTTAAGTTGAAAGAACATTAGAGCTTTTTGACTCAAAAGTAAGTTTGATCGTCTTTCCTGGTCATCTCTCTGCACCTTACAAGGATCTGTATCACCATCTGAAGCCTGTGTCGTGATTGGAATTCGGCAGATCATTCTGCACGTCAGTGATTGCTGCTGGAACGAGCAAACTATCACGATTTTTTCAGTACATAACGGTCATGCTCTGTTTTTCGCCATGCACTCATCAATACCTCGGTCCAACATGAACATGAACTCAACAAATAGAGCCAAGCCCGTCACCTCAGCTGACTACCGAACTCTTGCCTATGTAGAATTGACCGCTGACACTGTCTTTGGGTCTGGGTACGACATAGCCGTTCTCGTGCACCAAAGTCATTTCGACTCGAATGACTATCTTGCTACCCTTACTGCCCATTCCACCAGCCCAGCGCCCGGTCAGCCTCAGCTTGTAGATCTTGGACTGCATAGTGGAACGACGAGAGAAGAGGCATTGCTGGGCCTGTTGCATACCCTGGAAGAAATGGCAGCCATGAGAAGTAATGCGAATAGGATGAAATCGAAGAAAGAGGTTACAGAAAACAAGCAGAAGAGCGGGCAGCTGATAGAGGAGATGGCGGAGGAGCATAACGAGGAAAGATGAGAACAAAAAACGTGTTCCAAACATTGAATAGAGAAGGGAGGAGCAAATTTACCGCAGTAGGATGACTAAGAAGTTGCGTATTGCCAGCGAAGGCTTTGTCAGCATGACATGTTCTTTGGGTCGCAACATGACAGTAAGTCAATGCAAAAGCAGTACGAACCATATTAGTCTGACTATAACCTTCACAATCCTCCGATGATGGCACAGGTGATGAGATCATACGATTGGAGACCTGGGAGCTATCTCCGGAACCTCTTTTCCATACGTACATGTTGTATGTTGAGCAGCTTCGATACTGTTGGGTCGCTCCCACTGCTACACAAAGTTTGCTGCCTCGACTGATCACACTTTTCCACTCTTCCGCCTCACTGTGCAACCAAACAAACACGTTCTCGTACTCCCTTAAACCCTGCAGATGACACTATCCTTCACCAGTTTCTCGCCATATAGACCGTTCTTCAATTGCTCATTTCCAGTTCATCCTGGTGATAAAGACTACAAATGGATTCTCTAACCGCAAACATACCAGAGCGCCTAGGTCGATCCCGTGAACCGCTTCCAAACCTACGAGGTGAAGACGAGACTGAGATAAGATATCTCGTTGATCTGATCGAGAGTAAGTAGTGAGAAAAGCATAACGTCACCCCGCCACACACTGACTGCCAACCTCTCAGCGCAATCATGGATTCTGTCACCTCTCAAACCACCCTCCTGCATCCTAGGACGCCATCCACCACCTAAAGACCCCAATTCTTCCAAACAAAAGATCATTGATCCTTCTCTTGCGTTTTGTGCTTCGCTCTACAGCATCGGTCAAGGTGGGGTCAGGAGCTTGGAAGTGGGTCCTGAAGTGGGAAGGAGCAGAAAAGAAGCACTAGAGCGGCTATTGGAAGTCGTGGAGATGGAGATTGGACGCATGATGTTGAATGATGATTATCATGCACGCAAGGTGGCTAAGGACAGTAACAGTTCCATTGGAAGTAGCGGTGTTAGCAGGACTGAGAGGGGGTAAATGTTCTTTGGAGAGAGAAGGACCTAGTTCAATATCCTCGTGATGGTCTTGGTGGGAAGAAACTAAATCGCTCTTCTATTGCTCTTGTATTCTGTGTGGGATAGGTATCGACTGGTCCCAATTTCTTCACCATGTTGTAAAATTAAGATCTCCACATCTCCTCTTCTTCTGTCGATTCACTATCACTCTCACTATTATCATCACTATCTCTCTCTTCTTTTGCATCCCCATCCTCGGCTTCATTCTCGCTTTTCTGACTTCACTCATTCGTCGTTGCTGCATGATTCATGCTCTCTCCTTCCTTCAGGTTTCCTTGAGGATTCTTTTCCATCGTCTGGAACGGTATCTCAGCAAGCGATTCCACTTTTTCCAACAGTTTCGAAAGCACTTCACCACGTGAACTTGCCACTTCTATCTTTGTGAGAGGATGGATTATCATACCGCGACCCGTACCTACAGAGGACAGGACTGCGGCATGGTACTCAACCCTGTCTTGTTCGTCCAGGCGACAACTCAGATAAACGGTGGCAGACGTGTAGCTAGGCCAGAGAGAAGAAACGAGAGCATTGAGGAACGTGAGTGTGTTGACGTCTTCTGGTAGTACAGGTTGGCTGGTCATGTTCAAAGCAAGAAGTAGAGGATGACGAAGAAGTGTTGAAGAGACCTCCTGTATTGAGACGAGATTCTTATACTTCTGTTAAAATGGAGATTGCCTGCTTGATTGTTAAACCAATCAGTTGTAGCAAGATACCCGATGTCCTTTGCTACAATCAGACTGTCCGAATGATACTTGTGGTTCGAGAGAGCAAGCCACTCGTTCAACATATGATCTCACTCAATAGCCCATCGACAAGAGTACCACAGATCGCCGTACTCATAATCACCATGGCGTATGAGTCGTCCAACGAAACAGACCCTCGTCTGTCAACGACAACCATTGTCGCCAGCAATGTTACGAACCACGATGATGTCCTCTTCAGCTATCTGCAAAGTACAACCCCCTCCTGACCAAACCTTGTGCCATGCTGACCCTGTAACAGAACTTGTTACATCCACGTTCCGCCCATCGGTACACCCCGTGGTTCTTATGGGCAGTTACGAAAGCAGACGGAGCGGGGAAATCGTCGAGAACTTCCGTGCAAGTGTTGTTGGCTGGGATGTCTTGGATGCTAGCGAGATGTTCTTCGTCTCACCTCAGGAGGGGACAGATCGCAAGAGTGCGCTGATGGCTGTGATCAGGTTGGTAAAGAAGGAGGCACACAAGAGAATGGCGGAATTAGAAGCTAAGATCGCAGACCCTCTCTGACGTACAGACGGGTCTTCGGAGAAGGGGTTTCAAAAGAGAGTAGGCGATAGAGGTGCCTCTCAAGGCTTGTGATGATGATAGAGATAGAATGCAAGTAAACATTTAAAGCTTAGCTTTGTCATCCAATAACGGAAGGCCAACTGCCTCTTCCAGCTCCTTTACGGCATCCTTCGTCTTACCCAAGTTCACCTTGATTGTTCTCAACCCTGTCTTCTTCGCAAACTTGAGATTTATGCCAATATCATCCAAGAAGAGCGTGTCGCCTTCCGTCACCCCTCCCATCCCCTTCTTCCTCGCAATCTTATCCATCTCGCGTACCGCCAGCTTGTACGCCTCTGGATCCGGCTTTCTGACACCCACGGCCGCCGAACCAAGGAAGATGTCGAAACATGTCGTAATGTCTGTGGAGTCGTTCGCGTAAGGGTTTGGAGCTGGTGGGTGGACGAGCTCTTTGGTGAAGAGCTTCCCTTCGTCGTCGAGGATGCCCGTGGGGAACGTAACGTTGTTGCTGAATGCGCCCAAAACAAATTTCCCGCTCTCGCCTAGCTTTCGTAGCGCAGGATACATGTATGGATCTGGTGCCCGACTGATCTTCATCATACGCCAGAACAGCGTCTTCGCATCAATGTCCGGTACCTGCGGATTCCCGCCCTCGATTGCCTGCCCGCCGCCGACGCTCTCCTGTTGCGCAAGCTTCTGGAGGAATTGTGACCAGACCTCCGGTCGCATCAACTGTTTCTTAAAGGATGCGAACCAGTCGTCGTTAAGTTCGACTTCGCCGCGCTCGATGAGTTGCCATGCGCCTGTATCGTGAGGTCCTTTTTGGATCGCGTAGTTTATGTAGCCGATGGGGATCTTGTTCTCAATTTCATAGTCGAGGATCGCTTGGAAAGGACTAATAACCTGTGGATGAAAAACATTAGCTACATTCGTCTGGTCGCGCGTGGTGCTGAAGAGCGGCGTGGGTCGTGTTGAGGAATTACGTACGACCACTCCACCAATGTCGAAAAGAATAGCCTTTGGGTGCTTAGTTGAAGATTTCATAACGTGTGTATGTTGACAGAGTTGTCAAACATCGCTATGAGGGTATCATGGTGGTCTGTACGGCGTCGTCATGGTCGGCATTGGGAGAGTCGCGAAGTGTCCAGGTACCTCGGCAATGGATAAGCTCTATCGATAGCGCTAGTCCCCGCAAACAGTTCAACCTCACAATGTTCTGTAGATCACTCATCATCCTCTGTTTGGTGAAGTGTTTGATGAATGAAAGATATTTGATGATACGTTTTATAGAACTGAACCAAGACAGAAGCAGTCCTTGTTATATCTGCGTCGTCCACGTCTCATCATACAAACTATACCCAGCACCGCAGGCAAGCACCACCAGTATGAACAACATCTGAGACCCGATCGAAGCTACATGCCGTATCGCTCCAGAGTCGATTCTTGTATCGAACTTTGTTATCTTGCGGTCACAGTGTGGTCCGTCCACCTTCCGGATGGCAAAAGTGTGTGTGGTAATTTGAGCCATAGCCGCTGGTTCCTTGGGTGGGAGGTTCACGACAATCTCCCCTCCTGCTTTCTGCCAGATAGATAGTCAAAGATGGCTTTGCTCTGCCACCATAGAGAATCTTGTTCCGGCTCCATATTCATTTTCGAAGCCAGCAGGCTGGGCATTGCGCTGGCTAGTCGCGTGTCATTGTGCGGCAACCGGTCCTTAGGATACTTCCAATTCGTCAGACCTGGGCCATCGTGCAGCTGCGGACGAGAAAAGTCGCCACCTGTCTCAAATTTCTGGGCTCTATTGATCACTCTGTCGATTTGTCCATGAGGCTCGACCCGCTTCTGACGGTCGATGTACTTCAAGTACCGATGGCGCCGACGTTCAAGCTCAATACAAGCCTTTGTTGTTCCGTACAGGTGATTTTGATCATTGTCAATAGTAATGAGGTGTATGAGCATGCGCCCGAGGTCATGGGACGGAAACAGCCCTAGTGCACTAAGGTAGCTGATATTCATAACTAACTGATCCATGACTGCGGCACTCTTGATGAGTGCAGGGACAAGAACTTCGACGTCAGCAAGCATAGCCGGTTTTCAAAGAATGGGACGTCTGCTTCGACGCTGTCTATCAGATCAGCTGAGTTTGGCAGATAGTTAAAAGCGATCGCTTCAGAGGTCGGGGAAGAGCAATTTGAGGACTCTGATGTTATTAGATCGATACGAAACTGCCATCTAACATGACCTTCTAGGCTAAGGGATCTACCTGCGACTCAAATGTGGAAATTTCAACAAGATTATCTAACTTGAGGGGCCTGAGAATTATGGTGAGGCTAGACCATCGAAATGTAGATGATGATCTGTGTTAGTAGTAACTCCCCTAAGGCTACATTAAACCCAGTGCTAGTTTTGGGACCACTGTTTGAAAACATGGTCGCTTATTACATAGAAAGAGTCAATGGCGAGGAGGGCGGGCATAATACTCGTTATGAAACAGAACATCATCATAGACCGTACGACATGTGATAGAACATGGACGCTGTAACGGAGTATGTACACGATATTCTGTAGAGAGAAGACTCCTCGGAACGAGATGGCAGAATATCGAGGCCACAGGCAGGGAACAATAAATATCCCACGCATATCCCGCGGGACACCCCAAGTGTGGCAAAAAGAACTTCGTACTCAAAAATAACTTTGCCACCATAGAAGAATACTTGGCTTTCTCAGAAATAGAGCGGCCAATAACCATGATGGCCCGCCGGAAGCGCTTTACTCGCGAAGCGTTCACTGGTTCGTGGGGAATGCGCTTGCGTTGCTGATACATGGCGGCAGCTCGCTTGGCGTCCCTGTTGCCGATTTCCAACATCCAGTTTTGGCATTATGAAGCTAGGGGTGACATATGGTATCAGTATCTTGTTGGGGTTCTGGTACAAAAAGTATTGTATCTCGCGATCCATTGTCTATTGCGCATACATGAACGCTGGACAAGTGCTATGTTTGTAAATCGCCACTTATGATGCAAGGCGCCAACGAGGGAGCAGAATCGGAACCAGCCGCAAAATGATTGCGGAATGCACCGACTGTATTGCGAGGACCCACGTGCATACGTTTAGTGAAGGTTGTCATCTGAAGCGCAACAAGACAACATCCACTTTCGTAGCTGCCGAAAGCTTGATCTGGTCTCAAAGCGAGATAGCGCGATTTTGTAGGAGATTCTACTGACTGGAAATTTTCTATCCACTCGTGCGGGTGGTACTAAAGAGTGCACTCAGATATATGAATGTTATCCTGAACTGCTTGCTGTTGCTTTGAGAATCAGGTGTTAAGAATCCCAGGTCAGCTCGTAGCCGAAGACAGTTCGGCGAAGAAGCTCATCCTAGGTTCGGTCAGTGACGCCTCAAGATACATCATTCGGAGAGCCTCACCCCTGGATCTTCCTCGAACATAACCTTCTCCATAACTTTTTCGAACATCTTAGTGACGGTGAATCCCGATTCTTTAGCTAGGTCGAAGAAAGCCATGTCCTTCTCGTACAACCATGGGCGATATGGTGTAAAGAAGACGTATGCTCGGGATGTCGGTGACTTCTTGAGAGTCAGCTGCACAGTCTTGATGAGTTTGGCATGCTCTGAGTGGTTGAACAGAAGGTCGGCAAGAATGAGAATATCGAAGCTCGAACTATCATGCAGATGTTTCATTAAGTCTTCGGTAGGTGCACCCCAGAGATATCCCTGTGCGCATATTAGTGACGTCCGCCAATATTGAGCACAGTCACAAACCTCCGCCACTATTTTGGGAGGCTTAGATAACAGTTCGCAGTGGTCAACATTGTACTGTAAATTCTCGACCAACTCAGCATCAGGATAGTCCGTGACGACCGTTTGAGCGGCACCGTTGAGAGCACAGACAAGGCTTGGAAGTCCCGCTCCAGCGCCAAGCTCAAGTACCGTTCGATCCTTTACGAGTTTATCTGCATGCTCTTCCAGATAATCGGATATGGTTCGCCCCGCATTCCATAGAAAATGACCCTGAATACGTCAGTGAGTGTGCTGAGATAGTGCATGACCGTCAGAAGTCAGATGAGTGCTGAATCGCTTCTACGGTCCTTCTATAAAAGTTCCAGAAGGTTGGAAACCAATGCATAAGACGTTAGAAAGTTCCGTACTGCGCTTCGGCATGTCAGTAGTCAAGTGCATAACTTACCCACAAAGGATTATGACCGACCAATCGAACAGTGAGCCCTTTGCCGGAAAGCAACTGATGAGACGCGAAGGTTGGCTGCTTTTCTGGTTCGTAGAAATCAGCAGGCTCTTGGAACAGGTCCAAGCCCTCTTCACCGGCCTCTGACGACATGGCGGAAGGCAAGTTGTGATGAAGTTATAGCCTTGGCGAAGACTGTATTTTGGGTGTTTCAAAGAGCGGAGCCACCACGAATGGCACGTGCCCGGTTAACCAGCCACCGCTATGCCTGTCCAAGTCGCGTTCCAGATAAACTCCATCTTCGAAACAGCGGATCGTCGTCATCAACGAAGTCAGAGGGCTGGCCAAACAGTACCCTGTGACTATAGCAGGGTCTACAGCTTCCTTGTTGGGCTGTAGCAGTGGGTGTTGCACCAGCCCTATGGCGTGGGAGTGCCTCAGGTGGCTTCAGAGCGAAGTAACTCAGTGATATCCGGCCTACCAATCGCGCCCACACCGATTGAATTATCGCGGTACTCACATGCCTGAAGCGAGCCCAAGCCAAGCAGGGTCCAGCCGGCGCAAGATTCCCCACGCCCCAATGATATACCCGGCGGCCGCAGCGTCGTTTCCACGGTTCTTCTGACCACAAAACACGCCGGCGCAGGTGCTGCTCTCCTTGGATCGCGTTCGCTTTGCTCACATCGCGCATACCTCTTATACCGCGACACCTCCTTCACTTATCCCTCCTATTGAGGACACAATCCTTGCTGTCCATTTCTCAATTGTCACCTTTCTACTTGTGCCGTTTCGAAGCGACTAAACCCGCTTAGTAAGAAACTTGCTCAACGCTAAGGGACTAAGCCTAATCCAACCCTCCGCCAAACGTCGCATCCATTCAGTTCACGACAAACCTTCGAGCGCCGACCAGCAGATCCCACGCCTTTGGCGCCTTAAGTCCCGAGTCATTCATCAGTCTAGTGGGGAAGTGTGACAGCTGCGTTTCTCGCGGTGTTGAACTGGATATTTGCACGTCCCACCAACCGCTGAGCCCTGTCAAGTCATCAATTCTCCAGATCGTATTCTGGGGGATAATCCAGTGAAACCAGCGCCTGGTTCCGCTGGCTCTCGATTGTAGACCCCGCCCCTTTAACCGTGTGCATGTCCGACGTCCCCCCGGACATTCGATCCACCCTTCATCCGTTCCGAGCTCAGGATCGCTATTGCATCAATCAACGCCTGTGCTGATATAGTATCATCACCGACACTGCGGGAAGCCGGCGCCAAATCTCAGGGTTATCAACGCTCCACCCGCCTGGAGCTGGACCCTTCACAGCTCACTTAGGCCAAGCCGAAAGCCGAGTCTACCTTCTCTTTTGGACACCCACATCGGACCACTCCCGAACCTGTAGGCTACTTTTCCATGCGGCGAGGGTCATACGTCTAGCCCAGAATCTTGCCACTCCATTTTCTGCGCTGCACGCCACTGGACCCCTCTGCAATACTTTCACGTGCGCGGTGTACAGTAAGCTTGGACATAAGCTCTTTCTCACCAGCAGTCTTATTTCGTCCCCGATACACGGCGCACTTGGTGGTTACATGCCGTAGATTGAGCAAGTTATTTCGACCTCATAATAGCCCCGCATCATGTGGGCCGAAGTCAATGGAGAGCGCAAGAAGGTCGCCTGGTAGGTTCTCTCATCTGTTCGTTGCACCCCTCATCCTGTCTTATCTGACTACATCCTCTCTACTATTTGTTGCGCGCAAACTGCACCTATCCGGAAAGTTCTTTAGCGACTGCGACTTGCATTGCACTGTCCAGGATGTCTATTCGCCATATACTTTGACTGACATTGATTAGCGGTCCGTGCATTCGCGGTCATCGCTCGTCGAAATGCGATCACCGAGATCGAGTGCTGGTTGAGGTCCGGAAGCCTGGTCGGCCGCTGAGTAGCTGTCCACATCCCACTGGATCCTGTAGTTGCGAGCGTGTTGTTATCAACTACACGATTCCCAAAACGTCAGAATGTGCTTGTCCGTCAGAACGAGCTCCGCCAACAGCTACTGTTGCAGGCAACAGTCGGATCACGAAGAGTAGGCGTAAATCGGCTGCGCCCACCCCTTACAACCTCGAGAAGGCTATCCAGGCTGGCTTCGACGCCAAAACTGAAACCTCGTCCATCACGTACACACCCTCCGAAACAAGCAATAGTAATGGAGCATCACTTCCGTCAAGTGCGAGCTCAACACCACGTCTTCTCCCTGCACAGAATGAGCCCGTCTCAAGTTGTTGCAAGCCGAAGCCAGTCTTGTCGCCGGTCCAAGAAGGAGGGTGCTGTGGCAGCAAGCCAAAGCCAGTTGTAGAGCCGCCAGTTCAAAAGAAGTCCTGTTGCTCATCACGCAAACAAGACGATGCGCCTGTCAACAGCCAATCACACGGTTGTCAACACGTGGGACACCAATTCCAGTTTCCCGCCCAAGCAGTGGTTCCACAGTACCAAAACTTTCATCCACAAACACCATCAGTTGCGTCGAACCCTTTTGGCCTTGGCACTCCGATCTACAACCACGCGGCTGCAGCCTACCATCGGCAGAACTCTGTGTCTATGAGCCCAGTCATGAACAACTCGATGTCTCCGTCTGTCGCCAGTCCCCAAATCGGGCAACACGTCCCCGAACACAACTGTCACTGTGGAGAATCATGTAGCTGCTTCGGATGCGCAGCCCATCCCAATAACGCTACGATGATGGAGTATGTTCGGATCATGGCCCATTTTCAATATAACGGCGGGTTCGGAGGCATGGCGCCACCCCTCTACGACATGCCTACATACCCACATCAACCTGGATACGGAGCGGAAGCCAACATGAGTTTCAACGCAATGCAGCAAGGCTTAACAACACCCACACCGACGCAAATAAGCTTTCAACAAAGCATGGATATGCCAAACATGGTGCAGGTACCAATGGCATTGCCCGGGAACTGGCCACAACAACTAATTCCTTCACCAAGCCAACCACAGCAGGCCCAATTTTCGACTTCGAGCAGCCTTAGTTACAACACACCTTCCATGCCGGCGTCTGAGGATACAAAAACGCGGAAAACAAGTGAAACTATGGATTCACCCGCAGCCAGTAGTCCCAGCGATACCAAAGATGAAGATACAGTGACGCTATCGCCATCATCCTACTTCTGGAACGAAATGACCTTGCCAAGCTGTTCAGACGCGTCTGGTACTTGCCAATGTGGCGATGGCTGCGCATGTGTTGGTTGTCTTACACATGGCGGTCACACTGGTGAATCTCTCGATGACACTGGAACAGCAGCGGAACATGATCCGTTCCTCAGTTTCGACACAAGCCTCGCGCTCAACATGAACGACCCAACGGATTTTCTCAACTTCAATCCAGATCCGAGCTGAGACACCTAGCCACTAACCCGCTTCTTCCTGCCTTGGTCAATGATGATCATTTTGCCTCACATGAAAGCGAAGCGCGATTGCGCGAATCTTGCGGGAAATACACCAGAATTATGCCCACCTTGTACACTTCAAGAAGCGATACAGGCGACAGGCGTTCAACCTTTTACCATGACAACTCCGCCGGCACAAACTCGTTGTGTGATCACAACGATAAGGCACTGTTCACTTCGTCATATGTTGCATCTTCTATCTTCTTCATTTTGTATATGTTCAGCGTCACCCACAGCGCGACTATGGGCTAGATACCTTTGCATGGGCATGTGAGGGTAGGAGCCTGTTTCAGCGTGGCAAGAGAGAGTTTTCTGGCATATAAGGAAGTTAGTGTATGAACTGTGTGAGTTTTTTCGTTAGTGTATTTATACGATACCCCCGCATCGGGCGATAGCATAGTGAAGTGAGACTTGGTCTTCATGCTGCTCATAAGCTTAATGGAATCTTTCTTTGTATTGTTGTTTTCACTCTATGACTGCGAGATGTCATGCTGTACGGTTCCTATCCACGAGTTGAAGTGAACTGTACGAGGAGAAGGGCTCTTCCGGGAATTGAATACGAAAAGATGATCCATCACTAACCCGTTCAGAAAACGATACTCGTAGAGATCTCGGTAACATTGCTAACAGAAGAGAAAACTATCTGCATATCCGAAGAAAGCTAGTTGGTAATTCGTTTCAAGAAATCCGAAACCTCCTCCAAAAGTTCCGTCGAGATCGTTGCCGCAGTCCACCGGGCCTTCGACATTGTGAAATAATTGACCAGTGATACATGAGCCTGCTGGAATAGGCTGACGTGGGAGTGGTAGATAGTGCAAACAATGTCGTAAGAGCCAGAGATCTAGTACGACGACAACATGAACAGCGACAGTGAGATACATGAACGTAACGTTCGACGGGGGCGGGTATACTACCCATCCGATAGTACAATCATGAGATCGCCATGTTTAATCCCGGCCTGTTCTTATTAGCACTTTTTCCTCTCAGATCGCACTATAGTAGGACATACAGTGCAGCCCCGATCCGGGTCTTCCCAACAGGTGTCGCCTTCACACCACTGGTTTGTCGCGCTCTTGTACCTGCAAGGAGAGACAACACCATCACCAACGAAAGTGATATCATAACCGAGTCGCTCTTGCTTGCATAGTTCGTTCTGCTTTATGCTGGAGAAGCCCTGGCTCGCTGGACCATCATCGAAGGATGTTCCGAAGACTGCAGGTGCCCAGTTACCCTTACCTCCCATCGGTGTACCCCAAGTGCAAGCCTCACTTTCTGGTACACCCTGTTTATTGACGTAGTACTGAGCCGATGTTTTCTTACCTTGCCAGAAAAAGTATTTCTGCTGATCAGGGTTGGCCAGGAAGCCAGTCTCTCCAGGACCAACAGTGACTGGGAAAGTCATGGACTCGGTGCCTACTGTACGTGAGGGATTATCTAGAGTTTGTGAGCAGATGTCATACCTGGATAGTCTGTGCGGCAGAAAGAGACGGATTTTGACAGCTTGTTTTGCACCTTCACGCCCATATGCTGTGATCCTTGCACGCATAGCGTGTCTGCAATTTTGCCGTCGGCCATCTCCAGAAACCCGTCTTTGTTGCAATATAAGCCACCGACGCTCTGACCTGTTCTGCCTTGGATAGAGGGGAATGAAGCCTTGAGGTAGGGGTTAGGGCAACCATAGGAACAGAAGCTACCAGTCGTGCAGCAAGTGCCGTCTGAACACGACCCCTTTGGGACGGTAGTAATGTCATCAAAGCCATCTGCTCCGGCATATTGGGGATCTTGGATACCCGACCAGCCCCCCAAGCCTTCTTGAGCTGTAGGTAAAGCGCCATAGCCGTAAGGGAACTCTGTACAAAGGATCGTGCCATCTGGGAACTTCCTGTCACATTCCGCACAGTGACCGTCCTTATCGACCATGTCTGCCCAGGGCCTCGACGAAGTGCCCGACTGCTGTACAGGCGGCGTATCCTGGGAAGGGCTCGGTGCAGGATCGATGGGTGGCGTCTCCGGTGGTGATGCAGGCTTCTGAAATTCGGGCACGACAGGCTTGTGCTCGTCCACAGGCTTCTCGGAAGTAGGTCCTGGTGTTGGCTTGGGGACCTGAGTCTCATGACCGGAGGCTGGAGGCGGAGTAGGCAATGCGATAGGACTGCTAGTTGATGTCGACAAGACACCGTCGTTCCCCCACATCAAAGTGCCGTTGGTGATACCCAGGTTGACTTCTTCCTCTGATATCTCGTGATCATCGAGCCAGTACACGATCTCTGTCTCCACTGCCGCAGGTACGAAGATAGTGCCACGCTTGGCCGGACCACGGGCGTGGGCGCGACGGTGCAAGTGGTGCGGCTTAGCCGCGGTGACTGCAACAAGCACAGAAGCAGTAATTATATACTGAATCTTCATGATAGGCTTTTGCACGACACTTTCTGGATGTCGCTGACAGCTTGTCCTATCACAGTCAGCGTAGCAGAGAGCGAGGTGGAAGAGCGACTGACTTGTTATCTCCGTACAAATAGGTACTTGCTGAACGCTTTTGACAGATGCTTGGGTATCAAGATGCTTGTTTGGCTCTTTCTGGTGTTCGCTGCGCGGTGGAGTGCACGAGAGAGTGGTGGAGTAGTATGCTGGCAGTGTCTAATGAGTGAAATGGAGATACAACTCCGGGTGGAGGCACGAAAGAATGACCGGTGAAGCGTGAAGGCAGATGAGTCAAGTTTGGCCTATGGAAAGTCCACGAAGATAGTACGAGGGCACAAGAGCGAGAGTGAGGTGAGTATTGTTTGTACTGTGACGCCAAGACGGGGGCTCGCTAGCGTGGCTGCTTCGTTTGCGCCGGAGCGATGAGATGGGTATGCGCCTGCTGGGTTCTAAAGTGTCAAAAGAATGGGCGAATGCCGGTCACTCAAAGTGGAAGGAGCATTGGGTATAACCAGAAAGAGTGCATACACAACTTAGGGATATCTTGAATGAGATACGACGTGAAAGGAGTGAAGGTGAAAACGACGATCAATTCAATGGCATGAAAAGGGAAAGTAACAATCAGCGAGAGATTACCGATTTCAAGGACAGCTCACTGATACTACCGTTCTAGCTAGTGGCACAACTGCGTGGCATAGGTACCTACCTAGGGAGGTGCTCTCCGAGCAGACTATCAGCCCGTATCACGTACGTACGTGTACGAGGGAGACGACAGTGCACCTCCTTGGTCGACCTACAGAGGTAAATAATCTTCAAACCATACACTAAGAACGTTTTGTCCATGACAGCATGGCATCGATCGACTAGGGGACACTGAGTTTCTAAGAATGCCTCGATCTGAACATGGCTTCGGTTCACGGATGAACCGGCTCTTCCTACCGACGTGTCATGCAATGTCGAATTTCCGCTAGACCGCAAATAGCTGTTTGTGTTTGTATTCCACGAGTAGATTTACCGTGTAGAGAGAAAGCTAGAAATGCATGAAGGCCAAGAAATTTCTAGATGACGTTTCTAGCGTAGCAGGGACAGCTTCAGCAAGCTCTTGACTACTGCGCTTGCCCTGCTACGGGTATTCGGTGGCTTTTGTCGACGCCTTCTAGTGTAGTACTGATTCCCCGATGTCACTGTCGTATTGAGTCTTGGGGTATGCAGAATGTATGTACACTCACGATAATTCGCGTAACCTGGACGAATAATGACTGACCTCGAGAAGTAGCGCGTTGGCTTGAATTCAACCCGATGAGTAGTGGTGTCTGCGCGGCAGCATACGTAACAGCCCCTGCCTTCTTTCACGAACGTCGGTACTTGGGAATCATACGGCCACACAGCATCCATCGTGGAAGCGACGTTGTAGCGCGCGAATTACCCGGAGCTCGTGCTCCATGCGGCCCTGTTGTCGAGTGTGACGGGCGTACGCGCAGCAGTCTTTACGAGGTACAATACCATCATGAGGCCTGCGGTAAGACACGGTGTTGATGCGACGATATGTGATGGTGTTGATGAAGGAATGTTGGAGGAAGCGATGTGACGAGATGAGATAGTTGCACGCTCATCATTGGAGCCCCACATGCTCTTTAGCACGCAGAGCTAATAGGGTGCCACAACATGACCAGCCATGTTTCTTGATTGCGACACCGTTATCGACATGTGTTTCATGGACATACGGCAAAGACTTTGGTAAGAATGGTTGCTTCAGGTATGTACAGACTCTGGCTATACCTCCCCATGCAAACGGCTCCTTTCCAGCTCCAACTGCGTCGTGAGTACAATGAATCATCCAATCAGAACAAGCTCATCTCTCGAACTGCTGCCAGACAAGTGACCTAGACTTGCTGAATATAGTTGGCCGGTACACTACGTACTATGCCATCCTTCTCAACGTCTGCCCAGCCGTCGCCGGCCTCCATGTTGATAAGAACAAAACGATCTCCTTCTGACATGGAATGTTCTACGTCGCTTTGCGCTGTGTAGTCATACAAGGCTTCCACATACTTCAGCTTCTTTGCGCCACGCTTTGGCGCAACGGCGGGACCCTTCTTCTTACCGGGAGCGGCAGCCGCAGTGAAGTTAGTGGTTGATGCTGACGATGCAGAGTACGTCGAGTCCGGCCTTGTTGAAGAGAATGTAGAGGCCGTGGTAGGTGGCGTTGCCACCGTCATCTCAACATACGCTGCTGGAACAAGACCTTCTTTAACGCCAGCACGAACTTTCATCCATCCGGAACCGTCTGTGGCAATGTGTTAGTGAGTTGGTTGATAACCCCTAGGACGTGGGAGGCATCTAATGACATACCATCAGGTTCTAGAATGGCAACATCCGTGCCATCCGCGACAGTCAGTTCGCCCTCCCCATTCTCTTGATAAGCGTACAGCATTCTACCCCTGGATTCTGCAGACTTGGGTGGGGGTGGAGGAACGTCCTCGTCGTTTTTGACATATTGTGTAGGTGGTGGTGCAACCAATCGGTTCTTCCTAGCACCCGGCACTATGGGCGCCTTCTTCTCTGGTGGTGGAGGAGTCTCCTCGACAGTAGGCGACATACCTCCGGATATGGACCGGTGCGCAGTCGCCGAATAGCCGGAGCTGAGGGTGTTCATGGAGTTCACCGTGTCGCTTCTTCCCAGTCGGGGCATGTCCGCATTAGAGCTCGTCGCAGTGCCGTTTGTTGCCGTCACTGTGTGTGCAGCCTTTTGCCGCTCTTCCTTCAATTTCTTCTTTTCTACCTTGGACTGTTCACCAGGACAGTCGGCAGGTACCTTCATCTCGCACTTGCTATGACACGTATAGCCGCAATCTTGACAGTCATATCCTTTTGCTGATAGACCCCATATCCGATCTCCACATAGATCACAGTTTGTAGGTATCTTGAATGTCTGCGACTTGAAGTTGTGGTTCCTTGCGCCGATACTCAAGTCACCGACGACTGAGGTGATTGTTGAGACTTCCACTTCCGCATTCACCTTCTGACGTTCCACCTCATGCATCTGTTCCTGTATAGCAAAAACAGCGCGAACAATATCCACCTCGTCTCTTTTGTCCTTGCCATCCCTTATCTTCTGCCGTACCGCCTTGGCATTCTCAACTTCTTTGCGCTTCTTATCAAGTTCTCGTTTGTATTCCCCCAAGGACGTCTTTGATTTGGTGAGAACGTTGCGCAGGAAGATCGTTGCAGGCTCGTCGACAGCGATACTATTATCGTCTAGCCAAACCGGGCTGGGCTCGAATTGAAAGTCGCCAGGCTCTTGGAACGAACCAGCGTTGTGCCGTAGGAACATCATCGAGTCGAGCAGAGGGTTGTTGCGCGGGATCTCGCCGGAGAGGTGCTTCAGGTACTCGGTGCTTCGCGTGAGTGTCTGAGTTTCGATCTGTGCAGCGAGTGACCATATAGTATTTAGCTTATTGACTCGCGTCTCCGAAAGATCCTGAAGGCTATCGAGCAGCTCAGGCACGTACTCGTGGTAGTACATCTCCTTTTGCTTGTTGGTTACGTTGATACTGATGAGATAGGTGTTCTTGACGTTACGCATCTCGATCTGTTGCTGTTCGAAAGCATTACGTGCCTTGGCTTTGCCGTGGTCAAATGCGCCATCAACCTTTTTGCGCCGGCTCTCAACCTCCTGGCAAACGCTATCGTATTTACCCTTTTGTTTGCGCAACTCACCATATTGGTTGTCGCGCTCCTTCTCCAGCTTGGCAGCATAGTCTCCGTGCAACTTGCGCAACTCCTCGGTCCGTGTACCAAGGACCTTCAAGGGATCAGCAAGCTGGGTGATGAGAGCGCCAGCGAATTGTTCGTGTTCGGCGGCGCGCGATTCGAGGGTGCTCAATTGGACACCCCATGTGGTCATGGAAGCGCTGCAAGGACGTGTCAGGAAGGCCCAAAGTCATGCGACAGGAGTCGTACCTCTCGAGCGAGCCTGGAGTAACGGTAGGCGTGTCACCAACGCTCAGACTGCTCTGCTTCTTTGCCTTCTTTTCATAGTATTTCTTCGCGAGCGCGCTGAGTTTTGCCGAGTATTCCTTCTCTATCGCGCTCCGTTCGCGGTAGAATGCTTGGATGTCGTCGAGCCAGGAGATGCCACCGGAAACCTGCAATCGCGTGCATCAGTAACATGAAGCGCAACAGACGTAGCCCACAGCGGCTACACAAGGGTCACTCGGAAACCCATAGGAAACGTGTATGACGTACCCAAGCGTTGACTGTCTTGAAGCCATCCTGTGATTATCCGTCAGCGCATGCTCGGTGGTGCCGCTCCAACTCCGCATACCTTTAGTTCAGCGCCGAACTGGGGCGCAATGTCGACCTCCATGATTTCTAAGATATATATGGGTCGAGCACTTGGAGAGAGGGGACTAGGACCCCAGACATAGAGGGGGGAGGACTGCTGGGGCGAGGGCGAGGGCGGGAAGGGTTACGCGGAGTACACCAGGTGTCTTGGTTACCGGCTGCCCAATTAGTGGGGCAGGAGGAATGGTAACGAGGCGGTGCGTGCCGAGGAGGGAAGGCCGGGATCTTGGGCCGGTGACGTCGGATCCTGGGATTCTTCTGCTCTTGTTCTATTATGTGGTGTTGTGAATAGTCGTGCCAGACGACTACAATGGCATGCAGGAACAGGGCTATGGAGCGCTTTCACTCGGTCGCGCCTGCACACATGCTCGGGGCCTGTTCATGCGGCTCGCGCACTAAACCCGGCTAGCGCCTCAGCCCCGCCAAAGTCGACATCTGGAGCTCTCACAATTTCCAACGCGTTCTTGGTAACTGCAACAACACAGCTATCACCTCACCCCGCGCGACACCATTCCATTTCGAGCGACCCTCACCTTTGTACTCACAGCAAGCCGCTCTACTCAGCAAACCACCGCGACCGTCTCCAGGGTTGCAGCTTCCCCAACTTCACCGCCTGCAACGCGACCCGCAATCGCCTACCATGTCGACAACTGAGGAGACGCCTATCAAGCAAGAGCCCGTCGAGGCGGTTCCTGCGCAAGAAGCCCAAGAAGCCCAAGAGAGCTCACTCGAACAAGCTCAGGCCGACGGCAGCGGTCCACCAGGAAATGGCTCTGCCTTGGCTGAACCCGAGTTCAAGGTTGAGGTCAAGCTTGCCGACTTGCAGGCGGACCCTAACAACCCGCTGTACTCCGTCAAGTCGTTCGAGGAACTAAATCTGTAAGGCACACGCTCTCACAAACCGGCCGAGCTAACGATAACAGCTCCCAGGAACTTCTGAAGGGCATTCGCAACATGAACTTCAGCAAGCCTTCCAAAGTTCAGGAGAAAGCTTTGCCTCTGCTCCTGATGGAGCCGCCTACCAACATGATTGCCCAGTCGCAGTCGGGAACTGGCAAGACCGCCGCCTTCTCACTGAATATTCTCTCCCGTGTCGACTTGTCCAACCCTCGGCCACAAGCGTTGGCGCTCGCGCCTAGTCGAGAACTCGCTCGCCAAATTCTCGGAGTCATTACACACATGGGTCAATTTATGGAAGGCCTCACGACTATGGCTGCCATTCCCGACCCCTCACGAAGGGGACAACAATTCGACGCCCAAATTCTTGTTGGCACTCCCGGCACTGTTCAAGATATGCTAAGGCGGCGTCTCATCAACAAAGAGAGCATCAAGATTTTGGTCTTGGACGAGGCCGACAACATGCTGGACCAGCAGGGCATGGGCGAGCAATGTACTCGTGTCAAATCACTTCTGAACAAGGACATTCAGACAGTCCTCTTCTCCGCCACCTTCCCACCCAATGTCATCGGTTTCGCTAAGCGCTTCGCACCGAACGCGAACACGCTTACTCTAGCTCACGAAGAGTTGACCATTGAGGGTATCAAGCAACTTTATATCGATATTGACAAGGATAACGACAAGTACGCCACATTGCTCAAGTTCTATGGTCTGATGACACAAGCATCTTCCATCATTTTCGTCAGGACCCGAAGGACGGCTGAGGAGCTCGAGCAGCGCATGGTCGCTGAAGGCCACAAGGTCGCACAATTGAGTGGTGCACTCGAAGGTGCTGACCGTGATCGTGTTATCGACCAGTTCCGCTCCGGAGAGGCCAAGGTGCTCATCACCACCAACGTCCTTGCTCGTGGTATCGACGTGCAGTCCGTCACCATGGTCATCAACTACGTAAGCTGTATTCAAGGGAGACGTATCTAAGATATGCTAACATTCTATTAGGACGTTCCAACCATGGCAAACGGAAGAGATGCAGACCCCGAGACATACCTCCACCGCATTGGTCGTACCGGTCGTTTCGGACGTGTCGGTGTCGCCCTCACCTTTGTCCACGACAAGGACAGCTGGTCGCAACTGAACTTCATCGCAAACTATTTCAAGACCGATCTACACCCTATCGACACATCGGACTGGGATGCTGTGGAGGATATGATTCAAAAGATCATCAAGTCATCTCGAGCGGGCAAGACCACGGAGGAGATGACGAAGGCGATCACTGGATAGAAACATTGAACCATCTGAGTAAGAGCAAGATGTCTCCAAGGCGTCTAGAACGTCGTTCGTAGATGATCAATTGGGGGAAACCAGACTTCTGGACGATAGCAAGCATATGGCAGAGGCAACAACGCAGCCGTTGACCTCTCTGAAAAGATAGAAGAATCACGTACGATGGAAATGAATCAAAGATACCCAAGCTTAGCAACAAGATAAACTAAGTCTTTCTCTTCGTTAATCATCTTGCTTCCTCAACTCTCAAACGCCCCCGGCGCCGTAACCACTATGATGATGAGCGAGCTAGCTATCAGCGCGCCCGCTATCGCACTAACTATGATAATGCTCCCCCTTGATGCTGGGAATTTGCCCCGTATAACATAATGCTGGGCCTCAAAGTACCGATGGAAACCTATCAAAAGCATCAAGATGGAAATGCCAATAAAGGTCGCGCCGAGCGGCTTTCCCAAGTGCCGTAGTTTGGCTTGCGGAGAGGACGTGTGGGATGCGTCTGGCGAGTTTGATAGGGATGTGTTTAGGCGGAACAGTTGCGTTATTGCTATGCCGATGCTGGCGAAAGAAAGGGAGGTTCGGAGCCAGGCCAAGAAAGTGCGTTCTGTCGAGTGTTGTTAGTACCGGCATCCTTGCGATTCTATATAGTTGGGGAGAATGGAGAGATGTGCTTACCCAAGGCCAAATGGTCTCTCGCAACACTACCCTTGTTGTCCAGTTCCACGCTGCCGTACTTTTCCCAGAACCCGCTCCACCAACCCTTTTCCCGTCGTTCTACCGCTGCCGCTTCTCTCTCTGCGCTTCTTGCGCGCTCTGTGGTGGTATGACCTTTTGACTGTCTCTGGTCGGTTGCTGGTTGTAAGTTACCTGCCGTGCCTTCTTGTCGTGCACCAAGTGCTGTAACCGCGTGTTCTTGAGGTATGGAAGACGCGGCATTTGGATCTTGAGATGGGTTTGCGGCTTTCGTGGTGGAGGAGTGGTCGCGCGCACGTATATCAGGCGATATGGATTTGTAGTCCTGATTGTTGTGGGATTGCGAGCTTGTGACTATGGGAGAGGTTTCGTCGGCGCTGAGCGTTCGCGGTGACATGGTGTCGCTGCGGTCGGTGCCGCGTTTACGGGGTCCGCTTATGTCTGCCATGCTTCCCTGCTCTTTTCTGAACTGTGTACTAGTATCTGTGCGATGTTTGTATTATTCCGGTGAACCCGTATAGACGAAGTTCTGAATGTTGTTACGGCAGGGTCGAGTGAATGGTGTAGGAGACGTCATTCCGCACCGAGGGGGACTCGGGCGAGTATCGGTCGCACGCGATGAGCCGGTCCCCGCGGGGGTGATCATGGTCGTCTGCGTGCATGTCGCATATCGATGCATGATGCACTTAACCCTTGAATGCTTGCAGATACTCTGGATCAGGCATGTTAGAGCTTAAGATGGACGTAGCGTGATCGTGCTTGAAAGTCACGCAAGACCCGCATTCGCGACCAGCCTATAGAAACGAAGCGTGTTCCGCAGCCCACATAATTGAAGCTAAGCTTTTTGGAACAGTCTGGATACTGCGCATCATACTGCTTTATTCTTGGACGAAGGGAAGGTGCAAACTGTTGTAGTGCAGACTTGCATATTCCAATTCAAGGATGTTGCTGGTATACCTAGGAATCTCTTGCCAGCAAGCCTTCTATACCTCTGATACATGACTATTTCGTACATGCAGCGCTCATGATAACAACAATGTAGCAGTAGTGTGCCCCTCCTAACGCCGCCCCAAGACCGCCCAAGGAAGCAGCTTGCAAATAAATTGTACATGGCGTCCAGTCCTCTTACTCGTTGTAGTGGTACACCTGGGACAAAAGTTAGCCAGCAGTACCGGGTAAGCATGCTGAAGAATGACTTACAAGGTAGTTTGGCAATCCGAAACTTTCCCAGTTTAATCGGTTCGCCATCTTGGCGAAACCCTCGGTCTCGATGAGGTGGTAGAAGGCGAAGGGCGGGAACATGGCGCCGTCTCGGTGTACCTCTGCCTTGACAAGCAGAGTGGCACCACCTACACCATCGAGCTTGATCTTGGCCTTGGGGTCCGCAGACGTATCGTGCATCTTAGCCATGAGGCTGCGGTAGGTAGCCATCTCGGCATAACCTTCCAACAGAATATCATCTTTGCCCATCTTAGAAGCAAGATCCTTTGCTGTGGGACTGTCGATCCAGTTGTTGAAATCGTATTCCCGAATATCCATAGCCTTCTTTTCTTCGTTGTAGTATCGCTGGAAGCAGTTGGGGACAATGATGGGCACATCGTAGTTGGCGAGATCTTGGATCAGGGTAGGCGGGGTCTCGACAATGTCGGCATCCATCCACAGAACCCACGAGGTTGTGGGGCCCAGGGTTGTGAACAGGAGCGAGTTGCGCGCCTTGGCCATAGCCGCCCGTCGTGCCTTCTGATTCTCCATCTTGTGACGCTCGGACTCGCTCTGCGACTGGAGTGGGGACTCGGTGTCCTGACGGAGGATGGTGATGGCGGCGAAGCGGTTCTTCTTGGATCCTGTCTGTGTCTTGGTGACTTGTGCCTGCAACGCAGCGTATGCGGCATTGCCCTCCTTTGTCTTTGGTATTATGAAGCCCAGCGAGATGAGGTTGTGTGGGTAGCTGAGCTTGAGGAGGTTGTCCCAGTACTCCGGGTAGAACTTTGCCAGCGGGGTGAGGATGAGGACCGTCTCTTCGTTCTCGATTGGCGTGCGCGTATTGGTCACATTGTTCATGTAGTAGTGCACGACGGGCGGCGCGGCCTGTGGAGCGTTCGCCTTGGACTTGCGGAACGGCAGCGACGGTGGAGAGAGTGGGTTCGAGGCTACCTCGCCCCCTCCTTTTCTGGTCATGGACGGCACATCGGTGCCAGAGAAGAAGAAAACGAAGAAGCCAATGCAGAGGATGCCGGCAAGGATTATGGTAATGGGATTCGAGCGTCGAAACGAGCGTGACATTGTGGGTGGACGACTAGGAAGGAAGGCGAACCGCGGCTGCCAGGATGGTAGGGGCCTATGAAGGGCGCATCAGAAGAAACAGGGGCAGATGGTGGTGAGGTTGCGGGCGTGGATGGGCGCAAGGAGGTGTGCGAGACGTGGCCTGGCCGGCGCACCAAAAAGCGTCAGCGGCGTATACGGACACGAAGGCGGGTCTTGGGCGTCCTTTTGGCTCCCAGCGGATATCGACACGGCTGCTTCGACAGGCTCAATGCGTGGGCTGGCAGGTGGCAGGAGTGCTTCAAATGCTACTACGGCCAATGTCGCGAGATGCGGCTCTCTGCTTACGTACTCATCTCGTCTCCAGCGCCTGCAGGCATGTCTGCTAGTGCCATCTGCTAGCCTTCGGTCGTGCGTCATGACCATCCAACATGTTCAAACACCATCTCCACCCTTCACTATGGTCAATTGAGCCTCGACAAATGCTTCTACTGGTCGCCCAACAATGGCCAGTCCTGAGGCGTGCCGCTGCCGCCACTCGCACTCTGCGCTTTTCATCCAGCACATCTAATACATGGAGAGGCTCCAAACCACTAGCACCTCTTCGCTTTGCATCTCCATCACAACCTCATCTATCTCCATCTCCACTGGAATTCCTGCACTGCAGCACAATCGTGCCAAGGTCCCTTGAGACTCAAGTAAGAGCATCAAGTCGATTTGTTGATACACCCTAACAACCTACCAGCCACATGAATTCATAGACTATATCAAAGCTTTCAAATATGGAGTAGCACGCCAAAAGACCTTCTGTGTCTTCCTCGTCACGCCGTCTTATGCGCAACACTTACTCGACGATGACTTCCTCCATGAAGCTCTCAAGAAAATATACTACAACACGCGCCACGAAAAAGGTTTCCGTGTAGATGCCTTGTGTGCCGTCGTAGACAAGCTTCCCATCCGTAGATTCAAGTACCGAGACCGAGACGAAGAGCTATCGCGACGTGCCACCGAGCCACCTACTGCTGGAACTGGGCTCGAGGGAATGACTTACGTATTGCTTACGCCTGCTGACTCTGTGTCATCCCAGAGTCTTTCGCCGTCAGACAAAGGTGCCATCGATTTCATATTTGCGCAACATGTCTTCAACGACACCACCTATCAAGATACACTACGATTACCTCTCTCGAATACTGTTTTTCAGACGGGTATGCCATCAACCATGATCCTCTCGACTTGGAAGAATCTCGGTGAGGGTCAAGGGTTGATTCTGGAGTCCAAGAGGAACGTTTCTCATCACGGCATCCGTCTGATTGAGCAAGTAGGACATGGTGCAACACTTCCTCCCGTTCTCAACGTACCCCTGATCCCGCTAACAATGCCGCGCTTGGTTGAAGGGTGCATGGGAAATATCATCCGCGGGATTATTGGGCCGGAAGGTAAAGCTATGCAGGCCTCCTCGGAACTTGAAAATGTCGTTCCTCGTTTTTTCAGATCGCGGCGACAGCCAGCGCAAGCAACAGTGGCTTGGGCACTCGTGATCCCCGGAGAACTGAGAACCGTCATTGCTGCTAGAACGGATGAGCTCCTCTCTAGCTTGCCAATGGAAAGTGAAGATACGCTCTCTAAACAGGAAGATTCGTGGGAACGTTTGTGGCGCAGCAATCCACCTCTATGGAACACGCTCGTGTCCAAGGCGATTACAGAAGGAGCACGTCTCCATCGGGTCTTGAGTGGCGGAGGCGGATGGGGAAAGAAAGCTGGTCTATTATCGCTGGATCCCGTTCCGGCCAATGAAGCTGCAGAGCCATCAAAGCACGACGATTTTCCTAACACAATCAATGATCCGGAAGATTTTGAGTCGACCCTTACGCCAGTGGTACGAGACGGAGATTCGATACAATTTTTTATCTCGCCAAAATCAGATCTTGAAAAGATAGCTAAGAAGACTAATACCCGCAGGCTTGCAAGTCTTGTTCCCAGACGTCATTGGGGTTGGGAGCTAGGCACTATCCCTAGCACTATTGACTCGGTTCCTGGAGAGTCCTGGCAACACCGTCCACGCCCAACAACGAGAATACATGTCCATCATGGCTTTGGTGCGCTGACCGAAGGGCCGATGACACTCACGCGGCACTCCCATGTCAATAGCGACAAGGACTTCACAGTCAATGTTACCACGATCGACGTTCCCTTCTCCCGCCTCTCCGCGTCAACCCACACACGTACACAACCGGATGCTGGGATAAAGTATACTAAGAGAGAGGATGCTGGGATAAAGTATACTAAGAGAGAGGGGAGTCGGAAGAAGGACGTAGGTGAGCCTATCATGGATTAGCTTCTCCTTCCAATGTATTCTGATAATTCAAGTAGCTGTTCCATGAGTCAAATACACTGAAATCTGAGCCGTCCGTCAATCCGCCATACTCAACTAACAGTCGGCCAACTATGCATATAGCCAGTTTATTCTCATCTCATCATAAGCGTGGCTTCCGACATGCTTCAATCCCCCAAATTCTCTTCAGTAGGCGCGGGTTGTCCACCACCGTTACTGTCAGTAGGCAATCACGATCACCTCCAAGACTAGCTGTCTCAGAATTGGTTCGCAAACTCAAAATAGAAGGACATGCTACCACCGGTCGACTCCGGGTCCGAACAGCGAAAGCCATAATGCGGAGATTTGAGAAGTCCTTCGATAAAAACAAGATGAAACACAGGGAGATCATGACATCGATTCGACGTCGGCATGTTCGGTTAACGATTATGAGGTTCAAGGCTATCATGGTTGAAGCAGCAAACCTGGTGGAAGAGGCTAATTTTGCCTTGGGAAACAACTATCATACGCCCGTAAGGAGGATCTCCTCCAAGAAGAGAGGGAAATCAGAAAGACAAAGCCTTGCAGGAAGTGCCTTGAAGAGAGAAGAGACGAAGGCTGGGAAGGCTCCAAGGCCCGAACCAAAACTCCGAAAAGAGATCAAGGCCGAGAAAGAAAAGAAGGTTCGGCCAGTGTCATCTAAGACTACCGGAGTACCTATCCGCAGATTCCTTTCCTTGGGTACGACTAAATCCATTGAGATCAACAAGAGAGTTCAATCTGGAGTTCTAGAAGTCTCCCGCCTGACCGAGGAAGCCAGAGCCGCCTTGGCCGCCATTCAGCAGTACAGACCGAAGATTCGCAGGATGCCTGTCTCGAAACTGGCAACGCCGCAAGCTCTGAACCAGACGCTGGGTTATGCAATCCAAGAAATTTTACATCTGACAGAGGAAGCAAGGACCATCATGGCTACCATTCAACAGCGTAAACGACAGAATTCTTGGCGCTTCATACGACGATGGGGTCATGATGCTGATCTGATGCCTATCGGTCCTGGTACTTCGCCCATGGGTTTATTGGCGTATGCGCGCAGAAACTCCCGCACATGGCAGCTAGGTATCCAACATCTTAAGAAGGAGGTCAACATAATCAAAACTCGGATCCGCCAGCGTAAGCGCGCACACCGCAAATCTGTCACCGGCTCACCACGAATCACAAAAGAAGAGCGGCTGCGCGTGCGACGAGTAAGGCATGCCGTGATCAACGTCGTCCAATACCCATCGCGCAGCTGGGTTGTGCGGAAAAAACCAGTTAGTGGGGAGTCTAGCAAGGCTAGGTTGTTGAGGCTGCGGCAGAAGATTTCAGAGAAGAAGAGTAAGAAAGAGAGGCTTGCACTAACGGTGGAGCAGTGGCTTACAGGCGGTGGTAGTTATGGTGGATGATGGTGATGGCAACGGTGAAAGGGATAGCAGGATGGAGAAGAGAAGCAGTCTTGACTTGCTAGTCGAGACGGCAGACGAGCAGGGGAGTGAAATCGGAAGAGTGGAAGGAAGTAAGGGTGAGAATGTGGTGTATGGATTAGAAGAAGAATGCAGGCACAGTTACGCAAGCCAATAAGCATGCTGTTTGAGAGGCAAAGATAGCATGGTGGTAGCAAGCTGGAGGCACGCATGTTTTTACGTCTGTACTGACGAGCATGCAGAGCCCGTCTCGTCTTGCTTCAACTTATCTCTCGCATGCTCAATACATATAAATAATGGAGCTCACTGCTACCTACCCTTCCTCTTCTACTTTACACCATGTTCTTCTTTTTATATAAAAAAAGGCGCGGAGGGGTTATATGTGTTGTTGTCGGGTCGAAAAGTGGCATTGATACGCCTTATGTCGTTGTTCGTGCAGAGTCTCGAAACAAAACCTGGATGATTATATGGCTGAGCGGTCGCAAAACAGTCCTCCAAGGTCCCATGGAAGTTTTCGTCGCTCCTAACCGTATCCGAAAAATTCCGATATTAAAACGATGTCGGTTTCTCCGGCTTGCACAAGACGGTTACATCTTTTCCAAAATTGCCATTCCTTAGGTTGATGAAATCTCAAGGCCTTTCTTGTATGGTCATTTGTGGATGGAAATCGGAGCTGCTACACATGGAGGTTTGGAAGACACAGGACTCCAGAACTCCTTGGCTCCGTGTCCATGGCTAGCAGCGAGCTTTGCACGAGTGGCATCTTGAAACTGTAGTACTTCGACTTGGCGCTTGGGTCGATACATAGACCCCGTCTATCTCTTATCGGGTCATTTTCCTACGATCATTCCTGCTGCAGATCTTCCAAAAAAAAAAGCATTCGTCGTGCTAATGGACTCGAAAAAATCTGGGTATACGTTCATGTCCCACGGCCCGGTAGCTTCCACATTCAAGGATGTACCCTTTGCGGTTAATAAAACCATAAAAACTGACGACCGAGGACATCTCCGCACAACTACCTGAGTTTTGAAAGAACGATTGTATGCTTGAAAGATCTAAACCATAGCCATGCCTCGCTTCATGAACTATAAAAGTCCTCCTACTCCCTCCAAGTTCCTTGCTTCACGCTACCTTTCAATATTCTTCCCAAAAGTGGTGTTCAAAGAATCCATGGCAGAGAGTCTAGAAACGCAGAAAAAAACCCCAGAAGAAAGTCATGGCTCCCCCTCGGGAAAACCGAAATCCTAACCGAAAACATCCGTGTTGTCAACTTTCCCTCCTCCAGAATATCGACACTCTTCTAAGGCATGACTTTCCTGGGCCTTGCTTCCTCACAAACGCAGGAATGCTCAGGAAACTTGCAGCTTGTGAGACCATATAAGACTTTGATGTTACTGCCTTTCTCTTTCTTCCTCAAAGTTTCACCACCTGTTTCCATACGAAAAAAAGGCCTAGAAGAAGCCCATGACCAAAGATTGTCCAACCACAACGTATGTGGTATCTCGTACAGACTCCCGAGAAGCGCTCCGTCGTGAGCCGTGATTTCGCTGCTATCCGCGCCTCTTCCGATGCTCGTAAGGCTGAGGAAGAAGCTCTGCGTCTGCAGAATCAAGAAGACCAAGCCCAGGAAGCACGGATGCAGAAAGAGCGCCAGGCTCAAGCGGATAAGGTGCGTGAGGAGGATAGGAAGGCTAGAGAGCTCAGAATTGCCGAGAAAGCAAGGAAGAAGGCGAAAAACAAGAGCTCTATTCCTGCTCCCACTGTCACTCCTTCAAAGCCCTCCGCCAGTAAGCTTCCTCAGAACGTTCCGGCTATGTCAAGTGCTCCCTCAGTCGCTTCCCGCCCTGGCGGTGTTAAGTCTCGCGCTGGTGGAAAGCTTGCTCCTCTATATAAGCCTTCCCCCGATCAGCAGAGCGTCCTGGCCTCTCCTCTCGCAGTAAGTCCTCAGGTTCCAGTGGGATCTAAGCCCTCAGCGCCGTCGGAGAGTGAGTTAGAGATATTTGAGAGGCTTTCGAAGAAGTTCGGTGCTCAGTCATCTTTTTCTGTGCTCCCCAGTACCCTTGCTGCCAACGATGAGCGTTCGCCTGAAACTCCTGGGCTTTCCGCTCCTGTTGCCCCCGCTGAGGGTTCGCCTGAGTCTCCTAAGCTTTCCGCTTCTACTGCGCTGCGCAAAACATGCCAGCAATCTCACCATGTGCAGAATAGCTTCATCATATGGTAATAGTCGCACATCATGGCTCCGGAGTGCTGCCCAGCTGTCCTGTCAAAAAAAGAGAAGAAAGAGAAGAATGTCTGAGAAGCTTCGCCGGGCTTGAAAAGTCAAAATCAAAACCCCCACGACGTGACAAAAGACACTTGTACTTCAAAAGATAAGTGGAGCATGTCTATGTCGCCAGAAACCAGCCAGATCAACATATAAATTCTGGAGTGGGAGACTGTTTCTTCTCTCTTCGATATCTTGATATCGGTTCTTCCCGGTTTACCAAAAAATAACACCCAAAGGAATTGGTGTGCGGAGGGGCATCAAAATACGCAGACAAGCCTTTTGATGTCCGTTGGACGAAGTTGCTCTCCTACATTTCAAGTTTTCAATGACAGCAAACTATGTACGGATCGAAAGTCAACGACGATCAAGATGGTGACCATGTCTTCTCCGTTCCCCCTAGTAGTACCATTCGTACTACCGAAAAACATCGTCTTCCAGGACATGTGAACCCTTGCCGTGACAAAAGAACAGCCATGTTCACGTTCGAGGACACCCGCATCTGAATTCCTCCTCGCCGCGTCTCGAATGTCACCATCTACGCCCGAGACTGAAAGCCTGAAAGCTATGAGTTGGACAACGGACGGTAGAGGGAACATCACTCTTGGGTCCACTCGGAAGTAATGTGTAGTACTTCAATCCCGCCGAAAGCCTCTTGAAAGCTTGCTGTGATGATTTATGTTGTAACGTTAGCTGTGCGATGTCCAAAACACTCCCCTGTAATAAAATCTGGTGGCAAACACATAAATATCCACGTTGGGCATCCTTGGAAATAGCACATGTCGATGTGCTAGTGGTGTTGTAATGGTATCTTGCCCTATATCGCAGTCGGACTCTGTTGAAGTGACAAAATCCACATGGTGATTCGCACACAGTATCAATGAAGGTAGTCACAGAAACAAAAAAACAGAAGAGAAACCTAAGGAAGGAAAAGGTCAAGAATTAGGTACCCTCATTCATCTCCCATGCATAGTTCCACCACCTATAATAAGCCTATAACCCTCATCCAGCGCCAATCGATCCAAAAGATTGGCTATTCATGCATGCAATAGCCACACCCAGCTTTTGCCCTTTAAACTCCGAGGCTCATGAACACGAGAAGAACAAAAAATAAGGTGGGGATATATCGTTGGACGTTGATTCGCATAGAACACACATTCCTCCAACGCAAGGACCGAAGCAACCATGATGTTGCTACGACACCTCTAGCATAGCTATGCTGGGAAAGGGTTGTGTGAAATGCGAACGTGATACCGGGAATGGTCGGGATCGACAGAAAGGCGGAACGCCGTCAAACAGCGATCAAACCACTCTATAATTCAACCTTGCTCGCCGTGAAGTCCCAGAGCATCTTGACGAGGGAATCGGGTAGGGTATAGAGGTCGACATGGAACTCGCCGTCTGTTCGATTTGTTAGCACAATCCCTTGCATATTAATGTTGAAGGATGCAAACGTACTCTCAACGTCGTTCTTAGTGTACGTCTCACTAGTCTTGTTGTCGTGTACCAGGGTGACAACGTGTAGAAGATCATCCTCGCCCAGCTTCTGCAGACCATCGGCAAGCTTCTCCATGTCGACGTTCTTGTCCCTTCGGTTCTTCTTCTTGGCCTGGTCCTTGTTGCGCATTCCGTTTGCTTCGGCGGGGCCGGACTCTGCGAGGAGGGCGAGGAGCTCGGGCTTGGGGTTACGGAAAGTCTACAATCAAGAGGGTTAGCGGTTTCTCGGGTAGGGAAAGGTAGACTTGTATGGTTGTTGTGGGACGTACGACTTGGTGTTTGGCCTCGTAGCGCTCTGCCTGGAAGTTTAGGTCGTGGTCGAGCGTGTGGTCGCCGCCCTTGCCAATGGCGGTCAAGACGATGGTCATGTCGAATTCACCCCAACCCTTCTCGTCGATGCGGAACGGCGGCTTCTTGATGACTTTTGGACTTGTTAGTAAAACGTCTCACAAACGGCGCACTATGTGGCGCGCTCACTGTGCTTGTTCTTCTCGAATGAAGGATGCAGATTGTAAACAGCCTTCTCGAAGACGTTAGGCATGACCTCGTTGCCCTGGTCATCTAGCAGCCAGATCTCTATGCTCCATGACCGCATGGGGTAGCCCTCAACGGGCGAAGGCTCCGCGCTGTGGGTGCGTATTAGCGACTGATGGCGTGTGGACGCGTGGTTTGGACTGGCGCATGCGATTGCGCGCGAAGTGTACGTACATGGGCTTCTGGTGGGTGACGAGCTTGACCCATCGCTTGACCTGGGCGAATGTTATTATCTCAGCGATGGCTTTGGGCGTATCTCTAGGTTGCAACTTACGTCAGGCATCTTGTTTGATATGCGCCGCGAGGACGGACTACTGCGCAGGTAATTTGTTTTGGCTGGCGGGAAAAATATGCAGTAGAGGTATGTTGAGGGTGTTCAAGTTGGGTGCGATCTTGGGCGTCTGCTTCTTGCGACAAAGAGTGTGCGCGTGTGGTGAAGGGCAAAGGTCTGGAGATGCGCGGTGGCTGGTCTTGGGTCGCGAGCTCTGATTTGGCGAGTTGACTGAGAGAGATGGTCGCGGGGCGGCGGAGACGGAGACTAATTGCTTTGGTCTTGGCGCAAACCATCAAGCTCTTTGAAAGCTGCACGAGCACGGAAGCCTGCCTGACAGGGCTAGCCACTTCTGCTCTACACCATGTGAGAGACACGATACACCAGCCGACGCAATTGTTTGTATTACTTGTGAGGCTGTGCCCAGCAGACGGCCAAACTTGCAATCACGACACCAATGCCATCACGACACCAATGCCATCACTACCCAATTCTATAAACTGCCAAAGTCTTGCCTGGGGGGATGCCGTCGACTACAGTAGTCGGGCCATTTAGTTACTATCTAGTTGTGTGCAGGGTGTGGGTAATTTCTTCTGCCACCGTGTTACCACCATATCATACCGTCCCATACCATCCTTCACTGTTCATGCAATCCATCTTGTTTTCATATCTCATCCTATCGTCCAACTCGCTATTATCCGACCTATCTACTGCTCCGACTTGCCGAAAAGCGCCTCGTTCTCCTGCTGGGCCTTGATGAAAGCCTCCTTGAACTGGTTGGCGTCTGCAAAATATAGTTAGTGTCCTGCTGCCTAGTCAAAGCCATCTCGCAGCACTTACTCTCGCTGTTGGCGAAACGGATAGCCAGAGTCTGAGCCTCGGGCTCGCCCTCGCTAACATCGGCGGCGGCGTTCCAGACCCAGCTACGGTCGCTGCCTACGTTGGGCGACAGCTTCATGTCGGGGACAACTATGCACTTCTCAGTATTCACTCCCATATCCGTGTTTCATGCATCATACCGTAGTGGTTGGCGCAGACCTTGAGTGTCTTGTCTCGTCGCATGACAAGACGGGTCTTGCCGTTCTCCTTGTGCTTCAATAACCGGACATCACCAGTGCCACGCTCCTTCCACTCCCGCGACTCCCTGTCGAACTTGAACAGCTTGGCGCGCATCTTGAAGACTTGCTCCTCGAGCTCCTCGTTGGTCTTGGTGTCGACCTTCTCGGTGAGGTGGACAACGGGCTGGAAATCGACATCGGGCTCCTCGTTCTCGGGGTCTTCGTCCTGTCGCTGTGTTAGAATTCCCTACAAAATGTCTGGTGGTATTCGTACATCGCCCTTGGGCTTCGAGGCACCTGATGGCTCGTTGGCGTCGTCTTCCTCGTCCTTCTTGACCTTTGCGGGGCCGCCACCAAACATGGAGAAGACGTTGTCCTTCACTGCGGCTGCTGCCTCTGTCGCCTTCTCGGTGATGGGCTTGTCATCCTTGCTCTCGGTGGTAGTGGTAGTCTCAGGCTTGTCGGCAGCCTTGTCTGTTGTGACCTTTGCGGTCTCGTCCTGGACAAGAGTCGCCGCAGGGTTGGCGACCTGCTCGGCGGCGGGGTCGGGCTTGGCTGCTTCAGACATTTTCGACTATGGATGGGTGGTATATGGGTCTGCGTTTGATAAGAAGAAAAGTGTACTTGGGGGTGAAGGGTGTGTTGTTTGTGGATTCTTGTGTCAACACCCTGCCTGTAAATTGAGGAAGTGGGATGCCCCTCCAGAATGCGCCTTACCCGGTTGGGCTCAGGGACGTGCGTGATATCCCTGCCCAACGCGCCGTCACAATTGACACATGGTGCACCATGCCATATTTGCGTCCAGTCTTTATCTCGGCTACTCACATGATAACAGGATACATGTCATGCGTGTACAACTGCCATAATAGCCGGGCAAAGGTTTGTGCCAGCCTACAAGCTGCTGTAGACCCACTATGGTATATGATGAATTTGACAAGCCTCTAACTCCTAGTCATCCCACCATACATCCCAGTATCCCAATCAAATCCCATGGGTATAACTCTGCACCTTCATGTTTGCCTTCGAGTCCTACATACGCCGCTGCCTAAACAAAAGAAAACAGTACAGGAAGCGAAATAAATCCTCCACTGCGTGCCGTCTTCTTTACGCCCCTCCTCGCACCTTTGCACAAGCCCAGCTCTGCTTTCCACCATCTCCCCTGGCAGATAAACCTGCTGCCATTTCCATCTTGCACCTGACGCGAAGGGCATTCATCCTAGCCTTCTTCATCGCTGACGACGTCCGCACTGGCGCGGTTATATCTCGTAATCCCATCCATGTAGCTTCTGGGATCTGTCTTGCCCGTCGCGTCTTCATCTCCAGTCGGTTCTTAGTTTCTTGAAGCTGTTTCGAGGCGTACGCATCTAAGCCAGCCATGTATACTTGCACTGCTTGTGCGGCTGTAGCTGAGACGTTTAGAAGGGCGCTCTGTGTATCGAACATGTTCAACTTGGCGGTGTCGAGAAGTTGATCCAGTGCGGTCTTGTTGTGTCCCAGCATTACTTCAAAGGACTGCCGCAGGAGAGGCTTTGAGTGAGTAGCAACACTGACGTTGAATTTGTCGAAGCGGTATTGCTGTTCCAGATCGACAATGTACTCGCCAGTGATGGTTCGGTTGTAGCGTGCTGGAACCTCTTCTGACTGGTGGGAAACATGAATCTGGAGCTGAGGCTTCTTCCGGCTCGAGCTGAACGTCTTTGAAGGACGCAGAATGAACTGATGATCCCCAGTGGTCTGGATCTCAAAACCTCCAACTTGGTCGTTTTTTGCCTTTGGCTTTCGGTGAGGTTGCTTCTGCTGAGGGGGGACGATGGTGAGCCCTCCTTGAAATGCTGTCGGAGTTGAAGTGGGAGATGACATTGGAGAATGAACCACGCTTGGAGACACTGCCGCTATGGGTGTGATTGTGGACATAATGCTCTGTGCCTCAGACACGGCTGGTGATACCGACTGAATCTGCGAGACCTTCTGGTAGAGCATAGGGAGGTAGGCTGTACGCTGAAGCAGTGCAGGAACAAGGACTAATAGAACAATGGCAGATGCTAGCCACCTGGCCCAGTGTAGATGCGGACCAATCTTCTTCAGACGGGCATGGGTCTTCTCGCCGAGCCACGACTTACGGGCAGTCAAAGCCTTTGTGTGTTGGGCCGTCGCTAGATGAGGACTAATCAGTGCGAGGTGGCGGTTAAGCTGGGATGGATCAAGTTGATCGAATTGGTGGATGTCAAGAGGCAGCACTTCCTTCAGCTCGTAGTCAGTGTTTGGGTTCTCCCGACCTTCTACGCATACTCGCAACGACGTATTCTTGTCAGCAGAAGACCCGGCCCCGAATGGGTTAGTCTCAGCAAGTTCGATGCATGGAATTGCTTCGCGATCAAATACTTTCTTAACAGATGCAAGATCTTGCTTGTCAGCAGTGTGGTCAAGGACGCTTGGATGACATAGGACGACAAGGTCTGGTTGATCCTGAGAGCGAGCAGAGGCGCCAGAACCGAACATCAGATGGCGACCATCTTCGGTGACCACGCGAATGTGGCCAGCATTGTAGACCAACATGTCGGCACAACGATCAGTTTGTGGGACTGGAGCGTATGGCTCAACCTGACCGCGGACCATGACCGTCTTCGAAGTGTCAGGGTAGGCAGCGAGTGCCGCGCCGATCTTGGACGTGATGGTGCCTTCTGCCCACTTTCCACTGCCAACGTAAAGTATTCGGTACGTGTCGGGGGTGGTAAGCGGTTGTTGAGACAAGGCTGCTTTGACCGACAGTCTGATTTCTTTGCAACCATAACGTTCGAACACGGGTGGGAGTTCGTCTGTGTAACCCGCTGAGCTCTTTATGACACTGCTTCCATGAGTTACATCAGCGTTGCTTGTGGCTCGCTCGTGGAGTATGAAATGCCTTGGGCTCATGCTCCCACTTAGGTACGGGGGCACCTCTGTCAGACTAGAGTCCTCGCCGGACAGTATGGGATGTACTTGGGCGGGGTGCTCGTGGTGCCCAGCGTGCGAGGAGTATGTGCTATCTCGCAAGCCTCGCTCGACGGTATCATACTCGCCGTCGTCATCACTGTAGTCGTCGGACGTGTCATCCGGGGTAGGACCGTCGGTGGACGCGATGGACTCAGTGTGTGCTTCGTCGTCGGACATGTCAATGATGCCGTCGCCGAGCAGATCATAGCTGCTGTCATCGAGAGTGCTGCCCGCCTCTTCTGGCTGCCGACGTTGCGTCGACCTCATCATGAGTGTTTCAAGATCGAGCCTAGTAAGTGAGCGATCAACTTGAACCGGAGGGAACTCTAGATCTTGAGACTGAATAGGCTCGCTGGATGACATGTCAGCTCGTGTTCATGCAGTGCTTAGTGAGTGTGCAGAGGTTCAGAGAGGTTCGAGTGTGGTGAAGGAGGGGAGGCGGAGCGGCCAAGGGTGAGGTGGTTGTGGTGGGCACCAGGTGGACGCTGCCTAACTAGCTGCGGGCGAAGCGCGTATGGGGGCCTTCGGGAGGAGTGGAGACCACGCGGGGCAGATAACAGCACATACCAAGCTGGGCACTCTTGATGATACACCGACTGTTGGGCTGTTGTCAGTGAATGTGAGTGTGAATGAATGGTCAAACAAGTGCGAGTTGTGGTGATGACAGGGTGCTGATGGACGGTAGGGCTTAGGTGCTTAGGTGGGATGCCAATGGGGGTATGTATACCCCGCAGGCCATGTTGTAAGCGATAAGATACGGAACATGGTTCACATGCGCATACAATAAAGTGGGCGATCCCCGACTGCGGGCGACCACGGGCTCACGTACAGTGTAGTGACTGATTCACAGCAGCCGAAACAATGTTAGTGTTTTCGACTTGTTCGTATTCGTTTTCGTGTGCTGTATCTGCCAATGTGCAGCCAGTTGGCGCTTCTACGACGCCCCCATAGTCCTGATACTCTAATGAAGGGCTGCCCAACCCGTATGCAATGCCAACACCTGACGCCTTACTCGAAAAAGGAGTACATGCTAACGCTCCCGCAAAATGATAGCACGAAGCTGATATAATACCACGCGAGAAGAGATCATGGTCCATCTGGTCCGGGCGACGCCCAACCACCAGCAACTTCCACCCACTCTGTAAGACAGGACCCTTCTTTGCCTTCCACGTCGACAATGTCCGTATCGCATCTGCAGCGACAGCCGACGCCATTCTCTTTGACGGGGTCGTATTGCGCCCAGTACTTGTCTTCTTCCAGTCGCTCCTTCTCGTCGAGTGTTGTCTTCTCTAGGTATGGCTCGCGTGCGAGCTGCCGGGCGGGGGCATTGGCGGGACAATGCTGAATCGTGGTATGCCGGTATCCGAAATCGCGGAAGTAGTGAATATCCTCAGGACCAAGTAGTGCTCCAACGGCCAGCGAGTGGATAGGCGCGTCTCCCCATCTCTCCATCCAGAAGCCGCCGCTACGATCCATCAACTCGAAGAAGTCGTTGTATTCCTTGCTTCGGAACCAGTTGAGATTGGCGATTTCGAAGTTGCTCCAGAAATGACACATGTTGTAAGATTCGCCTTCCATGTTCTCGGGATGGATGTCCGGCATGGCTTCTGTGCCGAACTCGGTATCCATGATATCCTGGGGAAAGAAGTTCTTCTTCTTAGGCTCTGTCTTGAGTTCCTCGTCCTTCTTCTCTGGCTTCTCTACAAACATTTCCCACATGCCTTTCGAAGTCAGGTTATTATTCCGCTTGTATGCTGACGCATATCTCCAGATGTTGGGCACAGTCTCCCTCAGTTCCTTCACTGCAATGGTAAATCCGTAGGTCTTCTTGTTTCGAATCATGTGGATAAATGGATCGTATGTGATGTCGCAGAAGAATTTGATTTCGGGTTCGAGACGCCAGTACCACTCATACTTGGCGAGTAGTTCGTGTTTGTAGAATTGGCTGCCAATGTTAGCAGGAGTCAGAACCACTTGCGCTTGAAAACGTACCCTGAGTAGAACCGGCACATGTGATGGTAGCTCTCCATGCCACCGTACATAATGGCCCTGTCACCCTGCTTGGCGATTCCCTCCTTGTAAACCTCTGGGTCTACCCAGTCGGGGAAGCCCCATTGCTCTGGAGGTATCTTTCCAAACTCCACCGAACCACTAACGTGGCTTAAAACAGTCTCTCTGAACGTCTCGTTGAAATCTCCGTCGTTCAGGAAGACATATGGGTAGTGAAACCACCGGTTGAAGTGTCTCTCGAGCGACTTGACCGATTGTATGACACCATCTAGCTCCTTGTTTCTCGCCAGGACTACGATTGCGGCGTTTGCTCGGGGTCCGTTGACCTGTGGCTCGAGACAGCCTACTGCGAATGGCTTATCGTACTTTTCGCTTATCCGTCTGCGCCATGTTAGTTGCTGGCTCCGTTTTGTGGTGAACGAAGTTCTCTTACCTTATTGATGGTGGACCGCCGGCTGGCATGTTCATAATGCCCTGCGAGTCTGGCGATTTCACGAACAGGATTATGATTATTATTATAACGAGACATGGAAACAGAAGCACCAGGCCCAGAGGTATCGAGACTGAGGAGCTCCCCTTCAGTCGTATCCTACGTCGAAAGAAGGATAGTCGCGACGACGTCTTTTCATTGCGGCGCGGTAGGTCGTCAAATGTGTCTATCTTATCTTTCGAGGTTGGTAGCCTCTTGGTCATATCTTGGAGGAAGCCCATAGTGGCGCCCTGGTGATGGCAACTCCTGAAATGTGTTCCCTGCCAATGGCAGTCCTTCCCCTCTATGGCCCAGTCGCGAGCGATGCGAAGTAACTTCGGGGACGTTTAAGAGAGTGGTAGATGAGTGCGACGGTTGTGGACGAGGAAAGGGCGACGTGTTCAAGCCAGGGAGCTTGATCGATAACGAGCGTGTGGGTCGTGACTCCAGATGGGCCGTACGACAATGGCGGGCGGTTGGTGATTGGTGCGACAGGCTCAAGATTGTAACCCTGACGGAGTGAAAGGAGGGAAAAGGGTCGCTGAATGTAAATTATTAGCGGCCGACGATTGCGTATGCGTTTCGAGATCTGCTAGTTGACATGTTCCCTGTCGGTGGTGACGCGCCAAGCACTTTAGCACAGACGCTGATAGCAGGTGCAGCGGACCAATACATTCTGGGAATGAACCTTCACACGCCGATTCAGTTCAGAGGCTTGACAAGGCGAATCAACTCTGAGATGGAAAACGTAGATTGAAAGTGTACCCCAAGAATCTCCACAGCCAAGACGTTGAAGGAGCCGCACGGAAAGTTACCGCTAAGCGATCGACACGACATTCAGCCAGGCGGCCAATCTAGACCTTACACGCATGTCGTATCGGCATCCCTTGCATTACAACCACCATGAGTAACTTCAAAGCAAAGGACCTGCATTTTGGTGAGCGGATACGCTCCAGCACTGCAATATCTGCTAACTTGTTGCAGACAATTCACAGCCAGCGTTCTTGCAACGCCTGCGTGGCCAGCTCACCAGTGGGGACACAGCTCGTCATGAACACCCCATCGCCAGGAACAAGAGGATGAAAAAAGACGATGACGAGGATGACGCACCTACTTATGTCATTGAAGAGACAAACCAGTCACTAAGCAAAGAGGAGTATGATGCGCTTGTCTCTGGCAAAGATGGTAAAGAGGAGGAAGAGACTGCCACCGATGAGGTTGGCGAGAAGAAAGACAACGGTTCTAAATCACAATCAAAGGACAAAATTGCCGAAGTTGGTACAAATGCAAAGAAGCGCAAGGCGGCAAAGATTATCAGTGAAGACCAGAGCGAGAGCAAGGGGGAAGAAGAGACAGCTGTGGAAAAGCCGGATGCTAAACCTGCGAAGAAGCCTAAGAAGAAGGCCAAAGCTGTCAAGCTTACGTTTGGCGAAGATGAAGGTTGAAGACCGTCGAATTGTCCAGCTGAGATTGTGCAGTTTACCATCCGACCGTTCGCACAAATAGCGACATGTACCCAGTCTAAACACGAGGCGCCAACAACAGGGGAAAAGTTCCCCTTTGCGTCCCCAGCGCTTCGCTTCCATGGATACAGAAATTGGTCGTAGACGAAGAACGACAGTGGCGCGATGCAAGTAACATGGAATAGAAGTGCGATATTTAGCTATGTCGTGTGTAGAATGAATGTTCATGCAGGATGGGAGATTGTATGGAGGGATGAGATATCAAGTACGACGGCCACGAATTGCTACATGTGCAGGATGGAAAGGGCCACAAGTAGGCATACCTACTACTAAAGTTGACATCACAATATCAATCACAATAGTACATGAACAGTTTTCAGTAGTCTGGGACCCCATCAACTAGCGTCATGCACCTACGTAACCATGGCCTATCATGTTGCTCCTTCGTGGTTAAGAGGCATGATCCCAAGATGCTCATTCCGGTTCCGATCGGAACAGGGGGGTCCAAGTGCTCGGGACTCCGCAACTAATGTCGAAGTCTCCTGCATGCGTCTGCCCTTGTTCGTCTTCAAACTTCTGCCATAAAAATGGCGAAGCTGTCGCTCGAGGTAATTCACACAATTACCAATCCCGTCACATTTCTCATTCGATCTTCAGGACTTTGACAAACACATCGAGAGTCTGCGCGCCCAGCTACTGTTTCTCAATGAGACGCTCGATGCGACGGATCACAATGCGCCGGACTGGCTCTCCGCGGACCTTCTATCGCTGCGAAACAAGTCAGGCAGATTGCAGGACGACATGAAGAGATTCAGAGATCAGCTTGAGGACGAAGGTCTGGCTGAGAAGAAGAAGGTTTGCTATGCCATGTGCGGTCGAAATGCCGACCTAACACGCGACAGGCCAAGACTTCAAACAAACGCCTAAGTATCGAAGGCGCGAAGCGTCCCGCAGAAACACCGATTGCGCAAACCCCAACTCCCAGCGCCCACGCTATATCTCCTCTCGTAGACCAATCACCAACACCACGCGCAAAGCGAACGAAGATCGAAGACACATATGTTGTTCAGCATGTCGATGTCACAGAGGAGGTCAACCGGCGGCTGCAAGAGAACCGCTTACGACGCTTGATGCAGACTCCGAGCACAGCGCAGAAACGAAAGTTCGATTCATACGAGGAGGAGCCCAGGTCAGAAGGGCCGGTCGGCACAGACGAGGAAGGTTGCAGAGGTGGATACAGTGCGAGTGAGCAGGAGAGAACCCCAACCAAACGGCTGAGGAGCAGTGGAACTTTCGAAGGGCTGGGCAAAAGGAAGGAGGATGAGCCAGCGAGAGAACAGGACCCACGATTCGAAGACAGAGCTGATGTAAAGAGGCGCAAGTTTCACCGGTAACAAAGCATATATTTAGGAAGGCGCTTGTTGTATGATATTGGTCGTGCATGAATGGTCAGGACGGACGACCGCGCATCTTTACGCGCACTTGCACTATACACAGTTATAAGGCGTATCTCTTATGTACTGGACATGGCTTGCGTCTACGTCGACTTCTCCGCAGCACCTCCGCTCCGAAGAGGAAGTTGCAGCCGAGGCGGGAGCTAACCGCCGTCTTTGCATCATTGAACTTTTTGACATCGTGCTCACTGAACTGCCCTACCATCACCGCTTCCACACATCTACCTGACCTGCAACTCTTGCGCAAATTACTTCCCGATCGACGCGTTACATCTGAACTTGACTGCACAACCACAACCTCCAAGATGGCGACTCCAACCCCCATACAAAATATGCCCATCCCACCAGAAGAACGTCTAGCTCTCGAACAACAAGCCCGCTACCAACGCATAACACGCAACCTAGCCATTGGCGGCCTTGTTCTATGTCCAATAATAGCCGCCATGCCGCCCCGAAAACTAGACCTCTACACATTCTCACTAGGAATCGGTTTCTACCTATCAGCCGACCACCTCATAACCCTACGTACGGGCCGTGGCCTCGTACAAAACCTCAGTCCAATGCGAACAATGGAACTACCGACCGAACGCGCCAAAGAGATGCAGAAGATATTGCGGGAGGAGAGGGAAAAGAGTAGAAAGAGTCTAGAGCGGAAGGAGGGGCAAGAGAAGAGTATACTGGGGAAGCTCTGGATGGGTGATGAGGAGGAAGGATGGAAAGAGAGGAGACTCGAGGAAGAGAAGAAGGCGATTGAGGAGGGGAAGAGTTATGGTGATATGATCTTTGAACAGATCTGGGAGGTTTGGAATTGGGATAAGAAAGGAAAGGGCGCTGACGGGAAGAAGGAGTGAATGAACATCCGGGGCCTCGGGAGCCAGTTTTGTTTGTATAATATGAATGTAAAATACCGTGGAACATCACGTTCATGACGCCACGACTTGAAAGCCCCAATAAAGACGAAAGAGCGAGGAGTTTGGAAGTTCATTGTCTCGGCTCTAAACAGCAATCCGTGGATACTCGCTGATGTCAAATCTCCATATGCGCCCCGGTCCTGCGAACATCTTGCAAGACAATGTATGCGCAACGTGGCTGACTGAAAGAACATGGTCTGCATTGACGAATGTCTCCAAAACGTCGCAACTGATGGTTTCTAACGCAGGCATAGCAAATAAAACCTGTTCCCACATGATATCGAGAGCGTGCCCGTTCCATCTTGGCACTGGCTTACATGCATTACGTGCATAGAAGCGATGTTTGCCTAGCGGTCATGTCCTGTACGTAGGTATCCGTCTATTCGCCCTCTCCAGCATCACCGTCTATGCTCACCGAACCCTCTAAGCCCGTCTGTCTCAGCTCAGGCCAACGGAAGGAAGAAACAGCATTATATTTGGGCATCGTTTACGCAGCCTCCCATCTCTTGTGTAACATCTTTCGCGTACCAGCAGACCATAGATTGTGGTTGACCATTCGCGCTTTACTCAATATTGTGAATCTACTAGGATCAAGCGAGCACATAACAAAATGTCTCAGATAAGCACGCCGCTCAGTCGCACAGCCGTTGATCCGTTCTCTCCATCGTTGAATCAGGATCGACAACTCTCACAAGCCGACTTCGAAGAATTGTTTGGAATAGCTGATTCAGCACAGCCTGTCTTCTTGTCAAACGACAGCGACATATTTGAGGAGCTCGGCTATACATACGAAGAAGACTGTATAGTACCCGCTGATTCACAAAATCCCTCCGCGATCTCGACGCCCAATTTTTCCGACTACGACTTTGGCCTGAACGCCCCAGTGTACCCGACCCCTGGGCCAAACTCACCACATCCGTACCCACTAGAGCTGCAACGAGTTCGTCCAGCGACAGTTGATCAGCAAGACTACAATCACCGTCCCCATCCTACACGATCTCAAAAAAATAATGCCTACAACTATCCAGCACAGCTGCCACAATGCTACGGCCATCGTCGTCGATCGTTAAGTACTAGCGACGCGAATCGGATCGCTGCAAGTAATAGCATCAACAACCCAACTTTCATTCGCCTTCAAGCACCACGCGCGAGATCGAGTACACCAGAACACAGGAGAAGGAATGGTCTATACTACCGGCATGGAAGGAGTGTAAGTCAAGGTCTCGCGCAAGGAGACAGACCAACGAATCCGACAAGTACACCATACCGTATCTACAGTGACTCGTTGGTAGGCGGCCTGTTGCCAACACCCATTGGCACACCACTAAACGAGTTGGCCGACGTTGAAGAATTGAATTACCGCACTGGCACAACTATTCATACGATCCACTCGGAAGGTCCGGTGTTTCGACACATGAGACGCCCCGACGAAATGTCACGAAGCAGGCGTATCATTGAGATTGGCGCTCTCGTCGTTTCCAATCGCTCCAAACTGGACCCTAGACTTGAGCCGCTTAGTCCGACCGCAAATCGCGCGCGAATCTTGGAGAAGTTGGGCGATGTCGAACAACATCTTAGAAACAAGGAAGGTAAAGAAGCACTCCCGGCGTGTATGACGATTCGCGTTGCGCTGTCAAGGAGCATGAACGCTAAGGATGTGGATGTAGCGGACAATGCAGTGGGAGTCTGTTCAGAAGCGTCCGGAAAGGAGTGCCTGGAAACGCAATGTGATACGTACAACGATCATGACGATAACGAGATCATGGAAATGTTGATGAGAGAGAATGGCGTTGATGGACAAGATGAAGTAAATGGAATAACAAAATGAACACTCACTACATTGCAGGCTCTCTATACGCAAGCGAGTAGCTCACCCATGATACAAGAACATTGGATACATGTGTCTACAATATTGATCCTCGAGCGTTCATGGAAAGGGAAGAGTTGGCGACGGCGCTTGAGAGGGCAACCCTTGACAGCAAGTGTGTATATTGATGAGTAGAATGAACACTATGAAAGAGTTCGTCCAAAATCTAGTCTACTCAGCCAATGCAACTAAAACCAGAATTACGCGTCTTATACAAAAAGTGGAATGCAATTGATGCAGCTCGTATTCCAAACACGCTAACTCGCGCCTTCACATGATCCAGGATGTCGCCCCACTCGCCTCGGCTTACATACACTCAGCTCAAACGTGTCAACATGCGCAACATCTCTTCAACCGGATCTTCATATTAATTATCATGATATTCCAGGTAGCACCTCTCATTGCGGCTTTCGCGATCGTACGATTCGTAGCTGCGGAAGTTGCGCCGGAGATCACCACCGTTGCAGAAGGCTACAACGTGATTGCCAAGCTCCCATGTATTGGCTGCCCATTCCTACACCAGGACACGTCGCAAGGCAGCGATGCGCCATGGACTGAGAGAAGAGATGATAACGCTCTGGTGATTGCATCTTACTTCTGTAAGAATGACTTTGCAGGCTGACGTTCTCCAGCTGCTGAACATCTCTCTCCCCTACGACTCAGCGTACTTGAGCATCAACAATGCTCCACTGCTAGCAGACTCAAAGATTCTGCCGCGGATGTACGTCAATCAGGTCTTGTTGGACACATCGAAAGACGATGTTGATAAGCTCGTTGAATCCAATCAGCTCGACAACCTTGGAGGTGCTTACTTTGGCGCTTCGTACTCCTACTCCTTGCGTCATCTCAAAGAGTCGAACGCGCTACTGTTCTACTTCGATGTCATGGAGATGTGGACTGATCTGACCTCTCCACATCTTACCGTCATCATGGACAAGGAGGAGCAGAAGGTTTTGGAAGTCGTGCTTCTACAGCGTCCCTTGCTCTCAGCTGGCGACCATGCGAGCGCGTACGAAATCATCCGTGCTTCACTTGTTCCGCGTAAAAATATCAAAAACCCGATGAAGATGCACATGTGGTTCCACGACTGGGACGCCAATGGCAAGAAAGGCACAGCGACACATATGGTCAATTCGGCGTCGTCATCCTTTGTCGACTACATCAGCTCTGGCATCTGGTCTTTGTTCATATTTATTCTTGCAGTTATGGCGCTGTTCGTCATCGTGTGTTTGTTTATCATCTTTGGGTGTGGATTGCATAAAGACGACTACGAACAGGCGCAGCATGGCAAACGCAAAAGCGGTGGAAGGAATGATATAGAGTCCGTGCGGAGGTTCAGGACACCCGAAGAGCTGGGACTCAGAGGCAGTGGAAGGGTGGTTGGAGTTGGGAAGAGCGATTGATGAATTGGGGTGTAGAAAGCCATGAGCCCGTCATCGATTATGGAAGACTCGCCAATCCACGCGTTCTAATAGTGTGCACTCGATGCAGGAGAATTTCGAGTATCGTCGCCTTTCTCTTGTCCGCCTCGGAAATCCTGCTTTGAGATTCATCGCATCATGTTCCCACCAGCTAGCGCGTCAACACGGTTACACGGAACCCACAAGTAAGAAACCCCCTGGGAAGATCATGCCACAAGCGAACACATCTCCCGCGCTCACATCTCCACCACAATGACACCGTCACGAGCGCGACGATCTTCGGTGCCCAAGCAATTAACTCAAATAGAGGGCAAACAGAAAAGCATCTGGCTACGATGATGGTGTCGCTTGTGCTATTGGCTAGCGACGTCATTCCGAACTCTCCGCGCCGCTAAACGTCATTCGACCAAGCTCAACGCAGCATCGCGACTCGCACCGTACTCATTGATTGCACGATCTACGTGGAGGCTACGTTTAGTCACATGGCTAAACACCAGGCCAGAAGGTTGCTGGGTCTCGATGCACGTCAACGTTGTCAGAGTCTGACAGTAACTCATCGTCATGGCCTCGGCTTGTGAGGTATGACCGCATAGATTTGGTTGATGTGATAAAGTCTCTTGTGTTTGCATCCAGAGACGCAACATTACTATAGCAAAATAATCTGAAGAATTGGTCTTGCCCAGGCGCTGTCCTGCGCATCCGTCCAGCTCGCACAATGGCCATCACAAACACCACCAGCACCGTCCAGGCCATCTTCTCCCTCCATGTCGTTACAGCAGGAAGTGCCATCATCCTTCTCCTGGTGGCCCTTGCTTTGTTCGGTCGTCAGCTTGCTGGTGGACCAGGCCGCCCACGAAGATTTATGAAATTTACCAGGTCAACCGAGAAGAGGCACAGGTACTATCTTCCAGTCTCTCTTACTTAGACTTCACAGCTACTGATACACGAAATAGCTCTATGGGAACTCAAATTTTCCTCATCACCGGTCTCTTCACCCTAATGATCGCCTACGCAACACAATCCTCCATCGTTGCCCTTCAATCCCGTCTGAACTCACCCTTCTACATCACATCCGCATACTCCTACCCCCAGTACACTGCGCCATTCGGCAACAATGACTCCATCAAATATGGGAAAATCATCTCCATCCTTTCCTTCCTCTACCAATGCGCCATGATCATCATGAATGCGTGCATCGTAGGCGCCATCTGGATCCACGCCAACCACGTCCAGAACAACGGTACCGGTATCAAGGAACCTGGTTTCCTATCTTGGGTTTGGAACGGGTTCTGGATCTTGGCTCTCCTTGCTCTTGGATTCGCGAGTTGGGCTGTTGGTCTTGCAAGGCGTGGTAGCGGTAACAGTGCGCTTGCGTACCCCAGTTTGATTCGCAGTGACTATGTTGTCCGAACATTGTACGTTACCTACGTCGCTGTTGTTATTGCGGCTTCGACTAGTGCGACGCTTGAGGCAGTGCTGTGCTGGCTTGGTATCAGGAAGAATGGCGTCACTGGTGTAAGTTTACTCCTCTTGTGCGCATAAGCATTTGCTGACAACTTCTAGAACCGCTCCAAGTCAGCTCTTACCCGCTTCGTCTTCCTCGTAACGCCTCTTGTTTGGGCCCGCAACGCCTTCTCCATTGCGCAGCTGGTACTCATCTACAAGAACGTGAATAGCTATTCGCGCACTACCAACCAGGCTCTCGCTTTTCTCTTCATCATCTTCGGCGAGCTGTGCGATCTTGGCATCCTCGCTTTGGTACTTCTGGGCGCCTGGAGCTTTGGCCGCAAGGGCGAGCAAAGGCCCGAGGTTGTCAAAGATGCGCGTTACAGCGAGAGCATGAGGGACAGCTCTTATGCGGGCAACCGCGGAAGTACTTACCTCGACGGACCTGCCGGACCTACTTTTGAGGAGGGTAGAGGTCCCACCTATGTTCCCCACGTCAACTAGTAGGGATCAATAATGATTGTATGAGGAGTATTTATTGTGAGAGGAAAAATGTTTTTGAAGCGTTGTAAGCGAGCCAGCAAGCGAACAAGTACATAATGATTAATGTAATGAAGTTCTTCAACCATACCTCCAATTTTGTACTATGTGATATAGGGCTTGGTGTAAGAGTCCAAGACGGTACGGTGTTCGAGCACGATGCATGATGAGGATAGAGAACGTTTGATCGTAACACGGAGAAGTGAGAGCATCACCCATATTTCTTCGTATATCTAGACTCATTGACATGAACGTATCCGTAGACTACACAGCGCATTCCGAAGATATCCCTGCTTGTTTTATGTGTACGTCATGCTGCAGCCTGCATCCCACTTCCGTTGTGGATCGAGAGGAAGAAGACACAGCGCACTTCTTCTCATGTGCCACAATTTTACCGAAGACATAAGATGGTCCAGCCTTTAAATTCTTAAGCTCATTGACTCCGCCCAAGTGCTTGGTTCTGCAACCTGTGAGTTAGGAGAGAATGGGCGCGGATTTGGTGATGTTATGGCGTTCATGTCAGCTAATGTAAGCACTGAGGGAAGTGCCTGTCTAAGTTCTCTAGTTTCGTTTTATAGCATGCCATGTCGTCATGGAAATGGTATTTGCAGCTCGTCTCCCAGCTATCAAGCACCTGTTCAGTTCTTTTCCTCCAGACTCATCGTTCCGTTGCCCAGTCGCCGTGTATAACAAGGTGCAGAAGCGTCATCGCGGTACTACGCGTGGCAGTGGATGGCAGTCACAATATAGCTTCATATTTATTGACATACAGCTGCGTGATTTAGATGACAAATATGTTATCTTTTACCTCACTCAGATCCCAGCGGACCTGGCATCACATGTTCCATGAATGATCACAAGTAATTGATCAAGAATGCATGCATTTCCATACGCTCACTTGCTAAATCAAACCGTAAACACAAGAAAAGAAGCCGCTGAACAAAGAGAAGCGTGCGCGCCAGATCAACGCCCACGCTGGGTATCTTACAAACATGCAAAGTTCATGCCATACTCAGACGTATCCAGAGGAAAGAAAACCTTGCCAATCATTCCACGTCTCAAGACCGCATCAAGCGATCCAAAAGTTTCAAGCATATCCTCTCATCCTGTCCTCACCATAGAAGAAACCACTTCCGCCGAACCCTTCTTCCTTGGGTGTCGCCCACACGTCTGGCGTCGCGACATCATCGTAGCTCGGCTTCCGCGCCAGTTCCTCAGAGTAAACGCTCGAATCATCATTACCCCGTCGCTGGTCTTTGCCATGGCTGTTCTGACCGTAAATCACATTTTGGTCATGCGTTGGAGCTCTTGGTGTAGAACAGCTTATCCGCTGATCTTCACTCGAGATTACCAACGTATCAGGAGAAGGAGTAGGATACGATGGTGAGGTAGCGGTCGCTGAAGCGATGAGTTTGTTGACCAGAGCATGGAGATCGGACACGTCATGTTGAAGAGTGCGAACTTGTGATTCCAATGCCTTCCTGGCGCCCCTCTCGTGTCTGAGCGCTTCATACACGTTTCGTAGCGCTCGCGCATTCTCCTCGTTGCTGCCCGTATTGGGAACGGGAGGCACCGCTAGAGTTGGGGAACCAGGCGCAGGCTCTGGATCAAGAGTCTCGCTACTTGATTGATGAATGGGCTCCTGGTGAATGCTGGGCGCTGCTCTGGAGTGAGATCGTGAATGAGAACCGGATGCGGATACGCTCCGATTCCTTGATCGCAAGTTACGAGGTGCGTTTTCGAGAATGATGGTTTGCCGGTTGTTGCGGGATGACATCTGACGGGTAAGCGATTCGAGGTTAGAGTACCTGTGTTCGAGATCTTGAACGCGGTCCTCAATGGGCACGCGATGTTGACTCTTGGCTGGCGGCGGAGGTGGTGGGGAGACGTCTCTGACTTGAGGTGACTCTGGAATAGTCTCCTCTTTGGGTCCAAACAGCGCATTCTTCAGGTCGCCAAAGTTGAAGGCCGGGACTGGGGGTTGCTCAGCGTGCTTCTGCTCGCGGTCCGGCTCTTCGGTGACCGGAGTGGGGGTCTGCGAGTCGTCCGCCTGGACGAGCGTCGCGCTCATTTCGTTAAAAGACTCGTTGTCTGGTTCACGAATCATGGGCTCCTGCGTCGGCACGGTGCGAACGGTCTCCACCGTTTTCGCCGTTTGCGGTCTACTGTAGATGCTGCCGGACATGTAGCTCTCCCGCCAGAACTTAATCTCCGCACTTCGTCCTCTCTCCGTCGACGCGCGTTCTTTGGCGAGACTATGAAGAGCATCTGCGCTTCTCGATCGTCGTCTGTCGTGTCTTGAGGCCACCGTTTGAGTGGGGCTGGACACGGCGATACCAATACCTGGAGACATCTCATCTTCTTCTACCCTTTCATCCCACGCTGATAGCTTCTCTCGGGGCTCGTCCAAACTGCGCCGGTGAGTGATAGCACTTGGAACAGTGGGTAGTGTCGCTCTCCGGCGACCGAGATCGGGCCTATCCATGTCGAAAGTGAGATACTCCTTGGGTGGACTCGCTGGTGGGGCATTCACGTTCATGGGATAAGGGAGATGCTGGCCCAACGGGTGCAATGGCTGTAGCTCCTCTATTGGCAGATCTGATATCCGAGGACCGGCAGGCGGTGTCCTCGGTTCTCGCGGTGGTGTTGACCTCAGCAGACCAGGATCCTGTCCATCGTCAGAATTGGATCGTCACAGTGTTATCGCAGACTTACGCTGTGGTGGTAGCTATGACCACGCTGCATCGGTTCTTCCTCGTGATCTTCCCGGTCCGGGCTCTTTCGTCCGAACATCTTCCGAAATACATTTCTGAGCCCGCTCTTGCGCTTCTTCTTCTGCGCAGCCTTACTGGCGCTCTCTGGCGTCGAGCGAAAGGGAGTCGGGGATGCAATTGAAGTCGACGGCACAACGCTTTCGCGTTGTACTTCGTTCAACTGTCTCACCTGTGGTGGGGATCTTGAAGAGATGGGTCGCTCAGGAACAGCGTCATCGCGTTGCGTCTGCTCTCCGATCGGGTTCGATCGCAAAGCTGACATGTGCTGTTCAGGCACAGGTGGGGGTGACTGCAGCGGTCTTGGCGGAGTTTGCGAGCGTTCATACTGATCTACCGGCGCGTCCTGCGGCTGCAATGTTCGGTCCAGCACGCCATTCTCTGCGTACTCTTTCTCTTCCTCTTCGTTCAGCGGCACATCTTCGGTGATTGGGATCGGCCCGCTAATCTTCAAGTTCCCTCTCCTGATGGCCTCAGCTTTCCAGCTAGAGCGCTGCAAAGGCGAAGGCGACGGCGCTGACGCACTCATATCAGCGAGGACAAATCCTTCTCGTTGAAGCATATGGATGCAAGGCGACGTTTTTGATTCTGATTGTTGGCGGATGCGGTTATGCGGACGAGTCTTGGAGATTGCGATTAGGCGAAGTTTACCGGGATGACCCAGCGAGCGTTGATGTTCTCGACTACCATCACCGATGTTGCGAAATCAATTGATGGGTAAGAAGCAAAGCAAAGGCGGACCGGAGCGACAAGCGCGGCAAATGTTCCTCCTCCTCCTAAAATAGATGCAAGCAAGCAAGCGAAGAATAGGCAATAAAAGAATTAACAACGATAGCCCCCAAGAGTCAAAAGAAGCGAACTCGATCAGAAAGAGTGACGAGGTTAAACAAGAGAGACGTGCCACAGACGACGCAACAGGAACAGCAGCAAAAGAACGGGGGGGAAAGAGGCGTTCTTTAGGGTCTATGTATCAGACGGAGAGCGTCATGTACCCTTTGGACAAGGGTGCCAATAGAGTGGGGAGGGTCAGTCGGATGGGGGGTGTCGCGGCGGGAAGGAGGAAGCTATTATTGATGGCGCATTTGCGAATCAAGCAGTATGACCGGCATTACCTTTGACCACTACACAACGGGGGCTGGGGGGCTGCAGTCAAATAAAGGCCTGATCGCTGCTGCACAAGCGTTGCATTTGCATGAGAGGCCAACAAGCCGGTCGACGGCGCGAACGAACGACGTGCATGTTGTTGGATATGGGGCCGTGGGGTTTTGGGTACAGTACAGCTGCATATTTTGGCCAAAGCGGTACACTGTTGCAATCGATACACGTCCGTTGGATGCACGCACGCGCAGGCGCGCTCGGCCATGGCCTTGTTCAGCCTGTTAAGCCCGTCTGAAACATGCTGCTAATACGTCTTGGACCTCAGCTACCCTGTCGAGCTCCCAAACCTACCACTTGTCGAGGGAAACGCCATTGGAGATGCTAGTAAAGCCGTCGCAGAGCTAATCCTCCTGTATCTAGAAATAGCGGCTTTGCAGCACTGGCCGAGGCGTTCCACGAACCCTCGTCTTGTCGCGTCGAGGTCTGAGCGCGCGAGAGAATGCATGGGGACGCCAGGACGCATGTCATGGACCCTCGGCCGTACAGACTAACACAAATCCTTGCACCAGCCTGCATTAACGTGTTTGAGACTGTCTGCGGACTAACTCCGACCATGGGCTGATTGGGGCGCGTCGCTCTAGCCCGCACTACACCGTCTATCTCGCATGTTTGGTACTCTACTGCCTCTACTGCACGCGTTACTGTTGGCCATGTGTGTTGATGTAAACGTGAATAATAGGGGAGGCTGGTCGGCAGTAAGCGAGGCGTTCTGGAAGAACGTTGAGAGGAGCGACGTGGCCAGCACTCGGCGCCGTTTTGATCAACCTTTCTGCCCGCGCGCTGAATACTTCGATAGTCGGACAGTGATTGCGCCATGTATTGATGGTCACGACTCGCCACCACACACACTTTATCCTACACGACACCGTTCACGTCAAGGGTTTGAGGAAGAATGAGCGCATTACTCGCAATCTACTCCGCCGTGCGCCTCCCGATTCCTCTCTTTTCTCTTTTGTGCATGTAGACGCATGCAAGCCTCGCCTCGCCGTCTTACCACCGTAGTCTCCTGCCGCATGCCTCTTTTACCAAGGACAT